TACCGGGATCCCAATGCGAGGAGGAGGAGAGGGAGAGGGAGAGGGAGAGGAGGAGGGAGGAGGGAGGAGGAGAGGAGGGAGGAGGGAGGAGGGAGGAGGGAGGAGGGAGGAGGGAGGAGGGAGGAGGGATGAGGGAGGAGGGAGGATGCAGGAGGGAGGAGGGAGGGGAGGGGAGGGGAGGGGAGGGGAGGGAGAGAGGGAGAAGCGGGTCAAGGACAAAATGGGCAGGTGGAGGACAGTGTGAAGCCTGCCTCAGAGGACCTCCGAAATTAGAAGATGGCGTCGAAAGGAGGGGAAGGAGGAAAGTGCAGGGAGAACAGGGTGAGGGATGGGATGAGGTAAGCACCGCATGCGTGAGGACAAGACTTGTTGCTGCCTCTTGCTCGGACATGGTTCTTGCTGCTGCGACATGCTCTGCTAGAGGTTGAGGTTCACCGACTACCCGCCATGCGCAACATCATGCGATCGAATGAAGGTCCCGATGGCGATAAGCCAGTTCTTGAGGAGGCAGACATGGCGCCAGCAGGTGTCAGTGATACTTGTGCTGTGACGATGATGATTGAGACTTGTTTCATCAGGCCGAGACAGTGATCAAGCCTCCAGGTCTCATGCGTTTCTTTCTGTACTCTTGCATGTAACTTGTTCTTTGATGATGAGCAGCCATCAGAGTGACGTGGATGAGAGGTGAGGGTGTGCCATGCGCTCTCATCTCGTCTGAGTCTGTCTGCCATGCTGCAGCGATCTTGATCCCATCGACCTCGACGGCGCCCTCGACGCTGCGGGCTTCGGGAGTTTCCAGCTCAAGGCCATGCAGGCGCTCATCCTGTCCCAGGTGACCCTTCAGGCCCTCCGCTCTCATCTCACTCAGCATGCAGATGGTTGTCGGCATGGAAACAGCGCTTTGGTGGCAGCTCCCGCCCCTGCTGGAGCATCAGTGGGAGCTCTCGGCCGAGGAGCTCACGACGGGACAGATGGCATGTATCACTTTCTTCTCTGCCGGCTCCTTGCTAGCAGGACACGCGGCAGATTTTTACGGGAGATTTGTCAGCCTCCTCTTCCTCGACTCCGCCTACATGATCATGATGCTGCTCTCCTCCATCGCACCAACGGCCGTCTTCCTCCTTGCCTTCCGCTGCTCCTGCTCGCTGCTGGCGGGAGGCAGGCTGTCCTGCGCTCTCCCACTGGCCATGGAGATCTGCCCGCCGCGCTGGCGCTTCGGCTCCGCCCTCATCGTCGCATGCGTGGGCGCAAACATAGGGTCTCTGTACTTGATAGGAGCTCGGTCCGTGCTGGACGCGGTGCTGGGCGAGTCCTACTCGGCGACTCTCGAGTGGCGTCTCCTGCTCCTGTCGTGCGCAGTGGTGGAGCTGCCGGTCTGGTTCCTCATGCGGAACCAGCTTTGCGAGTCGCTGAGCTTCTTGTACGAGGAGGGGATGCGGGGCCTCTGCCTCAACGTCCTCGACTACATGGCGGAGGAGAACGGGCAGGAGGTGAGGTTCACGGGGGCGGTGTCGCTGGTGGGGGGACGGGATGAAGCGGAGGCGCAGAGAAGGAGGGAGAGGCGGGGGCTAGCCAAGTGCTCCATCACTTGGGTTGCGTGCGCTGTCTGCTCGGGAATTGTGGCGGCTGAGTTGATGGAGGACGAGAGTGTGGTCCTGAACATGGCCGGGAGCGAGAAGGGGAAAGTGAAGATCCTGCAACTCGCTCTCCTCCACGTCAGCTCGGCGCTCTTCACCTTGACTGTAAGATGTCACAACTCTCAGTTTGACACGCCCTGCTCACGAATCTGCAGCTGTGGGACCAAGTCAACCACTTCGACCTCGTCCACTTCGTCTGCATTGTTCCTGCGATTGTATCCTCCTGTCTTCGTCTTCCTCCCCTACCTCTGCTCTCTCCCCCCTCGTCCTCTAACCTTGAGCTGCGCGTTCTCATGGTATCGTTGGCAGGTACTTGGAGCCTGCTTCATGCTCATCCCTCCCTTCCACGGCCTCGTCTCGCTCCTCTTTGGAGCTCTCCTCTTCTTCCTCATCATGGCTCTCCACAGCCTCTCCCTCGCTCTCTTCTCCACCTTTCTTCCGTCGAAGTCCCGATGCTCGTCCTTCGGAGGGGGACTCTGTGTGACTAGCTTCCTTCACCTGCTCACCCTCAAGCTTTCTTCTACATGTGAGGAAGGTTTCTGCTCCCTGTTACCTGCTGACGTCACCACAGTCACCAAGTCGCTTCTCCGCCCGCTAGTTCCTATCTTGCTCCTTCTGACATTGACAGCCCATGCCCTGCTGCGGGATGAGAGCGATGCGGGTGAGCAGGGAAGGAGGGACGATGTGCGAGGCCCTGAGCACTTTGAAGCAGACGACAAAATGTTTGTCAAGAGTGATGAGGGGGCAAGGGAGGAAGGGACTTCTGTGGTTTAGGTTGGTGGTGAATCGGATGTACATAAACATGTCACTCGTCAACATTCTCCTTCGTTCATCACTCCATCGGTGTTCCTCGTCCCTCCCACATGCTCAGGGTCAGCCTCCACTCGTCTGATAACTTCTTCCAGCACCTCGTTCACCCCCTCATCTTCCGGCCGCACCTTCCCTTGAGCAGAGCCCTTTCCTCCCTTGAAGAGGCTCACCACGTCGATTCCCATGCTCTCGATCACTTGCTGAGCCGCTAGCGCAGTCGCCGCCTTCTTCTTCCCAGACACTCCACAACCGCACACCTTGCCTTCTATCACCGCCTCCACCGTGAAGATTCTTGCATGCGCCGGGCCAGCCTCGACGACCTTGTACTCCAACTTGAGTCGGTTCTTGGAGCAATGGGCATGAAGCAGTTTCGTCGACTGAGTCACATCCAGTTGCTTCCCCTCCGTCGCTGGCTGAGAGCTCCGTCTCTTCTCCTCAGGGATCCAGTCCCCCTCCCCATCCACTTCCTCCTCCCCTTCTTCATGTCGCTTGCGCTTGTTGCTTCGCTCCCCATCCATGCCTGGAGGAGGCTGCAAGTTTGACCATCCTTCCAGCTCAAGCTTGCCAAGAGCCTCGCGGGCCGCCAACCCTTGCGCTCCCTTCTTCTTCGGGGCGGTTCCTCTACCCATCACCACTCCTTCAATCACCACGTCTGCATGGAATGTCTTGCTATGCGGAGGTCCTTCTTCCCGCATGCTGAACTCCATCATCTTGTGCAGGCGGCTGCATGCATGCTGGAGATGCAGCACAGGGTTGACCATCATCGCGCTCCTGGCACCACTCGCTCCCTCTTGCTCCCCCTGCTCCGTTCCCTGCTCCAAGCTTCCAGTTTCTCCTCCATGAGCTGCTGGTTACAGGTCACCGGCATACTCTATCAAGAGAGGGACTCACTTGCAGTGCTGCTTGGCTTCACTACGTCCTCAAGCAGACCCTTGGACCTCAAATTCTCCTCCTCCTGAACGATTCTCAGCAAGCAGGAAGGGAGGAGGGAGATGGATCCATCTGGTGCTCACCTGTGGGAACAGCGTGCAGATCGCCTGTGCTGCTGCTCCTTGCTTCGCAAGCTTCTTCGTCATCCCCTCTGCCTTGCCCTGCACGACCGTCTGCCCGTTGCTGTCTACCACAATCACCGTGACGGAGCATGTGAGTGAGCTGTCCTTCTCCTCCCCGTCAGGCCTGATCATCGTGTCAGGTGCGAGAAGGCGAGCATTATCAAGCCCTACTTTGTCGGGATGATCGGACTATCGTACTGTACGGTACAGCTGTTCTTCTGTCCGTATTCATTCAGCAGTTTGATGCATGCTAGGTAGTGTTATGGGTGAGACAAGATCAGGGGAAAGGTCAAAACCCTCACCAGGCCCGTCGCCTTCGAAGTTGTCCAGCAAACCCTTGGACGGCTTTACCCGCTGCCATCTCTTTCCTTCCGCTCCAAAATTCGACACAAACTGCCCACTCCCTCCTCCACGGAAGTTGCTCTTTCCCCTGAATCCCCGCTGGTACCCCGACCAGTTCGAAAGCTGACTGTTAAGCTGCTGCACCTCGCTGTTCACGTTCATCCCATAACCGCTCCCTTGACGCATCTGCGTCAGAACAGTCTCGTAGATAGCTCGATGCTGCAAATCCCCCTGTAGCGTCCTTTCCCTGCCCTGCCCTGCCCAAGCGCCCTGCGGAATCAGTGAAATTGGCTGTGCTGGCCATGGCTGCGGCTGCTCCATCCACTCCCTTGCATTTGGTAGCTGAGCACTAGGAAACTCAACTGGCTGTCTTATGCCCTGCATGCTGGAGTACAGCCCTTCGAACTCCTGGCTGCGATGGGCCACAGGGTACACCTGATAGGGCAAGTTGTTGTCCGGGGGAATTGCGGGCTGCCTAAGGAAATTCTGCAGCTCTTGCATCGCCAACTCCGTCATTCTCTCCTGCAAACAAGATGTCAGCATTGCGTTCCTCTCCTCCTCTCGTCCCTTGACACTGCAAGACCTGCTGCTGCTGTGGTGTTGTCATCCAAGTAGCAGCTGCCTGCTGCTGATGCAGATGCAGGTGCTGTCCTGGATCCCGGAACTGCATGTTCTGCTGCATCATGGCAGAGTTCCCTTGCGGGTTGCTTGCTAGAGGGACATACTGCGGTGACTGCAACAAGCTCTGCAAGTCTGCCTGCAAGTTGGGGAAGTTCGACATGTGCCAAAGGAAACCTGAAACCAATGGTCAGAAGGTGTACAGAGCTCGAGAGAGTTTGAAGACTACGAGCAACATGCGCGTGCTCAGGCCTATCCTTTGTACACCATGAGAATTGTTGTGAAGTCAGTGAGTCAAAGCTAGGCTAAGAAGCTCATGTAAGAATCTCGAACCAAATGTCCCTTTCTCTAGACCATCCCTATTAGGTCGTATCGACACATGCATACAAAACAGATAGAAGCTCAACATCAGCACAACAGATAGAAGCTCAACATCAGCAACCACAAAGCACACTGGATGGCCAATCGAGCCATCCTGTGAGCTTCCCTCATGTAAGAGGTGCACATGATTGGATTCGACACTCTCGGAACGTCCTGTGTTGGATTGTTTTCATGGTCCAATTTTATCGACCACTTCCTTTTTCCAGCACAGGATGTTTGTCGTTCAGCAACGAGCTCTTCACAGGAGCATACCGGTATTCAATGAGGTATTTCGTTCGTCCTTTCCGCCTCTTCAGCTCGCCTCCTCCTTACGATCCTTGCAAGGTGTTTCCAGAGAAGGTCATACTCCATGGCGCATCACATGCCACATGAATACAGGCTTGAGCCACGTGTCAGGAGGTGCTCCTGTAGAGTTTCCTCATCCCCTGCATGCCATCTTCTTGAGTAGATCCGAGCTTTCTTCTCTTCATCGGTCATCATGTCAGGCGTCGTCCACTTCCCTCTGCCATCCTTGTGGGTTCCGGGCCCGCCGCGCCCCGGAGCCTTCAACTTCGAACTCAGCTTCGAACTTCGAACTAATAACTTGACTGAGTCAACCTCGCCGTCTCCAAGAACTTATCCGAGTTCTTACATGTATGCTTTCCCGTGGGGGGGTTGTTCTGCTTTCTAGGTAGATTTGGGGGTGGCGTGTTTGAGAATCTGAAATAGGGTTCGAATTCAGCTTTATAATTCTCATTTTGTTTTCCAATAAGATATTTTAGACTGTATTGTGTAATGGTTGAGTATAAACAGAGAAGTAGGGCTACACCCCACAAGTTACAGTCAGATCGTGGGGTAGTCTACCAACTTAGTTGTAAAGCCTTCTTGTGGTACAAATTTATAAACAAGTTTGAAACTCCCCCTACACGCCATGAGCCTCCCCTTGCACGGGGCACGTCGCACCGCTCTGTACTGCCCTAACGATGGCTCGCAAACAGCAAGCCCGCGGCAGCGTGTGCAGATGTCAGATGTTCACCGAACATACTCATGGGAAATTCCTGAGGTGTAGAGATGATGATCCTTGAGGAGTGCTTGGTAGAGCTCGTGAATCTCACGAAAAATCGTTTGGTAAGCGAAGAGCATGAATAATACAAGTGAAAACACCATCACAGGGTTACATTGCAATCGAAACCAAAGCGTAAAATACCCTAAGCTATCTGTGATGCATGACAGGGAAACTGAGTTGGAGTAAATGGATGGAGGTTACACACAAGACGACAGGGAATCATCATCAGATGGTGACTGGATTGTTCAAAAGCTGTACGGTCACCTGTGAGCTCAAGAACACATATCTGCACGACTATGTCTGATAGTCTCGCAAGAAGATGCCAATAAATAATGCACGGTGCATTTTAGCAGTGAGCTGCTCGACTGCTTGAAACAACCATGATCCGCAGTGCTGTCGAATGATGTCGGACAAGCAAGTCCCGTGGTTCGTGAAGGATTCTTCATCTGATTTTCAAGGACGTGTTTGAACGATGAAACATTTTGCAAATCACCAAGGCCTAGGTCATTTCATCACATGATGCATCATGTGAATATTACTGGTGTGAACTTGCATCGGATTTTGTTCATCAATGAGCCGCTGCCAAGCAGATGATCTCAACGCAAACATGAGCACTTTTGAAGATGCCAATATTCCAGGCCGTAGAGCATGTATGATGTGGCCACATGTCACATGCTTCTTGGTTCACATAGATACACCTTCGCAAGGCAAAAGATGGAACGTGTTCTTGATTACAAGGAGGTCGGTTGTGCTTTTACCCTGATTGAAACTCTTCTAATAAAGATGTGATACCCTGGATGTGGAATTCTATTTATTGATTCACAGCGTTTGTGATCCTTTTACAATCACCGAGTGCTTGTTCTGTTGAACAAGGCACTCCTCTGTAGTGCCACATGCGACAAGAACTCTACAACTGCACGGCAGCATTGCGAACCGTCAAAACAAGGCAGGATTGATTCGAAGAACATCTCATTTATTTTTATTGATGCTCAAATTTATCTGCACATTGTTTCATTTCTGACTAGGTTTCTGAAGCGTTGTGGAAACATCATGACTGAGGAAGAAATCCAAGTGCAGAAAAATCATCCTACGTCATGAAACATGGAAATGCAATGGTCAATGCACTTGATCATGGATATAGTGATTCATGATCAACAACAATTCTCTACAGTAATCTATGCGAGCAGGTGAAGTCATCCTTTTTGCAAACGTCTCTTCATGCACCGTTGAACGGTTGAGTGCGTGTGAGCCTGTCCTCTGTAGAAAAGTGAAGTGCATGAATCCTGACCGTAAGACTAGAAGAATTGAAAGTGAGCGATGACATGAGAACATATTGTTAGACAGAAAAGTCGCTCAAGGTACAGTTGAATACAAATTTCTCACAAATCATGCATTTGAGCGCAACGTGCAACGCACTGCAATTTGAAAGAAGGGTCAATCAGTTTTGATTCTGTTCAATGGTGTATCCATTATTAGTTCCTTACCTGTTCATAAAAATGTCATCATGTCTTCGAAGCATATTTGCAAGTACACTCGCGGATTGTATGAACCAAGGGCACATATTACATTACACGCTGGATGATTCAAACCTTGGCCCAACCTGCAGAGTTGAGAAAGAAGCTCGATCATCTCTTACAGATGTGATATGAGATCTTCATCTCATTCCTATCTCAGTTGGGTTGGATTCGAAGTCTCTCAATATCAAGGTTCATCCTCGCGAGTCAGGAAGGCACCATTTCATCGCCTCTTGCTCGTCCAGGGAGAGGGGGCTTGGGGAATGAGAAAAGGGGGCTACCCCCCACCCCCTATTACACAGTTTCAAATTCTTTCAAAGGTGGGTGGTTGAGGGTGCTCCATGCCTACCCCACCCCCCAACAACAGTCAAATGGAGGGGTTCTCGGAAGTCGAAGTTCCGACCAGTTTGGCCCTCATTTTGTACCATGTAAGAGCTGCAATTTTAAGTTGGTACCACAGATACTCCTAAAATGCGTACTTTTACATTGGTTTGGCGTGGTGAGGTGTCCACGCCACCAAATTCAAATCACCCTACCCCTCTTTGGCCCTGCACAGCAACGATTTTCATGAGAGCGACTACCCTCCCACATGACTTCTCAAAGGAGGGTACTCCCAATTGGCATGGAATGAAGGGACCCCTCAGGTCCTTCGAAAAAAAAAAATATTGCCAATTTTTCCTATGAGCGCCCGGCCGGAAAAGCAACGCTATGCTCCTCCCTCAGCCCCGCAAACTCGTGAGTCGCCTCCTCCTACTGAGGTAATCCCTCCCCCTCCGATGGTCTCGTCGCTTGAGTCAGCCAAGGGGAGCATACATCCGATGTTTGAGCATTTTGAGCAGGTCCCTTGTTTCGTGCATGCGTTGACGCTGAAGAAGAATCGTGTATGGTCCCGGGCCGTCGCCGGAGTCGCCGGACTCGGCCCGGCCCGGCGTTGGCACGGCAGTGGCGTGGCACTCAGTCACTGTGACGGCAGTCACCCGTCAGGCACCGTGACTGCGGCCAGCCTGGCAGTGAGTGGGCCGCCCGGACCGCCGCGCCCGGCCGCGCCGCCTGGCGCGGCGGGGCCACGACGGTCCCCAGACAGGGCCCGGGCCGGCCCGGCGGAAATGCTTGAACCGTGGCCCGACCGTGAACCAGCCTGGCAGGCAGCTCAGGCTGGATCCTTCAGCCCCCGCTCGGTGGCAAGGCCTCTCCGAGGCCGCCGGCTGGCCAGGCCTGCGGCCGCTTCCGAAGCCAGTTCCGGGCGGCTGCCCCGGGCTGGCATCATCACAGAGTCCGACCGGCATCGGCGCCCCGCGGCCCTGCCCACAACGGCCGAGTCCTGCAAAGTTAACTCAGCCTGAAGTGAAGGTCTCTGGCCCGGCAGGATGCGGTTTCAAGTTTGGTTCTCCCGGCGGGCCTGCCACTGCCCGGCCCGCGGTAACTCACTGAGTCACGGTCGGCCCGTACTCGGCGTACCGTACTGGCCGACGGTCGGCCGGGCCACTGGCCACATTGGGCCGCCGCGCTCGGCGGCCGCGCCGCCGTAACGGTAGCCCGGCTCTCAACTCAGGCTTGCCACTGTCCAAGGTACGCCGGACCGTACCGGCCCCGGGGTCACTAGTACGGCACCGTTACTACCGGCCGTACGTAGGTCCGATGTGTAGTCGGCGAGCCGTATTTCGGTCCTACCAGCCTATGGGAGAGTCCATAGACCACGGAGACATGGAAGTTAACGCGACTACCTTCCGAGTTCTGGTCATTTCTACTCGGCGTCAGTGGGGGGCCGAGACCTGAAAAGAGCAGAGAAACTTGAAAGTTCCTACCCTCCTACTACTCGCTATGATGATCAACCTTACTAGCATGCTGTAATATCCTCTGCCGGGGGCCCCCCCGGAGGCTCCACTACCCCTGTGCCCTAGGTGAATCGCTCGGAATTGGCCCGTGCAGACTCTCCGGACCCAGGGGTGGGTCCCGTACAAATGACCAGAGGCGTCCGTGTAGCATCGGTGAGGGCTTTTACAGCGAAGTGCTGGGGTGGTCTTGGTGGTCCATGAGATCCAATGTTCAATGTCACCGGTAGGCTCAGGGGGTATACAAGGGAGAAAGAAGGGGTGGCGAAAAGATCACAACATGGAGAAGGGAGGGGGTGGGGTGGGTGGAGTAGGATCCGGACGTATAAAGAAGCCTCCGTAGGCTCGCATCCGAGACCAAGACTGCGAGCTCGTGAACGCCATGAGAGCAGAGGAAGAGGCTAGCAAGACAAAGAAGCAGGACAAGGATGGAGGATGCAGAGGGTGTAGAGGATTAGGACAATGAGGAAGGCAAAAGACATTTACAAGAATCAAATGGAATGTGCATGCTACGAGCAAGAAGCTGGCAGCTTCAAGAGTCTCATGAGATCCTGTAGCTCCAGAAACGACGTGACTTTCTTTTCAATGACAAGGTTGCTGATACATGTCTCACAGATGTTGAAAACATTGATCCCGTTGCTCCTGGTGGCCCATGCTGTTGCAAGCCCAAGCATCTTGAGTCATCAAGCGCGACGTGCTGGATCGCCTTGGAATTACAATCAATGTGATTCCTCGGAAGGCCCCATGAAGTGGGGTGGAGTATGCTCAACTGGCAAGCAGCAGACTCCTGTCGACCTTTGCGGAGCCAAGGCGTTCGATGGTACTGCTCCATCTATCAAGTTTGACTCAGCCAATTGGGACAAACCGAATAAGTTTAACATCAAGAACACTGGCCATGCCCTCCAGCTCGACGTTACGAGCAACGCTCCTGTCCTCAACGCGGGCAACTTGGCATTCAGAGTCGGAAGGTCGACCACAGATGGAGATTCTACCTGGAAGCTTGCTCAGATGCATTTCCACTGGGGTCGTTCCGCAACTGAAGGAAGTGAGCACTACATCCAAGGAGTTCAGTATCCCCTTGAAGCTCACTTTGTTCACTTCAACTCCAAATACCCCACTATCTCTGATGCCGTCAGCAGCGGCAACTCGGACGCTCTTCTTGTGGTGGGCCAAATGTACACTCTTGGCAGCTCCGAGTCTGCTGCTCTTACCACCATCGGCAATGAGGCTTCCCGGGCTACGACCGATGGCGTTGCGATGAACGGAGACGTCAACTTCGCTCAGCTCGTCAATGACAAGGCAAGCTTCTACTCTTACGCTGGCGGTTTGACCACTCCTGGATGCAATGAAGTTGTCACCTGGATCGTGATGGACTCGCCCATTACCATCACCAGGGCAACCATGGACAAGCTGTGGGCTGTCACTATCCCTGGATCCACTGAGAAGTTTGCGGTTTACGGAAACTATCGTCCCCTTCAGCCCATTGGAGACAGGACCATCTACACGACTGGATCATCCTCCCCATGCGCTACCCATGGTGTCAAGGAGCCGGACTTCCAATGCAGCACTGATTCGGAAGCTCAGAAGAACCTCACCATCGTCTCTGCCGTGCTGGGAAGCTTGTTGGGCGTCTCTTTGCTCGCTCTCCTTGTCTTGGGCTACAAGGTTTGCATGGCCCCTAAGCCTGCCTCCACTGCCGCGCCGAACATCTCTTTGAATGCTGATGACAACGAGCTCAAGTCAAAGACGGCTCCTATGCAGTCCGCCAATCCGATGTTCATGGCCATGCCCATGCAGAACATCAGCTACGTTCCCACCAACAACACCTTCTCTCTTGGATAAGCACTTGTGCTTTTTCTGTAATCACCAAAGTAAAGATCCTCTGGAAAACTGAAGTTGTGAATTTCGATGCATCACTTCTTCTCTTCACAGCCCCTCTCCACCATCCCTCACCTTGTTCTCTTTGACTAGCAAGTTTTCGATCCGCCGGCGTCTCGGATCCTCTCAGCTGAGTAACTTTACACAGCAACGCATGTTCGACTGAGTTGTGGGTCTCCTCGCGGTGCTTTGGGAGGCAACCTGACACTCCGGGACAGGACTAGCTTGCAGCTCAACTGGGAGGGATCCAGGAGTCTCTGTTTGAATCTACTGTTCTCCTCGGAGCACAAGCTCATGTATCCTCGAAAGTAAGGCTTTGAGATATGAGGCCGCCTCTCTGGCTGGGTCCGTCTGAGATCTCTCCTGCTCTATCTATGCCGAACATGAGTCTGCCGGCTGATTGACCGGCGGCGCCTCCATCGATAGCACCCCGGCCGTCAAGCGAAATTGTGATAAATAATGTTTTTTTTCACTACTGATCAAAACAATCAGAAAGAGTAAAACGACAAGTCTATTAATATGCAGTGATAATTCGGCAAAGATGGAACAAGCTTGACCGGTTTGTACAACTTGACAATGCACAGTGGATGACTTCAGCCATTCATCGTTCTCAACACATCCATGCCATCAATGCCGAGCATACGCAACAATCGACGATATACCCTGAACAAAAGTCCAGAGGCCAAAGGCTGCAACAAGCGTGTAAACGATGATATGAATGAAAGGTTGATATCCTGGCAACACGTCAAAGTTACAAGGCCTGGCTGGAAAAACACCGTCAGCGTGGAAACGCTCCAGTTTCTGGTCTTTCTGAACAAAGATTTGATGCAGCCAATCATCTAAACTTTCCTGGTCTTGGGGGATATCTGAGACAGGGATCAAATCTGCGTTCACGTGAACCTTCCACTCTATCTTTCGTTTCAGAAATGCGTCAACCAACGAGGGCCTGGTGTTTCCATAATCTCCGTAGCGCTTGTCGTATGCGATAGTAAGGTCCAAAATCGAATCGATCTCTTCTTTTAAAATTTGGATGGACATAGACGGCCCTTTCACGCGAGGTATTAACAAATGCTTCAATGGCTGGAGGTTTCTACTGATTGCAAACTCCTGGGACTTCTTGAGTTTTGAGTTGTCAATCCTTGTTCCTTCAGGGAATATCACTAACCAGAACGAACGTTTCCTGGAGCTGCCGACAATTTCCAGGAGCTTCTGTCGTATGCGGGACATGTCCTTGATCCAGTTTCTTTCCAGGAAAACAAAGTTCAAGAAGTAAGCAGCCAGGCCGAAGATCGGAACAAAGATGAGTTCCTTCTTGGCGAAAAACCTGAGATTTCCCGTCTTGCCATACTTTGATGCAACAAAGAATATCACAAGCACGTCAACGGCGGATACGTGGTTGCATAGGATCAACTTGTTTCCTGGGTACCGGACCATGAGCTCGGCAAGGTTTCCCGTTACGATGGTCTTGAACTTGCAGACACGCTCTGCGTACTCGATGATCGAGTTCCAACTCACACCGGCCAGGCAGTCCAAAAACACCTCGTGCATCCATGGAGCAAACGGCTTCAGGAACAGCAATGAAAGGATAGGAACGATGTTTCCAGCAGAAAATGTTGACAACCAAATCCAAAGCGCAAAAGTGAGGCCGAGGAGCAAAATGAGCGAGTCGTGTGCACAAAGAACAAGTCTGTGCAAAATGCTTGGCATGATTAGGATCAACCTGCCCTCAATATCTTGTAATCAACAGATACACGCATTCTCCATGAACACGATTATGAGCCGAGAGTGAGAGAGTTCGCAAAGTCGACTGTGCCTTCTTCCAGGACAAAGATGCTCTTGTCTCTCCTGATCGACGGGACTAGCTGCTACTTCTCAGGTTCCTTTGATTCATCTATCACTTCTACGCAAGCTCTCCTCTCGCCACATATACTTCTTCCCTCTCGCCTGCTCCTTCCCTTGTCGCCCTCGCTTTGCATGGCGAGAAGGGGCTGGTTCTTTCTCGAATGTGAGGGTATGAATATTAACGACCCCGCTTGCTAGGGTACCTTTCCCTCAATTTGTCATATGAAATCAGGGGTACTTGGTTTCCAACTTTCATTTGATGGGGTGGGGGTCAAGATTGACCAGAAGCAAGTTGGTCGGGGAGGACTCACAGTGCCGCCGGCCCGGCCGCCGGAGGGCCCGGCCAAAAGATGACTGAAAAGATGAGAGGTGTGTATGGTGGGGGATGAGGTCCAGGAATCGCAGAGCTCATGCAGAGGGGATGTGGAATGGGAGAAGCGCGAGGCGCGTGAAGCGAGGGCAGGGAGGGCACTTGGAGACGGACAGCAGGTGAATTCCACTCCTCATTCGAGACCGACGACCAGGTTTGCTGTCCTGGAGGTAGAGCAGGAGGCGAGGTCTGCGTGCGGAGCGTGAGGGAGGAGGCCTCCAGGAAAGGTTCTGCAGGATGCTAGCTCACTCCAAAGGGCTGGTCCTTTTCGCAGATGGCTGCGACAGAGCGACCGCGAGTTCAACTAGACTGCATGCTCTTGACGTGATTGCGGACAAGGGGGTGAGTGGCTGGCTCTCCATCCGCATTCCCCCCTGCTGCTCGGGGTCTTCGGGCGTCGCTCTTGCGCAGGTCCTGGGAGTGATGCCGTCCAGGCTTGCGGCATGCAAGGGGCGGCTGTCAGAGCTGGATGGTTTCGAAAGCAAGGGAGAGAAGGAAGTGAGTCTCAACGAACGGTACGGGGGGCTAAGGGTGAAGGTCCTTAGCAACCGAGAGGAGGTCCTCGGTTTACAGGACACCCTCCGGCTCGATTGTGAACTCCTGGAGAAGCCTCCTGGTGCGGGGTTGAGCAGCCATAAGCTTGGAGAACAGCTGGTGGACAAGGTGAGAAAGGCGCTGGACGGCTCGGCAGACCTACTCATCCTACACCTGGATGCGCGGGCGATGGACGAGGGCCAGAATGCGGAGCTGCAGACGGCGCAATGCCTGCAGACCCTGGCGGTGGTGGCCAACAACGTGTGGGGAGATGGGAATATCGACATGCTGCAGTGCATGATGCTGGCGCACAGGCAGGATCTGGGCTCTTTCACATTCGGTTCGGACGGCAAGGAGCAGAATGGTCACATCCACTCGCTGCAAGACCAGCTGCGGAGCTTCCTCCGCCCCCCGCAGAGCTCGACGATGCACAACGGCAGGGTGCTGAATGAGGAGGAGGACGGGGTTGAGCAGAGGGTCATTATTTGCACCAACCATCCGGAAGCGACAAGGAGGGACCACGTCAAAGCCTTTGACACCGAGCAGATCTGCAAGCTCGGTATTCGCATCTGGTGCATTCCTGGCACGCGCTTCCGTGACGTCTGGGTGCAGGTGGCAATGGAGGTTTCTTGGCTCAGCATTGGTATACACTCATGTTGTTGTTCACCTTGGCTAAAATTGCTCACAGGTTGTCTGAGACTGCCTTTCTGCTGGGAAAGATGCCGAAATATGGAGCATGAGGGGATTCGAGTCACTTGTTTGCAAGTTGATCGGTCGTTATCCATCAGTAAACCGTCAAAGGAGGCTGGGATTCACATGGATCGTTACCACAGACTAACTGCCTTACGGCCTCCATGCGCTCTTCCTGGCTCTGATGACCGCCAGGCATTCAACGGGGTCACTCTTGCCCGTGTACTCGAGGAGAGTCTGCTCCCTGGAGGAGAAGATCACGCATGTGGCATGTCACGGAGCAAATTTCACGCTACCTGCATCGGAGGAATGGGTTGATCTGCCATTCGGTAGAGACTGTTGATGGCACCGTCGGGTTGCCCTGGGCCCGTTGCTGTCTCACCCACGCCAGCTTGTCCTTGATGGCTTGATTGTTGGGCTCGGCAGTCTGAGCATACATGAGATTCTTCTCTGTGTACTCATGCCCGCACTGCATCGAGCCCATCAGTTCACAAGTCCCAGGGCATCGGTCACTTACATAGACCAGAGTGTCGGGCGGCAGGGATCCGATCTTCTCGACAAGAGCATGGAACATCTGCTGTGGCGTTCCTGCGTTGAAGTTTCCGCAGCCCGCAACGAACATGGTGTCGCCTGTGAAGACACAACGCGGCCCGTCCTTGGGCTCAAGGTAGTAGCAGACGTGGCCTGCAGTGTGGCAGGGGGTGTAGAGCACCTTCACTTCCAGAGAGCCCACCAGCACAGTGTCACCGTCTCCTACCTCGCGCATGACAGCTTGAGCGCGATCGCCCTTGCCGCCCACGACCTCGAGGTTGGGGACTAGTCGCTTCATCTCTTCGTTGCCCCCAGCATGATCCCAATGGGCGTGAGTGGTCAGGATGTGCGTCAGCTCCACGTTCTCCTTCTTCGCCGCCTCGAGGACCACCTTGGGCTCTGCGGGGTCAATGCAGGCAGCCTTCTTGGTAGCCTCGTCGATGACGAGGTAGGCGTAATTGTCTGCCACAGTCAAGCTCAGATGGCGCTCGGGGCAGGAGAGGGAGGGAAGATACCTTCAAGGATCGGAACCGTCACAACCCTCATCTTCAGACTGCTAGAACAGACACCAGGAGGTCCAGCGGTACTAACCAACGCTTGACTTGTCAAGAGGAGCGCGAGGCAGAGGACTTGAAGCAGATGGCGGAGAATTTTGGCTACTGCGCAAAGTAGATTCTCAGTTGACATGCCACAAGCATGTCAAGCATGTCAGATTGAATCCTTTGGATTCTGGATATGTGTCGGCAACGATACAGCTCACTTTGCTTGTATCTTTAGTGAGTGCATGTTTTCTACCCTTCTTCCCTCCTCAACCTTGCTGTCTCCCGCATCCCAGCCGACCCTGCCTTTCATCCTTTCCTCCTGGCCATCGTCATTCCATCGTTTCCTGCACCAATCTCCCTCCTACCTCGATGCATCCATCCATCTACGACCCCCTGACCACCATCACTCCCGCCACCTCTGCTCTCATGGTTGCACCCTTTGCACAGAGACGACCCCCCTCACCCCCAGCGATGTTAATATGGCATTACCCACCCCCTTGCCCACCCGAGCAGACTCTTCACTAACACGCTTTAGATCGCAGGCGTATCCGACTCCCCCCCTTTCCTCCCCCTTTCCTCCCTCCCTCATACGCAAAACCGTGTTGTCCCGGAGTTTTTCTGAGTCACCTGAGGGTCTAAAACTTCAGTCCTCTACGGTGCAGCTGGGCAAATGTCGCAGCTTGGACGGGGATGCCCAGGGATAAGCTGCACAGAGATGAAGCTTCGCACAGATCAACCCCTGGTCAACGATACCCTCAGGGTTCAAGGCAGAGGCCTTTCTCTTACCCTTCTGCTTCATTCTCAGTTCTTTGTCGTACTTTCAGCTCCTTCTCTCAGTGCGAATACATTCTCAGACCCTCACGCTGCTGAACTGAAGCGACTCTCTGTCAACCCTCCATCCATCCCCCCCCCCCCTCCCCCCCACCCCCCCATCACAAATCCGCACAGACCGGGCTCTACTCGACTAGCATCATGAGCGTGTCAAATTCACTACCTTGAATTCCCCACTGTCTAGAAAAAATGAACAAACCCCATAGCTTTAGCTTTCATTCCCAAAACTGCTTCGGGGAAGTTGCTGACTTCTTTGTCAGAATTTCCACGCCTGAATTGAAATCAGAACATCGAAATCAAAATTCTGACTGCATCTGCTATCTCTGAATCGCATCACCGACCTGTTTCAGTGATAAGAAGGGTGTGTTCAAATTGAGCACTTCGCTTGTTGTCAGAGGTGACGATTGTCCAACCATCATCCAGGGTATGGTTCTGCAGGACGAGCAAACGAGTCAGACGAGAGAGAAGAAAGGAAAGGGCGAAGGAAAGGACGGAATTAGCATTGAGTCGACATCGCACACAACCTGATCTGTGCCCTCGTTGATCATAGGTTCAATGGTAAAAATGTGGCCAGGAGCCTGCAAGGTCCTAGTTAAGCATGGCAGGAACCTAGCTAACAACAAAACTCACCATGATCCCCAGGTCGCGCGACGTTCCATGATGGAATACGTTGGGGGTGGTATGAAAAATCTTGCCGACTCCATGGCCGAGAAAGTTCTTGGTCGTCGAGAACCCGTGACTATGAGCACGTAAGGGAGGAAGGGAGGAGCAGGATTGGAGGGAAGCTGTGAAGTACCTGGTGACATAATCGTCGATGACATGGCCTATCTTGTTGTAAGGAACCCCAGGACGACAGATGGCGATTGCCGCCTGCCCACGAGCATGCAAGTCAGACGCAGCAGAGGGAGCAGGGATGGCCAACCTGCCAACTGTCGTACGTGACCTTGAGCAGCTTCTTTGCGCCCTCATCCACCTCCCCCACACAGAACATCTCGCTGTTGTCGCCGTGGTAACCACGAATGTAACAGGAGACATCTATGTTGACGATGTCTCCCTGCACAAACTTCCTGTTCGGGTCCGGTATCCCGTGGCATACTACCTCGTTGAGGGAAGTGCACACGCACCTTGGGAACCCGCGGTAGTTGAGCGGGGAGGGGTACGCCCCCCTCTTGATAGTCTCTTGGTAGACAACTTCGTCTATCTCCGCTGTGCTCACACCCTCCTGAACCGCCTTGCCTGCAGCATCAAGCACCTCCCTCGATATCCTGCACGCACGCATTTACCAGTCAGCCGCTCCCGTCAGCAGTCCTTGTTCATACCTGCCAGCCTCTCGAGCACATTCAATCTCCTCCGGCGTGTTCTGGTAAATGATCCAGGGAAACACCGGGGGGATCCCTTTGGGGGTCCCATCCTCAGCATAGTCCGGCTTCTCTATGTGCTCAGGAATGTGGTACCCCGAGCCTCGTTTCCCCCGCCCAAAGATCTCCGAGAAGAAACCTGAGCACAGGTTCCTCTGGCGCCGAGCAAGCTTGGGGGCCAGCTGTCTAATCCGCATACCAGAGAACTGGATCAAAGTCTTCATGTCCTGTGATCCACCTGCGAAAAGTCTTCAGCTACAGTCAGACAGAGGACTCTGGTGGAAGTAGCTCCGGACATTTATGTCGTTTTCACAACCCCCCCCCCCTCCACCTACTACGAGCCTGTGAAAACTCTTCATCATCGCTTCCTTAGCACCATCTGCATGCTCCTCCCTCCTCCCCCCATCACTCCATGTCACCCTGCCCTCAGCATGGCGCACCCTCCCAGCCCGGGCCAGTCCGGGGCTGATACCCCCACCCTACAAATCATAGGAAAAACCTGTTTCAGGTCGGGTCATCAGACACGAGTACCCCTACCCCTGCAAAATCACAAATTCAATCCGGCCGGGCCGGGCCGGGACTCGTACTAGCGGCCCACCCCCGGGCCAGCCTGTGACGCTTTTACTAAGGGCCGGCCACTGCCGGTGCACGGTTTGTGACGGTGATCAGCGTCGAGTCGATGTTCTGTACGATCTTTTCCCTCTCAGCCTCGCCGTATGGCCTCGGAAGTACGACGTACTAAGTAGTGACAGTCAGTGAACTGGCCGGGCGCGGCCTGATAACTGATACCAGATTTATTGACCTAGCTAGACTTGATAAAAATGATGAAAGCAAATTGACAACGCGGCAAGATAAACTAGACACTGAGAAACTTCATGGAAACCGTTTCGAAAGTACCGCCGTAAAAACAGCTTCACTTGGCGAGGAGATCTCGCCAGAACACGTAGCTCCCGTGGCTTCCTTCCTTGGTGACCTCATACAGCGGCCGGAGGTGAACCTGCACCCGCATGAAAGTCACCTCCTACACCACACCCCTCCTCTCCTCCTCCAGACAACCCCCATCGCTTGCTCCTCCCCTTCCACCCTCTTTCCCCCCTACCCCCCCTCACGTCCTTCCCATCTGCATCTGCATCAGCTCGTGTTCACCTGCACCTCCACGATGTGCGTCTCCACCTCCCCGTTCCGCTCCCACGCGGCGACAGGAACGAAGTGGCAGGTCCGCTCGTCGCTCGTCCAGCCGACCTCGAGGGAGAGCGAGAGGTTGCGGAACCCCGTCGCCTCCTCGAAGTCCTTCGACTCCTCGTCGAAGCGATTCTTCACCTTGGTGATGCGGAACAGCTTCTTCCCTTGGCCCTCTCCTCCTCCCTCCCCTCCCTCCCCGTACAGGTCGTGCTGGGTGAAGAAGCCGACGACCGATCGCTCCAGGAGGCTCATCAGCACCCCCAGCAGCGTCTGCATGTCCTCCACCACAAACGTACATCGCACAAGATCCGTCAGCAGCCCAACGTCCCTGCCATCCAACTCACTCCCTCACTCCCCAACAGCCCGACGCCCCCCCCCACCCCCCTCCAGCAGCCTCCTCCTGATCCTCGACCACCACCACCACCACCTCCTCCTTCTCCCCCTCGTCCTTTTGTCCCCACTCTTCTTCTTCTTGCTTCTGCTCCCCTCTCCCCCATCCCCTCTCCCTCAGCCCTCACCTCCTGTAAGCCCTGATGCACTTCTGGAAGCTCCGCAGCGGCTGCTTCACCGGCCCAGGTACAAACTCAAACTTCTTGACAGGTTCTTCCTCCCCAAAGGTCGCATGAAGCTCAGCTGGGGATGGAACGCTCGTCGGTTGCTCCTTCTCATGCGTCTGAGTCGCCAGGTAGCTCTCCACGATGGAGCTCAGCACCTGCTGGACAGGCTCGTTGATGCTCGCGGCCTGTGCAAACAGCTGGTCGATGTCCGAGGATCGCTGCCGCGCCTTGCCGTTGAGGGAGTACCTCCTGCTCTGGTCGAAGTGCGAGGTCAGAAGCCAGACTATGTTGGTCCACTTGTCCTGGCGCGATAGGGCGCGAGAGTCGTTGGTGATGATGGAGGAGATGCGGCGAGTCAGCACCAGGACGCGACGGAACGCTTCACGATCGTCCTCGCAGCGGCTCGAGTCCACCACAACCTGTACATCTGCGACCTTACCGCGATGAGGAGCGGGCTCACTCGCCACGCTGAGGCTTTCGATGTTGAACCTCTCCCTCACCCGCTTCCATCGCTCGTTGTATCGCTCCACGTCCCGGCTGAGATACTGCGACGCCTCCTTACGCACTCGCACCCACAGAACCAAGAGAATCGGAATCATGGCGAAGTATGAGCAGGCGATCACAAGCATCAGGTCCCCGACATACTTGTTGGCTCCTCCATTGAGGATCGGGTTGACCGCATAAGAAGCTGGACTGCTCCACAGTAGATGAAGATGCCGAAAATTAGATACTCCTGTCGGTAGCGGAGGAGGAGGGAGAGAACCAAACCGCAGATTATACTGATGATGATCCAGAGCAGAAAGCCTGTTTCCACTGACGTTCCCCACGTCCAGCTCGGGTCGTGCAAGGACAGAGCATGCTGCAGGATCTCGACGAGAAGGGCGAGGACAGCCGTGAAGCTGTTCACCATGAACATCCTCTGAGCAAACCGGCGAGCAATTAGAGGAGACTTGTACCGACCGACGTAGGCAATGTAGACAATAAGAATGCCTAGCCCGATCTCATTCAGAGGAGCCATGATGAAGTAGTTTGCCCACAGCAGCCTCGTCCTCCCCCCCCCGTACCACAGGAACGGGTTCGCCATCACGTAAGCCCCAAAGAGGATAAGACCACTACCATAGAGCGCTACGGCAACCTGGAAGAACACCTTTGACATTGCAATCTCACAAGCGTTACTGGAGAACGTGCAGGACAGTGCAGATCCTCGCACGTCTGTGTAGTCATCCAGCCTCCTCGCCAGCTTGTGCGATCGCTCGTCCTCCTTTAGCTTCTCGATCGCAGCCGCCAGTCGCAGTCGCAGGCCCAAAGTCTCTAACTCAGTCCCATTCTCAACCCCAGTAGCTATGCTGAACAGCGTCCACAAGCGATCCACGTCCTCTCTCCTCAGCTTCGCTATGATGTCGAGCGTGTGCAGGTCTGCAGCATTCAGGATGGGAGCTGCCCGCATCAGGCTGTTCTCCTGTAGCCAGTCCAGCAGCTCCACCCCCGTCGGCGTGTTGAAACGAAACCTCCTCCTCCTCCACGAGTCTATGTCCCTACGAACCACGTGCAGGATCCTCTCGGCGCAGTCAGTGAAGGGCTGCTCTGACGACATCTGCGACAGCTTGATCCCCTGCAGCTTCAAGATCATCCCCACCGTCTCCTTCACCGACCTGCTTCTCATCTCCATCAGTTGCGCTTCCTTCACGCCGAAGCTCCGCAGCAGCTGCTCTGCCGTGTCGTTGGTCATCTTGGAAGGACGGTCGGGGAGATTCTTCAGCTCCTCCATCGGAAACCTCACCTCTGCCCCCTCCGAGTCCCTGTCCATGAACACGGGGAGGATCGAGCGAAGAGAGCTGTCCTCCATCCGCGTCCACTCCAACGCGATGATGTACTCGAGAAGCACGTTGTCCACTCTGTCCGCATCCTTCAGCGACATCATCCCTCCCAGCGACCCTCCCCCATCCCCCGTCCACGAGAGCAGGGGAACGAAGACCATGGTGTGCACGACTCCGCGAGCAAACGAGTCCTCCCAGTTCTTCCCGTCTTCCAGGCATTCCACGTCCAAGAACACCTTGGCACATTGAGGAGGCAGGCCCGAGGGCTTCTTGGTGAAGCCGCACCACTGACCTCTCCCTTCGGCGGGGATGGGGAGCCTTGAGGTGGAGACCTCTCGAAGCTGTTTGTAGATCAACTTCACGGCGTCTTTTTCAGTTGCAACTCGGTAGGAGAGGAAGACATGGAAGAGCCGCCCTTTCAAGGAGAAGGGACGCACAGGATTGTACGACCTGCTCGAATTCCCTAGCAGCCTTGAGCTGATAGAGTTCGTGTGCGCAGTCGCTATGAAATCACCAGTTTCACTATGCATCTCCCGTCGTATGTTTTTCCTGTGTCCAGAGCCACTTGTAGCCTACTTGCCCTTGCTTGCCATCGTTGTCCTTGTCCTCCGTGCTTGTCCTGTTATCATCTCGCAGCCATCTCCTCAATCTGAGCATTCCTCTTCGCTCGCTCCTCCTCCCGCCTCCTACTCGTTTCACCGCCCTGCATCAGTTCAACATAGCGCTTTTAAAACAACTTATTTTAAACATAAACTTTGAGTAAACTTTAACGAGTTGAGTGAATCCTGACGGCCCTGACGACAGCCCGGGCCCGGTCGCCGGCCGGACCTAATAACACTTCCAGCCAGAGACCTCAACATATCAGGTTATGAAGCCTCTTTCAGCGGATTTTTTCTTTTCTTTTTTGCCTCTCTGTGAAAAGCGTTTAGCAGGCCGGGCCGTTTCCGTGAACGATGCACCGGGAGTCCGTGGTTGGGGTCAAAACTACTATCCGAGGGGGTGGGGTGGTACATCTCGTTTCCAATCAATCTGAAAGGTAGGGGTAGGCACCCCTACCCTGAGGTCAAACACAAATTCGTGGGGTCGAATAAAGTTTTTTGATCAATGGGGATCTGGGGTAGGGGTAGGGGTAGGGGTAGGGGTAGGGGTAGTACAGTTTATTTCTGCTGACGAGGTGGTGACGATCTAGAACTACTTATAGAGGGTACCCCCTCCTTTAAAATTGGGGTAGTTGGGGTCCTTCATCAATCAGATAGGGAACCTTGTCCACCGAAGGTCCGAGTTATTGTATGTACCTTTCCGGCAAGAACTTGCTACCTTCTCGAAGAAGGGTCCAAGATGAGGGAGGTTTTTCTTGACGGGGTAGGGGTACATTAAGGAGGCTACCTGTCTAAAGAATGGGGGACAAGGGTGGTTCTGTCTCTGGAGAGGGGGTACTCGGGGTAGTAATACTAAAACCTAGCCAAGACCATGGGGGTGGTTATCTTTACTTCCACATGGGACAAAAAAAGAAGTTGGGTTTTATACCGACACAATGGGCCAGGGCAGAAGGGGTAGTAGGTTCGAGCGAAGGTACCGGTATTTTGTTTTTCAAAATTGTGGGAAAATCATGGGGTGGGTACTTTCCTGGGTGGGATGGAGAACTGAGGGACAGAACAATAAAAAGGACACAGGAGAGGAGTATGGTAGGGTCATTTGCGTCAAAAAGGGGGTACCGATTTGTTTTGCAGGGGTACGATTTATATGATAAAAGGATGCAAGGAGGGTGGTCTGATTGCTGACAAGGTCAGGTGCAAGTCACGCGGCAATCACGAGGACAGTTTAGAAACGGATCTATAGATTTCCTTCAGGGGTGCCCAGGAAGCACAAGATAGCGGGGCGGGCCAGGGTGCTCTGGCTGCTTGCTATGAGAAATAGCTCATGTAGTCTTTTGAGGCCTGTTGTATACCCCCAGTTTGGAAAATTATTCTCGGAGTAACCACTCAATATCTGAGAGAATCCTTTTCAGGGGAATGAAAAAGTTTTGAAAATTGATTGATGTATTTTGAAAATAAATAAAATTATTTCATGAAGCAATCAACATGTGGCTGTAAGGGACCTGGCGAAGGAAAGAAATCCTGAGCTCAATTTTCACAATGCTGCAGATTGCTGGTAATGCGAGGTGTAATGCAATGCGATGCTGAACACTGCTGTCAAGGAGGAGAGAGCACACAAACAAACAAGCTTTCAATCCTTAATTATTTGAATCGTTGTCTGGCTAAGATCAAAGCCTGAAAGCATTGGAAGTTAGAAGGATTGTAGCAAAAGGTCCGAAGGGATTGAAACAGCAGTCGTATACACAGTTCCAGTTGACACATGTTCCCGGATACTGCAAATCATGGGCTTAATGCCGCCACAATGGGTGTGCATTTTACAGCAAATGATGATCAGAGAAGTTCAAGGGAGATCCGGGAAGGAGTTGACATGAACGACCATGACTCGACGATCTTGCGAGAAAACGCGCGACTGAAACAGGAGCTGGCAGAAGCAAAAGACGAGGTAAGGCGACTTCTGATAGTGAACTTTTGAAGAAAATATGTTTTTTTGTGCTTTGAATGACTCTGAAGCCTTTTCCTGCTCTTATTGTCTTGTGGCAGTTGAACAGGTTGAGGGAGGCGTTGCAAGACAGGGAAGAACACAAGAAGATGATTGAGCAAGACGCAGAGGTACCTGGATAGGCATATCCTCCGATGGATCGCTGAATTTTCACCGACAGTTTCATACAAGGTACTGGTTACCTGAAGAGCATCAGAGGTTCCTCGTCGGACTGAAGATGTATGGGCACAAGGATATCAAGTCCATTGCTCGATTTGTGGGGACGCGCAGCTCTACTCAAGTACGGACACACGCGCAGAAGTATTTCATGAAGTTGGATAAGCACGGGAAAACTCTGCAAGATCTAGGCTTGCCTGAGCGGCCAGAGCAAGGAAACTTGAAGGATGAATCAGGTCTAGATGATGCCGATAGCAAAATTTCGGACTCCAATCCTCGGAAGAAGATGAAGATGAACAAACCAGACACCAAGGGAAGTGTATCCCCAGCAAGCTCCCGTGACAGCAGCGAGGGCTCTGGCCAGCGGTGGCAGCCGATCGCCAACGAGGGAGTTCTTGGTGTACCGGTACCATAATCTGCTGTGGTGTATCTTACCGTCGTCTGAACATATGTTTTTTTTCGATGTAGATGGACCACCAGAATGGGTTTACAAACAACTTTGCACCGGCAGGTGCAGGGGGGATCGCAGCCGCAGGGCTTTCTATCCCTACGCACCAAACCAACGTACATCAACAAGCGCCACAGGCCCAGGTCTGCCGCTGACGCTTGTGTACTGAAAATTCTGACTGGAGAACGCAGCCCGCAGGATCAGGAAATGTTTTCATGGCGATGAACCCCGTTGGAGTCGTTGGAAACACAAAGTGAGTCGCCTTCAATCTTGTATCTCGCGTTGACGGGAAGGTTGCTCAGTTGCATGGGAACCATGGGTAGCGTCCCCCAGTTCTTCATAGCCGGCGACACTGCTGCCTTCCGCTCGATGCAGGTGCACACAGCATGGGGAAATGGCATCATGATGGACTGAACTTGCCATGGCGCAGGCAAGGGCGCAGGGTCTTGGGGGACCAGCGCCTTCCATGGCAGTTTCATCACACATGATAGGAGGGATGCAACCGGCACTTCAAGTGACTTGAGCTCATCGTGATATCTTCATGTTCTTGACACGTTGCTGCAGTATCCACCGATGCAACAGCCTGTTGGCCAACAACCACAACAGGCGATGGTTAGTATGTGAACCGCTGTCTGGGTGGCTTAAAAGCTTTTCTTTCAGCAGACACCTCAACAGCAGCCCCCACCTCAACAGCAGCACCAGCACCAGGTTTACTCCCTCGTCTCAGCATGTTCTCAGGGAGGCTGACATTGCCCTTCACAGTTCCCTTTCGGTCAAGCCCTGCCTACCTTCTGGCCAACAGGAGCATAAACTGTGAAACAACTTTGTGAATTCTTTACTTTTAAAACCTGTGAAATTTCCTTGATTGTCCTCTTGGAATCTATATTGTTTCTGCTCCTGCTCCTGCTCCTGCTCCTGCTCCTGCTCCTGCTCCTGCTCCTGCTCCTGCTCCTGTCTCTCCTGACAATCCCTACGATCCGACCCTGCCATGAGGATGCCCTGGCCTCCACTTTAGCACCGGTTAAGACTGAAGTGTGGGGGTATGGAAATCACTTGTAGGAGATATACCCCCTCTTCCTAGACATCAGATAATACATAAGTGATGGTGGTGCATAATTACCTGGGGTCCTGCTGTGCATTATGGTTGGACTAGGGTGGGGTGGTCTGGGTAAGTATCCTTCATGCTCACACTGCGCCAAGGTCAGTCTGGGACGGAGAGGAGAACGAGGAGGATTGAGGGGGGGATGCGGAAAGAGAGAGAGAGGAGAAGGAAGATGAGAGAAGGAGAACGTTTGGCGGTCAGAGCTACTGGCACGGAAGCTTCGGAGGACAGGAGGGTGAAGGCAGGCAATGACGATCCCTGACGAAAAGATGAGAAGAGAGACAGTTTCATTGGCGAGTGAGGAGGCAGAAGAAAGAAAGTTTCCTTGCAATCGTAGTTATGGAACGTTTCGTACAACCCTTGCAAGGAAAGGAGGGGGTTGTGTACGATCATAGCAAGGAAGGGCGAGATGAAGAAGAATTTTTTCATGCAATCTCATCCTTTATCACTCCGTGCCTGCAACTAACATGATGGGGACGAAGCAACTGGGAGTCGCAGGACAAGGAACTTCTTGTTTCAAGTCGTGGCTGTGGCTCACTACTGCACCATCAAGGTTCGCAATCAGTACGTGTCTGTTGCATCCCCTGATCTTGATCGAATGCAGGCAAGCGAGATCAGCTTCAAGACCGATCGTGCGACAAACTCACCTGTGTGTTGACCCATCTCAGTCCCTGCGCTGGCAGCGCTCCCTCACACCCCCTGTCTGCAGAAGATCAACTCCCAACTCAACAACAAGGCCTCCTGCGCTCCAGGTTCTCTCCCCTCCACACGACTGCTGCATTGCTGACACTCCATCTCAGGATCCCTCCAGGTGAATCAGAGATCAGAGGAAATTTCGGAGTCACGATGGTATCCAGGCGCTGTTCGCCTGCCCCCCTGCGTTCCAGCGGCGGCGATTCTTTAGCAGCATCGTTAGCAGGCCGTCTCGTTGCTTCCCCAGGATGCAGTCGCTCGACAGCTCGCCGTTCCGGTTCTTCAGCAGGCTGCTGCAGATTTCGGGGCTGAGAGGAGGGACAGCGTCTGAAAAGGGGGAGGAAGGGAGGATGGAGGAGGGGAAGGTGCAAGGGAGGGCCAAGAAGATGAGGAGGATCAGCAAGGAAAAGGAGAAAGACACGACCATGTTCGCCAAGCCTCGAAGTCCTGTCCTCAATCCGGATGTCTCCAAGTACGAGGAGGAGCTCGAGAGCAAGGTGGGCCCGGCACGATGTGTTTGACCCTAGGCTCGCATTGTTGCTTTGTACAATCGTCCAGAGCAGGGATGACAAAGATGGAGGGGAGAAATCCTCGGAGGTTGCGTGAGAGATGAGAATGGAATTTCTCTCCTCCTCTATCCTTTCCATATCCCTCCCACTGTGCGATACTTGCTCTGCCGGTTCTTATTTTCTCTCCCTGTGCTCTATCTTTCAGCTCTACTCTGGTAGCTCGTTGACTGAGCGCTTTGCGAGCAGGCACAGCGAGTAAAGGATCTGCTGGGGGATTACCTGAATGGTGTCGACCTTCAAGTCTTTGCCAGCCCCCCTCTGCACTACAGGATGAGATGCGAGTTCAGGCAAGGGAGGGGGAGGGAGAAGAGAGGAGGAGATCGCGAACGGCGTGCGGTGATGGTGGAGCAGGATGTGGTTTCAGAAAGGGGATCTCCATTATGCCTTCTTTGATCCGGAGACTAAGAAGCCAATCTTCCTCGAGCAGTGAGACCTTGAGGGTGACGGGATGGATTGTGCGATGAGCGATGAGATCCATGACTGCGATGGAGGGCTGAGTGAACGTCCTGATACTGTGTTGTTTTCTGTTGCTGTTTGCTTGCTTTTCTTTGTTCTGCTCGATATGTCTTGCGTGTCTTCCTTTGACTCTAGCATGCGTCTGATCTTCTTCTCTGTGCAGATACGTCTTGGCGAGCGAGAGAATCAACCTCCTGATGAGGGAGCTGTAAGATCGTCGAAGATCCTCTTGTTCCTTCTCATCTACTACGGCAGGGCAGAGTACCTGCAGGAGGACGACATGGCGCGCACGAGGCTCTACCAGGTGTGCCGGTGCACAAGGGTAGTAGGGAACAAGAGTTGTAACCTCGAGAAGGTGGAGATGGTTGCCAACACAGACGATGAGGTTCTGTTGTGCATGGTGTACAAGTACGAGACTTGCACCTTGCTGCCGCCTCCTGCTCACATACAACCAGGAAACCTCTCGATGAAGAGTGGGTAGAGTGCGCAAAGAGGATGAGCGAGAAACTCCGCTGCCATGTGTGTTGAGCAGTTGAACTTGTTGGCCATGGCTGACGCGCGAGAAAGATAATCGGGCGGAGCAAAAAGATTAAGCATGTTATTGGGGATGATCATGTAGTGCAAAGCTTTGAGTTCGACGGGAAATCCTATCCACAGGTGAAAGAGGAGGGGGATGGAAAAGGAGGCGACGAAGCTGCTAGAATGAGAAAAATCCATGAAGATGATGTTGAGGACGAGGACGGATCACAAGGACAAGAGTCAGGAGGGAGATGGAAAGGAGGGAGAGGGAACGGGGCAGGGAGAGGAAGGCGATGCTTGGAGGTGGGGTGAGGTAGCTGCGATGATGGTGTCGATCATGTGAAGGTGGTGTTGAAGCATATCACAGACTTAAATTTTGATTTACAGTGGCAAACCGAGAATCACTTCTCCCAATCAAACGCTCATGTAAACTTGACGGCTCCACGATATCATGCTCTCCCTCCCCCACCCGGCTTCCCTTCCTCCTCCCTCCTCCTTTATCTCCCATTCCCTCCCCTGGTATCTCTTCTCCCACCTTCAACTGCTGAATCCCTGTTTGCATGCTTTCAAGGGACTTGTGATTTCCTGAAAGTCTTCAACAGATTTGCAAGCAAATGTTGACCTGGGCAAGAGAACAGCTGGGGAAAGAAGGGCGAAGAGACGATGATCTCCTTGAGCTCTATTGTGGTTGTACTCATTTTCTCCCTTGTGCTCAGCTTTCCCTCCCTGCAACTCGCCAATCGCTGAAACTCTTGGCAGGAAACGGCAACTTCACTCTTGCTCTGTCCGCTCTCTTCCGGAAGGTGAGGAAAACTTCTTGTCGGATGGGTTTGCTTTCTGTTCCATCACTGACCTGCTGCTCTCCCTCTTGCTTCGACCATCCGTCATCTGCCTCCATAGCCTGAGGCCGCTGCCGACTGTGCTTGACAGCTGCTGTTCAGATCCTCGCAACAGAGCTCGACAAGTACTCAGTGAACGCTGCAAACGCCTGCGCGAAGGCTGCCGAAGTTGACAACGTAATTCTTTTCCTCCTTCCCTCACCCTTCACCCTCCTCGTAACTTTTATCATGATTGTAATTCCAACGATCATCATCTCATCGCCATCATCATCACCATCACCATCTTCATCACCAGCAACATGACTATCAGCACGATTCTCGGCATCTGCCTTTATCATCATACTATTTGGAGCTAAACTTTCCATGTGACAGGTGGTAATTCTTCCTCTTTCGGCGGAGGAGGCGACGGAGGCAGTTCTACGGTCAACGCCTTTGGACCCCCTCGATCTTGCTGACACCTGAGCAGAGGGAAACAATACCCGCAAATGAAGGGGGTTGACGTCAAATCGTACAATCTCAGGTTTCCCCTCCTCCTTCTCCTCCACAGCATTCTCTGCCTCGTCATCGTCCTCGTGCTGAACTTCCCCATCCTCCGTTTACCTTCTGCTATCTTTCCTCGCCTCCATCTCCTTCTTTCCTTCCTCCTGTTCGTCTTCCCCTCCTCCCGGCTATCTGCCTCCTCCTCCCTCTTCCTGTAATCTTCCTTTTCCAACTCCTCTCTTGCGCCTTTTCCTAGAGCGCTCTGCTCATCTCCTGTCCCTCCCCCCTGCCCCCCTCGTGCCTCCCTTCCAAACCTTGTTGACTCTGACTTGATCAGGACGATCCTTGTCGATCCTCCTCGGGCCGGCCTCGATGATGCGTCAAGGGAACTGGTGAATGGGGTACGGAGCTCCTTAACATTTTTCTTTCCCACCGTCTCCTGCACCTGCACCTGCTCCTGCTCCTGCCGCTGCTTCTGTTGCTGCACCTGCACCTGCACCTGCACCTGCACCTGCACCTGCACTTGCTCCTGTTGCTGCTCCTGCTCCTCCGCCTCCCCTCCCAGGAATCTCGATTTTTTGCTTTGTGCTCGCTTGTCCTACTCACTTCATTCTCTGATCCTTCTTTTAGTTTGACGAGGTTTTGTACGTCTCATGCAACCCTGCCAAGTTGATTGTCGACCTTGAAGGTGTCAAAATCTTTGATCCCGGCTCTTCCCTCTCCTCCCCTCCCTCCCTTCTTGTCTTTTCCTCTCCCCCCTCCCTCCCTTCTTGTCTTCATCCCTTGTCTGCTTTCTCTCATTTCAACTTCAGGGCTTCCAAATCACAAGATCGTGAGCGCCGCTCTATTCGATCAGTTTCCATGGACAGATCATGCGGAGGTTGCGGTGAAGCTTGTCAAGAAGTGAAAGAGAGGAAAGGAGATGTCAAGTAGAGAGATGAGAAGTGAAGTAGAGGAGAGGAGATTGCTGTTCTTGTCTCTATGAGGAGCTGGTGTTGAATGGAATGGTATGTTTTGATTCTTTTAGGGGGGAGGGAGAAGTTACGTTGAAGGAGAGAGAACAGATAGAAAAACAACCAGGTCAGGTCAAGGAATAGCAAAACAATAAGGCCAAAGGAAGGATAAACGCCTGACTGTTAACAAGTTGTCAAACAAAATCAAATCAAATCAAACAAGAAAATCGATCTCACGATAGATGCATACAACATTGTCAACAATATCGTCATCATCGTCATGGTTTTTGTCGACTTCCAGTCTATCTCCACATTGATGTCTACAACATTGCCACCATCTTCAACATCATGTTGAACATCATCATCAAGAACAACAGCATTAGTATCATTGTCGTCGTCATCACCATCATTGCCCGACATCATCATCCAACTTACATGTTTGGCCTTCTACTCTGCGATGACTGGCTGAATGTCGAAAACATTGTCAGTCCGGAGGAGAAGTAAACGTCACTAAAAGCATCCTACAAAGTCGTCAGATCCAGCTCTGAGGCTCTCTCCTCTCATTCATCCCTCCTCTCTCTCTCCTCCCCGCCGTCCTCCTCCTCACGTTCATCACTGTCGACATCCCGCAGTTCAAGCAGCTCCCTCCTATCTGCCAGACCTCCCCAGCAAACGTCGTGTACCCTGCTCCTCGCCTCGGCCCGTTGGCCACCGACGAGTTGGTCGCATAGAAGATCGCGTCCTCTGCAGTCGTCGAGTTCGTGTACCACAGCAGCACCTCCTGATCCCCCAGCAGCCGGTCAGAGACCGCGAACACCATCAGGCTTCCTCCTGCCGACACCAGCCCTCCGACGGGCTGCCCGGAGACGGCACAGGCCTGGCGGGCCTCCTTGAACGTGACGCCATCGCTCGAGATCCACGTGGTGTAGTAGTAGCGCAGCTCTCGCGACTCCGCCATGATGAACAGCTGCAGTCGGTGGACTGCCCCCACCACAGACCGGCAGTCCTGCCATGGCGTCGAGTTCGCGGCCCGGGTCCACCTGACCCCGTTATCAGTGAACCATATGTCGTGGATGAAGTCTTGATTCGCTGCCGCGTACTGGTCGTAGTCGCTTCTCACTCCCGATATGATCCAGATCTTCCCTAGGAAGTCAACTGCCACCATCGAGTGACGCGGCGCCCACATGTAGGACGACGACGACGGGTCACATGTGCTCCCGGTGCAGGACGCAGAGTCCTCCCTCACTGCCTGCCACGTGACCCCGTCCGCAGAGGACCAGACAGCGTTGGACGTGTGCCGCTCGTTGGACTCCACCGCTGACAGCGTTCCTCCCATCGCCCAGAGCTTGGAGTTGAACGTCAGACCTCCAAACTTTCTTCTAGCCGCCCATGGCGCTTTGCCCGTCACTGACGTCCAGGCTGCGCCGTCCGCACTCTTCCAAACGTCGTTCATGAGCTCGAAAGCTCCTGACGCTCCTCTCTGTCCGCCCATGACCCAAACGTGGTTGTCCTTGACCGCCACCGCCATGTCGCTCCTCCCGAACCAGGCTGCCCTGTCGGTCTTGGCGCCCCACAGGCTGGTAGCGTTTCCTGGGGAGCAAACGAAGTCTACGACGTTGGTATACATGGACCTCTGATGAGTCTCATCGCACATCGCATGGAGGGAGCACAAGAGCACGAGCAACGATCTGGCCTTGGCCATCATGTCTGGACGAGAAGACCTCTCAGTGTAGCAGTGCACAACTCCTGCTCATCCCCATAAGCATCCGATCATCTGCATCTCAAGCCGATATCTTGTTTTTCATGACTTGTGCAATGATTCCCCCCTTCCAGATCTCGACGGAAAGTCAATCGACTAGAAATCACCTGCTCAACCATCAACCTGGCGGCATATCGAAAAACAATACTGGCTCATCGTAAGCTAGCTGTCATATCCCTTACGTCTATCCCTCCCCACTCCCTCAGAGGCTTTCCCTTCCCCAGTCTTCACTTCATTCCTCACCCCCTCACTCGGTTCCACAGTTCCTACTGAATATCAGCTCCTCACCCTCTAGCGCGGCCCGAACTTGCCTGGCATAGCACCATACATGCTTCAGACCTGCCAGTACCAGCCTGCAGCTAGCTTAACTCTATCTCCGACTCGTTGCCACCGTCACTGTCATGGCATGATGATGATACAGCCTCTCACTTCCTACTTGAATTCCTGCCTCTCAGCCGAGCATGATCGTACCTTTCCGCCATGAGTCGCCGCCACTGGCTACCACCCCTACCCTGCCTTTCCCCAGAATTTCTCTATGGGACTATGGGTACCCGTACATGACCTTTGATTGACGAGTCAAGTCTCCGCTCAGTGCGGGCCAGAGCCCGGGGCCCGGAGATTCCACGCCGGGCCCCGGGGCTAACCGATGCAAACGAGGCGGGCCGGCTATTTTGCTGAAAATTTCACCACCCACCCTTACTAAATCTAGCTGATCATTTGGAAAACTACCCCTTCTTTCCACCCCACCCGACAATTTCCTGGTTTGCTACCCTCCCCTACACAACAACCAAGTTGTCGAGGTACCGGTCCCTGTCCCCGTGAAATCAGTATCATAGTACCCCCTCCTTTCACTCCTCCATGATTTATCCACCCGTATATGGTACACCATGCATGGGTACCAGCTACAACAAGGGATCTATTAAGGGGTAGGTGATTGATTATGGGGGGTGATAGTCAAGAAGGGGTGTGATATGGAGTCAAGAGTACGGGTAGAATTAGCTATGTGAGGGGGTACTAACGAACCTGATGGGGTAGTTCTGCTGAAGTGCTGGGTAGGTGATGATTCGAAGTTTTATATACTTATTCTAGGGTGGGTTGTTTTCACAGACAAGAGGGGGTGGTAGAACAAAGGGGTAGTTATAGGCGGCCTCAAAAGCACCATGTTTAGACAGCGCCGTCGAGGAGCACGGAACGAGAGTAGTAGGTGCAATTTCATGCGTGAATAGCAATGAGCAGAGCGGTTGAATGAAAAATGAAAATGATGTGCTGGTCAGATAGCGTGAAATGCAGAATCCACAGGATGTTTATGAGCTCAAGGAAAAGCAGGTAAACAGAAGTTCACTCGTAGTTTATCGAGGTCTTAGTAGTGACATTGTAGATTGGAAAACTCTGCGGCCATGCTGGCTTCATCACATTGTTGAGTCGTTGAAAAGATGAACGGACAGGAGAGGAGAGCAGACAGGAAAGCAAAGACTGGACAGTAAGATTAGGATTAGGATTGGAATTTGGGGAAAAGTTGCAGTGGAGAAGTTACATGGTGATCCTTGTTTGTACATGGGTATGTGGATGAAGACTCTTTCATCTGCTCATGTTGTAATGGCTGGAATATGTACGCAAAATATCTCCCGCCTGTGAATTACAGCGATGAAAGAAGTCGAAAAAACTTTTTGATGATAGCCCAATCGGAAATGCACCTGTTGTCACGACTGAAGACGCGTCGCTAATCGTTCTCCGTAGTTTCTCGGCCATCTTCAAGGCCTGGAATGAAACAGTGTGCATAAGAATCTCGATTCGGTCTTGGCAAGATGCAACCAAGTGCTTCAGGTGAGAGGAACGGAACAAAGGACTATCTCACACATGTGCAGGCCTTGTTGTCTGTTTCGTCTTCCTTCAGTTTGCCGCGCAGTCTCTTTCCTTCCAGCTCATCTCTTCCGGTCATCCTCGGGCTCATCACATTCCGGGGATCGAGGCCAGCAGATTCAAAAGTTCATTCCACGATGTCGATAGACCAGCCCTTTCCCTCCCTGCCCCCCTTCACCACAGACTGCCGAGGTAATGGCAAACTTTTCGTGTTCATTGCAGATCCGGGTGTGCTGACGTTTGGCCGGCTCAGGCGGTTCGTGCTGAAGAGCAAGCAGTCGGCGTACGATCTCAACGACGGAGGAAAGAAAGGAGAAGGTGGTGGTTTGCAGCCTACCTTGGTAAGGCTCAGGTGAATGCGGGAAGGCCCCACAATCACTACTGGTGTAGGCAAGACTAGCGCAGAAGGTCGTGAGGTTGTATCAAGCGCTGGTGGGATTCCTCTTTGCGAGGCTGAGGTGAGAGTGCAAGGAGAGTGAGGACGACACACCATGTGCTGACTGTGAGATGAAAGATGGCTGTCGACCGTGAACCCAGCGATGATAGGTTTGTTGCGATGTTGGTGCATGCAGTATGCAAGGAACTGACATGCGAGCGCAGCGGCAGTGCTGTTCATGGGGATGATTTTCTTCGGGCAAGGTGAGTTTGACGTGCGCGTTGGAGGAGCCAGGATGATGATGTTTTGCAGTTAGCAAAGGATCTTCCAAGGCTGCCAGCAGCCCTCCTGTGCAGGTTAGATGAAAGTGCGATTTGACAATGGTTCTTGACGATGCTGAGCAGGAAGTGTCATACAGCCGATTCCTAGACAGGTGAGAGCGTTCCTAGAGGGATAGGACGGGAAGAGCAGATAAGGGCGGTGTGGGACGGGAGCGGGACAGGAGCAGGAGTTGAGCGGGACGGGAGGGAGTTGGTGACTGTGCCAACAGCGTGAAGCAGGGAGATGTGAAGAATGCGTACTTGGGGAGTTCGAGGTGAGTCCTTAGGAGACTTTGACTAGCCGTTGGAGGTTGACGTGCTCGTGACGCAGCGTCACCTTCGTTCTCAACGATGACACTCAAATGATTACAAGGATCCCCCGGGCCCCGCCTGACCTCGGTCGGGCTGCTATCGGCTGCCGCCGGCCCCACTGACGCTGCTGTAGTTGGCTTCCTCCACTCCCAGTCGGTCAACTTCAGTCAGTTGAAACCCGGTCAGTCGATTCTCCTTTCTTCCACCACCCCTCCTCAGGATCCAACTGATGCTTGTTGCGGTTGAGCAGGCGCGGGTCAGCTCCTCGTCCCGTACATTGGGCTGATTGTGTACCTTGGTGTCGTGGGATACTTTGGGTACGATGATTGCTGCTGGCACGCGTTCCTCTGTGCCTCCTGATGTGTTGAGATGATATTTCTCCCCCTTCGTCCTTGTTGTTCCTGCCTCCTGCCTCCTGCCTCCTGCCTCCTCTACATCCTGCAAGCACCTTGCTTGTCCTCCTCTCCTCCTCCCCTCCTTGTTCCTGGTCATGCTTCTTCGTCTCCTCGTTGTCCTGAGTGGCATGAAGGTGGCAGATGTTCGGCAAAGGCGTCGGGGGGAAAGTTGGTAAGAGAGTCAAGGCGAACCAGATAGACAGGTGGGAGTGACGAGCTGGGATGCTGCTGGAGATGTCAGCTGAAACTTGCTGGCAGCTCGCTCAGCTTCGAGGATGTGGCTGGGATCGACCAGGCGAAGGATCAAGTATGATGCCCTTGCTCTCTCCCCTGCTCCACCTCCTCCTCTTGCTGCTCTTGCTTCCCCCGCTCACACTCCCGCTCCTGCTGATGCTCCTTCCTGCTAATGCTTCTGCTCCCGCTCCCTTGTCACCTATCTGCACAGGTGATGCAGCTAGTGGATATCATGCAGAATCCCTCGAGGTATCGGCGCCTGGGAGCGAGGCAGCCCAAAGGTAAGGAAGAGGGGAGCGAGTGGCTGCGCGAGGAAGGAAACGAGCTGAGAGCTGTATGAGAAGAGAGGCGAAAAGATGTTGGGAACCGATTCCCTGGATTCTCTTGCTTACCCTCCCTCCCTCCCTCATTGTCACTTTTTTTTCTTCCTCTTACCCCTCTCTCTCCTCTCCTTCCTCCTTGTCCTGCTCTTCCTGGTCTCGCCAACCTCCTGAACTTCCTGCTTCCCCTGCTTCCTCCTTTTTCTATCTCACTCTGGAGCTCCAGGTCTTCTACTCGTGGGCCCTCCAGGAACCGGAAAGACTCTCCTCGCCCGCGTGATCGCTGCTCGGCTCAAACTTCCTTTCTTCTTCGCTTCCGGTACTGACTCGAAAAATCATGGCAGAGGACGAGAAAGAGAATGGAGGAGGTTGAGGGTAGAAGTGAGGGAGATTTCAAGGAATTGGGGAGGAGGGAGGAAGAGCAGGTGGTATAGCAGCAACAGTAGGAGAACCAGCAGGAGCAGCAGGAAACTCTAGTTTTGACCCCATCGGGCAGGCTCGGACTTTGTGGAGATGTTCGTCGGACGAGGAGCTGCGCGTGTGCGTGAGCTCTTTGCTCGTGCAGAGAAGGTGAGCTTACCTACATCCGCCTTCTCCTTCTCCTCCTCCTTCTCACCCTCCTCATTTCTCCTTTCTCCTACTTCTCCTCCTCCCGCTCTACCCGCTTTTCCCTCCCTTCTTCCTATTCCATCTGCCCCTTCCCCTTCTCCCTACCTTTCGCTTTGCCTTTCACCTTTTCTCCGCAACCACAATCTCCTCCGTCTTTTCCATTTCTCTTTCTCTCCTAGTACCTCCTCCTTGTCGTTCTCCCACTCCTGACGACTAAGTGCAGGCGGCACCTTGCGTCATTTTCTTGGACGAGCTTGACGCGGTTGAACTCCTTCGAATCGCTTCCTCCCTTCCCTTCCTATCTCCTCTTCCTCTCTCCTCTTCTCTCTGACCCTCGTCCTCTCCCTCTCTACTCTCGTCGACTCCAGCTCTCTTGCTCTCTCTCTCTCCTGCACATTCTCCTCGTTGCCCTTCTGTCTCTTCCTGCTCCCATGACTTGATCCGCAGCTGGGCAAGAGCCGAGGGTCGGGAATGCAGATTGTTCGCAACGACGAAGGAGAGCAGGTGAGGGCGGGCAAGTAGCGCAGAGGATGCAAATGTGCAGCGGTAGCGTGAGTGGAATATAGAACGAGCAGGGAGACAGCGAGGAGGCTTGCTTCTCACACACGTGCTGTAGACGTTGAACCAGCTGCTGGCCTGCATGGATGGCATCGATACCCAGGTGAGGCTGAGGAAGGATTCGGAGTGTTGGGGAAAAGGGAAGGAAGGGGAGAGGAGGAGGAGGAAGGAAAGAGTAGAAAAGGAGGCGGCGGTACGGGAGGGAGGGAGGAAGGGAAGCAGGGAGGAAGGGAGGAGGCGGTATGGGAGGGAGGATGGAGGGGACGGTGTCTGAATGGAATGGCAGGGCAACGGTATCGTCATCATCGCAGCTACGAATAGATACGACATCCTCGACGATGCCCTAACACGACCAGGTTGTAGGAAGAAAGTGAGGATCAAGGACAGAGAGCAGGCGGTTCATGGAAAATGTATAGGGAAAGGGTGGCGAAGGAGGAGAGGAGAGGAGGAGAAGACGAGACGAGGCGAGAAATGGAGAGGACAGGAGAGGACAGGAGGTGTTGGAGATGGATCCTTGGATCTTGTACTCGTGTGTCAACGTTTAATTGGAGCTTAAGGTCGTTTTGATCGAGTTGTTCGGGTTCCCCTCCCTGACAAGGAAGGGAGAGAAAAGGTGACAAATGCCGCTCCCAACTCCTCCTCTCCTCCTCCTCTTCACTCTCCTCCTTTCCTCTCGCCTTCTTCTCTATCCTGCTAAGCCTCCTTGACCAAATTCAACTTGTGAATGCTTGAACCCTTTCCTTCTTTCTCTCCTCCTTGACTCCTGGCGACCCTTTCCCTTCCCTCCCTCCCCCTCGTCCTTCTCCTCATCTCCTTTCCAGGTCCTCCGGGTGCACGCCAAGACAACTCGCCTTTCTTCCTCTGTCAACTTGGGTGAGTCTTCTCTGTCCTCGCCCTCGCGCGTTCTCACGGTCCTCCAGCTCGCATCGCTGAGAACACGGAAGGCTTCTCGCCCGCCGAGCTCTCCTCAATCATCAACGAAGCCGCTATCATGGCAGCCACCAAGAATGCTGAGTCGGTCACGCAGGTAGGAGGGAAGTGGGAGGAAGGAACATGGCAGGATGGGGAAAGAGGAGGTGGGAGGAGGAGGAGGAGGAGGAGGAGGAGGAGGAGGAGGAGGCTCCTTGATCAAGACATTGTCAATGATGAATGCTACCAGGCGGACCTTGAGGAGGCACTTCGCTCCTACAAGGTGTCTCGAGGAAAGGCAGGGCTGTTTGGTCTTGGGAAATGAAATGTTGATGAGAGGAGCGCATGAATAAAATGCAGGATATGAAGGTTTTGTAATGAAGAATACGTGTTGTCGTCTCTGATCACGTCCAAAGTGTCTACTTGGCAACACTCAAACGAGGAAGGAATTGATAGAGGTGAACACGCATGTCAGTCTTCGACGTACCAAGAAAGATCTAACAACACCATCGCTCATTTCGCAATATCCTTCTAATCCAACGCTCCTCCTCCCTCTCCTCCTCATCTCCAACACTCCTCCTCCTCCTCCTCGTCTTCACTGCAAATCCAACATTGGGCAAGAGCAGCCGACTGAATGTCAAGACTATTTCACTCCAAATCCAAGTAAAAGGTTACGATAAGATAGAAAAACCACGCCGGGGACCGCGCAACGAGTGCCGACCCGCCATTCAAAAAGATGTGCTGCTGCTGATGTTTTCGTAAAATACATTTTTGTGCTGATTTTTTTGATTTTCTCATGTTCGATCTTGTAAGTTCCAATCGCCTCTGCGTCTCTGCCATAGCAGTCAGTCAGGCGTTCACAGCACGAGCCGGCACCGCTCACATCTTCACTCGGAGACAACTGCAGTGGGCGCTGCGGTGTTGGCGTTGTAAAGGAGGTTGATGTGCATCAAGTCCCTCAGGTTTACAGCCATTGGCCCTTCAAAACGTCCATGTCAGTCCTTGTGCACTTTTCCCGTTCCCGCTCTCTTCCCTTCTCTCCCCTCCCTAGTCCACCGTGCAGTTCTCTACAATACTTCCAATGATCTTACCGAGCCAAGTTTCCCATGATGCTTTGTCATGTTTTTCCTGCGACCATGTAAGCAAATGGTGAGGAGCATGTTGAGAGAAAGTGTGTCAGCTGGTGGAAAAAAATACTCTACCTGTTTGAGCATTGTGACAAAGTCGAACATCTGTTGGCCAACGTCAGAAGGGTGGAAGAAAGCAGCTCTCTCAGTTTGATCCGCAGCTACTCGACCTCTCTAGCATTATAGCTGAACATGCGCGTTCAACAACACAGCGAAGACCACAACTGTCTTCAAGACAAAGATGACACAGCAGCGTTTCATCAACAATTCAGATCTTTCATCCAGCATCCAACGAGACTCGGTTGCCTCCTCCACATCTCCACCACCCGATCGGCGAACGTGCACACTGCACAGAGGACTGAACGCACTCGAGCCATACACCGCAACCACATCTTCAGCGCATCTCATCATGGCAAGGTTCACAGCCTCCTTGCATCTCTCTTCAAATACTCTCATCACATGATAGCATGCTCGCTCTCCTCTTCGCTCTTCCATAGCCGACACTATCCGCTCTTACCATAGTTCGCCGCGGGGAATGGTCTGTGGGGTGTTTTTCCACTCGGGGTACTCTTATCGCAAGGGCCCGATGGTTTTAAGTCTTTTGTTTGTACATCCAACGGGCTTCAGCGTTTGGAGTTAGTACTGCAATCGAAGAAATATGAATTCAACCCCCTATCCAGGGAATTCCTCGTTGGTGCTTCATTGAATCTTAGTCATCATGTTGTCTGAAAAAATACTATTTGTACGTACCGAAATCATATAGTGAAATTTCAGGCTTAAAGGGTATTTTTTGGTCTATCGAGTGCAGCTAAAGTGAAAGCAATACCCCTCCGATAAATTCTTTGGGTCCATGTCTCTTCAAAGGCTCCATATCCGGTGGACCATAACGGCAACCAACGGCTTGAAAACGTTCAAAACGGTCAATAACGGTAATCGTTAAAGCCTGTGAGAAAACGAAGCAGCAGGTGGAGGCAGAGCAGGAGAGGGAGAGAAGGAACAGAGTACAGATGCATAGTTGGAAGATCTGACAGATTGGGCACGACAACAGAAGCATAACCGAGCAAGGAGGGTGGAGAACAACAGACCTCCTACTGTTCTCTGTACCTGTTCCCAAATGGTCTTCCCTGTTGCTGCATTCGCCTTCTCCTCGGTTACCTCGCTGATCGGGGCATGCGGCAGCTGGGGCTACCTGAAGCTGAAGGCCCTTGATGACCAGATCGATCGCATCAGCACGAGCACGCACATGCTCGAGCTCTCCGTGGATTCAGCCAAGAAGGGGTCCATGTGGTCTGAACTGCTGAAGCCTTTGGCAATGGAGTGTGGGCCGCCCCTCAAGGTAATCAGCTACAGCCTCTGTGCTGCCAGCGCTGCCTTTGTCCTCGTCGGCATTGGAGCATGGATGGAGCTGCGGAGCTTCCGCATCGAGATCCATCGGCTGCGCGAGGAGAACGATGCCCTGAGGAGGCAGCTGAAGGCGGGGAAAGAGGAGAGCGTGTGATGCGGGAATTGAGGAAATGACAACACAAAGATTTTGCATTCTTAGAGAGTAATTTTAACATTCAGAGTATGCCAGCGAAATAGAGGCGACATGGTCAGGCTCATAGGGAACGACTCATAGGGAACGACTTTGAAGCTGCAAGGGCCACATCTGCAGAGCTACTCAACTCACAGACGCTCTGCTCCACCTCACCTTGATGTCATCAAGATCGAGTTTGAGCTCGTTGCCGACCAAGGACATGGCGTTGCTGAGGAGAAGACGTCAGCCGCCAGGGCCTTCACAACTCTCTACCAACCGGAAGCCAGTCCAGTCTAACCCCGACGAATTCGAGAACTTGTTTGCTTTCCTGGGTGTGAGTGTGTAACGAATACAAGAACTCAAACATCGAGGTGTACATGCTGTCGTCGAACATGATGTCTGCTTGTGCCGGCTGCAACTTACCAAGCACCCCTGTCGCGCATTCAGAGACGTAACAGGAGTTCGATCACGATCAATCACCGAGGGTTTTCAGTATCTCGTGGAACTCTTGTCGCTCCACACAGTCCTCCTGCCGGCAGGTCAGGTGCGAGGCATGCAGGAAGTTCAGAGCAGAACCTTCTTGGACAGATTGCTTCCCCGCGCACCCCACAGGCGGAAGATATCTCCTACTGGCCCCTCCTCCTTGCTCAGTGCAGCGGAGGGCTCACGCGGACGAGAAGGAGAGAACCGTGTCTCCTTTTCCTCTCTTGTCTTTCCATGTGTACTTCCTCGGTCCCCTTGGTCATTTTTTGAGACAACTTGACCTGTTTTTGCGTTGGTATGCTTATCATCGACGATCTGATAATACATCATCCAACAGCGCAGTAAAAAAAGTTTGATCACCATTCGCCGGTTGCTTCTTGCTTGTGATGAAGTGTCGTCTTTGTTGTGAGCGGCAGGAGGGTCGGAGGGTCCGATATGAGATGACACACTGATGTTCACTTGTCCTCCTCTCATTTGCGCTGCTGAAATCTGTTTGAACAAGAACTTCCGCATAGCAAGGCTAGCGCGCGAAGCATTCAGACACAGTTCCGAAGCAACATAGAGCAGCACCTGGGAATGCAGATTTCATTCCTCAGATCTTCCATCGTCATTTCCCTCAAATCTGTGGGTCCAAAATCACACAGCAGCTGCAAACTAAGCAAGCGCTTCTACCAGCCCCCGTGATGTCATTCTGTTTGAAAAGTTTGATAACCTGCAACAACACAGTGAAAATATGACATCTTTCCCGCAACGTTCATTACCTCTTCCTGATGTCTCTGGACAAAATCCTCATGCTTGTTTTCTTGAAACAACTACCATGTGCCTCAATAAGTGAACTACTGGCAGGCCAAAGAAAAATTTTTACCTTGATCAGCCATTGGTCAACCACGTCTTGTGATGAATGCAGATCACGAAAGATGTTCAAAGACTTTCCTTGACAGGAGATATTCAGAACCTGGAGAGGAAAACAGAAATAAAATCCAACCTGCTGGCTGAGGAGAGGGTTTTTGAATTCGATCTTCACTGCCAAGCAAATGCTTTCCTCTTGTGCCTGTCCCTGTCCCGCCGGTTATCTCAACTTGGTTGATCTTCTGAGCAGAGGAACTCAGTTCGGCGAGAATGGCATCGCTCATCTCACCATCGGTTGCCTTTCCCTCCTGAGATTCTCCTCCTTCACCACCATCAGTGCAGGACGGTGAGGGACGATCCTTGACTGTTGACTATCATCTTCGGACTCGGACTGCTGTGAGGGCAGATGCTGTTTCTCGAGCTCCACTTGTTTTTCAAGAATCTTAACTTGAAGCTGAAGGTTTTCGATGTACTCTTGAGAGAGTCTCAACATAACGTTCTTCTTCTCTAACTTCCTGCTTAGCTCCGGCGCCTCGCCAACCTCTACCTTCTTCTTGGGCGCGGAGATGCTGAGAGATGCATTCATCACATGCATCCTTTGTTGGAGATGGTGTACCTGGCGGGTCTCGGAGGAATGATGATTTGAGAGCCGTCAGGAAATGTCGGAACAAGCCCACGAACTTTGACTGACATGATTGCGAAATTCCTGGGATCTTGCTCGCTGCGTTGGAATGTTAGAGGCTCAACAGTTTGCAGCAGACTAGGCTTCTGAGTCCACACCCTTAATCCTCACCTTGCTGGAACTTCATGTCTCTTCGGCCCACTGAAGCGTGCCGGGACGTGGGACACAAAACCACCTGCATTCAAACTTCACACGCCGACCAGCCGGTGGGCAGAAAGGGCGGGGGGAGGGGATCAAGAGAGGGTGAAGGAGCACAGGCACCAAGATAGGAACTGACCTCCCATCGTCGTCTTGCGCCCTCGCCCGTTCCTGACCACGTCGGGCGTCATGGTGCCGCTCTTCTTGCCTTCAACGGCCATGTCGGGGACACCTTCCCTGAGTTTAGGAAAAGGTGGGTGGGATATCAATGTAAAACGAGGGAAAGACGGGGTGGGGTCATCGAAAGGGGTTGAGTTATCAGAATCAGCTCTGATGATGAATGTGGAGGACAACATGTTTGGAGGAGCGACGATGGAAGAGTAAAGATCGAAGAGCGACACTGTGATGTGTGCCGTGTTGTGATAGATGTCAATCGAGCCGTTGCTATGTTTGTCGGATAGATTGGCGAGCTGTATGCGCATCTGAAGTAGAACTTGAGATGGTACGGGGATGATTGTACGGGGATTCCTGCCATGTTGTCTAGATGCTCAGAAGAATCTTGGTTGCCCTCTACGATCGAAGGTGTAGAGATATGTTTTATTGCCAGAGCATAAGATTTGAGGTTGAACAGTCAAGTTGACTTTTCAAAGATCCTCTGGTCAGGTTGAGAAGCATGCACGAATAGGCAAGCCAGATCACACTATCCCGAACAAGCAGGTTTCTGTTTGGAGCTCCCAGAGCGAACGAACATGGGACGTCTACGTACCCATGCACCTGCATCTTGTCGGCTGTGAGCTTGTGACGTGTTTGTTGTTCTCATGGAAGGCTCCACCAGGTGCTTCGTGCCTGCAAGCCTAGCCAAGGAAGAGATGTGATAGAGGTTGCTCTGCTGGAAATGGAGCTATACATGGAAGAACACGTGAAAAGAATCCTGAAGTATGCGTTGTGATGGGTGTCTTTTCAACATCCACCTTGTTTCCGACTTCCTCACCAATCTCATAGACTGATGACTCACTGATATGTTGTCTTCTCATGCACCTCCCAGGTTCTCTCACGAGTGCTCAAATTTGCTCAGCCGAAGCTCGAATACCCGAAGATGGTGATTTGATTTTGAGTGTACAGGATGTCGTTGTTGACGGGCTCTTGTTTAGATCTCTGACCTGTCCAAGAAGGTAATAGTCGATTGGGCCGAGAAATATGGAGCCGAATCAATGGTCTTCGCCTATCTCTCTCTCTACTTCGGATCTGACTTCTTGCAGGAATTCGCATCAGCTGCTCGCGAACCTCGCTGAGACGAGAAGTGAAGGTGATATTTGACCCCTTGGATGATGTTGATAGTGACATTCCTCGGGGTTCAGCGGTACCACTCACGGAAGAAACGTGCGGCAAAATCCTCAAGCAACCATCATACAAGCCCCTCAAACTCGCATTCGAAAGCCGAAGACGTCTACACTCCGAGCTTTGACCAACTCGCGCTCATGGCTTGTTCCAGTGAGGGAAACCTCAGTTGGAACTTCTCTGTCGTCGTCTTCTGCGCATCCTGGGGTCAAACTTCATTTAAGGCTGTGCAGAAGTAGCCGATCGGGCTCTTGCCACTTCCTTCTTCTACATAATACTCATGCTCGATTAGATACATGAAGAAACATGCAAAAAAGCCATGCGAGTTGACTCTGAAATACTTTACTTGATGTTTCCGACAAAGCGCATTGATTTGGTGCTGAGCGCCTCTCAACTTGAGACTTACAGGTCTTCATCCAGAATTCTTCCTTCCCCTCTCTCAAGTCTGATTGCGGCTATTTAGAATTAAGCTCTTGCAGTTATTTGATACTAGCTTCAGCACGAGAAATCTTGCCCACACATTCTGCAGGAATAAGAAATTGACTTGCCAAGATCCTCTTCCTGAGCAATGCCATCATCCATCAAGCAAACATTACCCACACCTGGAGAAATTGAAATCATGTCAGAAACGGAATTTCAACAGTGAAGGTCAAACCAGCAAGAACAAGATTTTTGATGATTTATGCTTGACTTTCCACGGCAACGATATACAAGTACCCCGTGTTATGTGCTGGGCTGCAAACCCCCATGACCATGTTTGTCGATCGCATTGTTTGACCTGATCCGCATCAAGAGAAGCCTCTGACATATGAAATGCCGTATGCATCATAATTAGTGAAGCATACAAATTTACGATGAAGAAGGTTAATGAGACAATTGCTCTCACACAAAACCGTACATCTTTTTCTCATTAGAACAACATCCCCGTTCTGATTTCCAGCGAGCAGAACCCCAATTTCTCTTTACTCAAAGTTAAGTTAGAACCTCTCTTTCTCACATCTATCGTAGACCCCTCTGCATCCCCTGTCCTCTCCGTCCCACAAACTCGCATGGTTCCTGAACTTTGAGTAAAAGAGGTTCCTGAATCCCGTTAGGCGCCCAAACTTCAGCCTTCCCCGACTCGATGAGGCCCGGGCCCGGCCTGGGCCTCTCACTGCGCGGCCCAGCGGGCCCAGTGCGAATGCGGCAGCCGGGGCGATTCGGGCCCGGACGCATTTAGTGCAGTCACGGCCGACGCGAACGGGCGCGGGACAGTCAGGGGGCCACACCCCGCAGCAGGCGGTCTGTAAGGCCCTTGCACATCACCGCTGACACCTAGTCACGACACGGCGGCGGCCTGGTACAAATTTTCGAGTTCGCCTCAGAATAGGAGTATAGGAAACCTTGTACGTGGGTAACTCAGGTAGTAAATGAAGAACTCAAAGCTTTTTCGGAGTGTCATCATGTCATCATTTGTGTGTCATCAATGTTGAAAATTATTGTTTTCAAGACCTTGCAGACTTTTCTCTGTAAGCTTAGGTTTACAACAGGGCCAGATGGCGACACCCTACCCCCTCTTTTGAGAACAAAGAGGTAGAGGTGGTCGCTACAATAAATCTGACCTGGACTGTTTACCGATAGGAATGAAGGGGTGTTCATGGGGCCATAGAAGGGGTGGGGGGTGATCAGTTATAGATGCGGGGTGTTGGTTCCCTACACAAATCGAAGATCAGAGCAAGACGAGCGAGCGAAGCAAGTCAGAAGAACAGAAGCACCTTGAACGACTAGTCAATTCGAACACGTGTTTTGAAGCAGAGATCAGCATTGTACCCCAAGGCCACGATAAACATCCCCGCATCCAGTTCACCTGAGAGAACACAAGAAAAAGCTTTACCAAACGATGTGCGGACCCACGCAAGCGCAGCTTCTATCGAAGCCGATATCAGCAACAAGCTTGGTTGATGCGATAGCCGATCTGTATCCATCAGATGTGGTCCCTCCCCAATCAGCAGAATATCGGAGGCAGCTCAGCTTCTGCCAAAAAAGGCTGCTACGTGGGGACAGCTTCGAAGTTTTCGATCACAGCAGTCAACCTGCCTCGAACAGCCCTCCTCAAAATCAAAAAGACACAGTCCAGACCAACAATTCAGCAATGTCACATGTCAATGCGAATCTTCAATGGCAGCCCCAAGCATTTGCTCTTCCGCGTGTTCCTTCGTTCCAAGTTGAAAGGCAGAGTGGGTACGATTTGCCAACGAGCAAGACAACATCCTTCGATGCTAGCTTTCCGTATGTCCAGTTCAATCAAAATTCAGCTTTGTTTCAGGGGCAAGCAGCTTTCAACAATCTTCTTCGATCGACGCTGGACACCCAAAAAATTGCCAAGGGCAAGTACCATGCGTTCGGCTCGCCGCTCATTGAGACCGCACCCGACGAGTTTCTCGAAAGCAAGAAGGTCACGCCTCGCACGCAATGGACGAATGAGGAGCATGAGAAGTTTTTGGTTGCGCTGGATCGATTCGGCACCACCAAGACAAGGATAAAAAACTCTACAGGCCGAGTCTTTGTTGGTCTGGGACCTGGAGTGGCAGAGCTTATTGCTGCCGCCGTCGGTACAAGATCTGTGCAGCAGATACGCTCTCATGCACAAAAACATTTCCTGAGAGAAAACAGGAAAGAGCACTCAGCTTTCCAAACGTCCAATTGAAGCAAGTTGCATCCAGACGCTGCCACCGGTCACTGCTGGCGGGCAAACTCGCCGGAAGCTTTCAGATCCGGCTCAGGCATGGTATCCTCCGATGCGCGGCCAGTCCTTTATGTTAATATACTCTCCGAAATTACCGTAATTTAGTAGTACTATTCTAACCTTAGTAATGAAGCTTCAAATCTCACTGAATCTGCCGCATCTAGTCTCCAGGCGGCGTGAGTATCACTGAGTGAGTCATCATCGGAGAAGCGGATCCCGACTGACTCAACCGTTTGAACCAACTTCTGAATGTCACTGCGAGCTGTGGCGGCGAGCCGGCGTGGCTCGGCGGCTCGGCGGCGCGGCGCCTCGGACTTGAAGAGAACTTCAGAAAAGACCGTCAGCCAGGCCGTGAACTTGCTTGACCGACCGTACGGTCACCGGGCACCCCACTGGCCCAACAGGCGGGCACTGCCCGCCGCCGCCGGCTCCCCGGCCCGGCGACACGATCCGGGCCCTCAGGGCCTGAGTCACCGACTCAGACCGGGCTCGGATACGGCGTGTGCCGGCCCCCGGCCGTCGGGCTGAGGCAGCGGACTCAGTTGAGTCGCCGGCCCGCCGCGGGCAAGTTGAATGTTTTCATGTTCAAGTTTCACTGTCATGCAGCCGCCGCCGCGCAGGGTTGGACGCCGAGGCCCGGGTCCGACGGTGAGCGCGAACTTGAAGCCTCCGGCTTTCCAGTTGGGAGAGCGGCCGCCCGGCCGCGCGGCGGGCAGTGGCACGGTGTCTGATCCGCTTCAGGTTCGACGGTTGGGAAGGCGGGCCCGGCGTCGGACTCGACAAAGGAGCCTGTGAAACCGTGCCGCACTGATACCCAAGACAGGCCCGGAGGCGTTCACGCCGGGTTGACCGTCGGACTCTGGGCGGCCCGGGGGGTTTCCGGCCCGGCCCGGGCACCGGCCCGGCCGGCGGCCCGGGGGGCAAGCGCGGCCCGCGGCTGAGCGGCCACTGACCCGGCCCGGCCCGATCGGACCGTCCATTCCGGCGCCCGTGAGAGTCACGCCGGGTCCGACGTCATACGGTACTACGGTAAAGTTGACTAACTTTTTCGGGGTAAAAATTCCGGCCGGCCGTCACGGTGGCAGTCCCGTAGTATTTTCCGTGTCGCTTTTTTTTACTGCTGTCCCCCTGTACCAGTACCCTCAAGCTGTTCAGTTATCGAGATAAGTAATCTCTTTGACCAGGATAGAGAAGGTGGAAGTTTTAGCCAACAAGCGGAGTGCGGTACTAAAGTTCGAATCGGGGCTGGGATACCTTAAGGAAGAGCACATGGTCACATTCCGTACCGAGGAGAGGGAGCGACGCTAAAACGGGCAGGAGGCAGAGGGTTAACACAAAAACGAAATGCTGTCAAGCTGGGTAACAGTATCCCTAGAGAATGCCAGACATTGGCATGACTCTGCTACATAAAAAGTTATGTCAAGGGAGTGAGTGAGTGAGTGCTATGGGGCGGAGAACAAGTTATTCGATCGGATGCATTCCCTATCATGGGCTCAGTGAAGGATGGGGTATATAGCAATGTAGTGAAGATCACAGACATGGTTGTCATGAACATGAAGTTGAATTCTATCTTCCATGCCTGACACGAATTTTTCACATTTACAGCATGTTCCAGGACATTCGCAACTACACCTCCCTCTTCAACGGTGCTTGATACCTCGATTGATGGTTTTCTCTTCATCTGATTGTTACTGAACAGACGTCACCCCTACCGTCTCCAAGAACTGGTCGGGACCCATCGAGATTGCCAGCTACACCAGGGCCGAGATCGAGGCTTACTCGTGCGTGGCCGACGATGTTGCCTGTAACGCTGCTCCTGCCGTCCCTTCCCCTGCGGATTCCTGGAGCGGCACCGTCAACAACCCTTAAGGAGTTGGTTGAAAGTCGAGCTTGAGTAAAGCCTATAGCTGATTATAAACAATCAGTGTGATCAAGTGAGGCACTTGGCCATCATGGCGTCGTTTCATTGATGTGAGAAATCTTCTCCACCAATCAAGGAAACACGATCGGCAATAGCAAAATTATGATTCTCTGAATGCAAATCAAGCAACCTATCGAAAGATATCTGCTTGATGTGTTTGCAACCACCGATCTTTTGCAAGATAACTTGATTGCGACCCAGCAAGCAGAAACCCTACATCTCATCGATATGGCATTCTTGGTTGAAGGCCGGCAACAAAAGCAAAACATGTTTTTGCAGAGCATTTAAACGATCAAGGAACAAGATCTAAGAGATGCTGTTGTGGTCAGTAAGAAGGATCCACATCGCTTATTGGGGTCATCAAATTGGAAAGGCACTGTCCTGCACCGTTGAGGTCAGAGTGGTTTTCGGAGGAGATATTGTAAGAGTAGTTGGCATTACACATCATGTTTGTGAGAAGAATCTCTAGTTGCATCATGGGCTCTGCCGTATCCAACAAATCCGTAAGGTTCGGATGCGGCTATCCAGCAAAAGTTTCTAACCTAAATGACTGAGGGCTGGATATTTCTCAAGACCTGTTACGCCCGTAGATCCAAAGGTCTACCATGATGTTTTGCTTTGCTTTGCTTCAAACTCCAAAATATATCACACTCTCTACCAGCCCGAAGTCTTCACCCCAGGAAGCTTTGGATCATCTCCTGTTGGTTTCAAGGAGAGTGCTCCCTTGTTCAAGGTCCAATTGTTGGTGACGATTCCAGGAAGCTTCTTCACATTCTCAGCACGCTTGCCGTACCTGCAGGCACAATTACATCCAGCCTGAGAATCGAGTCAGAAACAAGTACCCCCATGCGCCTCCATGGCCGTCCTTGACTACTTTGTTGAAGAAGTTGCTTGAAGACCAAAGTTGTCAGATCATAAGAAACAGATCACAAACAAGAGTAAAACGACAAAAAATACGAAAACACAGAGGATAAAGAAAACAAATCAGAGACATGATAACTCGAGTGTGTATCAATCAACCTCATCTCAGTGGTCCAAAGTGGCTGGGCTGCCGCAGCAGTCTTCGAGACAGCACGCTGTTTCGCCCCGTGCAGCAGAGAGCCGTTTGCCGAAGCCATGGCGGCGGCTGCTGCTTTCTGCCATTCCAAAAACAATCAACAAGAAACAAGTGAGAAGGTCATCAGGTCCTACGAGATTGTTTTGTGAGTTCTTGATCGAGAGGAGGAAGGCCCGGGCTCTGAGTCGAAACCGAGCTTGTTCGTCAGGACTGCTCAAAGAGATAAGCCCAACATCGACAGCGGCCAGCCATCGCACCTCAACGACTTGTACGCGTCCTGAACGCTCTCCCCGTGCGCAAGCTGAACCTGCCTCCTCATCTTGACCTCATCCCCCTCAGCTCGCAGAATATCTCCCACAGCGCTGTTGAGCATCGAGCCAAGAGTCTTCTCCGATGCGGCGGATGCCTGTCTTGTGTTGATGCGCAGCAGCTGCTGGTTCAACCTCTGGATTCTCGACCGCGTTGAGTGCATGCTCTCGCGCTCGCCGCCGGGGATCCTCCTGGCGCTCAGCCGCGTGTCCGCAAGCAGCTGAGTGTGCGCCATGGCAACCTCGTTGAGTCGGCAGCCGGCGATGCAGCCTTCGCCTCCGGTGCAGGGAGTGCATGACTGGAGGGCAGAGGGAGAGGAGAGGCGTGTGGCAACGAAGGCGATGCATAGCAGCAGCGCGGCAACGCCCGCAACCCCTCCAGCTGCTCGCATTGTCGGCGACTCTTCGTCCTGGTGTACCCTCATCCCCGGACACCTGCACTGAGGCGGACTTCCTGCGGACTTTTTGCATCAAATCAGGTGGCGAAATGGATGTTCAAGACAAGGAGAGCAGGGAGTCAGGAAGGGGGTGGGCAATGGAAGACACTGCCGATGAGATGAACAGACAGGAAGGATTAGAAGCAGGAGCAGGAGCAGGAGCAGGATCAGGGGCAGCAGGAGCAGGAGCAGGAGCAGGAGCAGGAGCAGGAGCAGGAGCAGGAGCAGGAGCAATATTATCTGGAAGGAGAAAACCGGAAGTAATGAATGTTAGTATTCTTGGGGAGGCGATGCTGAAATCCATCCGGCTCAGAGACCTGTCTTGTGCTTCGTACAGGTGACGAGCAGGTAGAGAAGGAGCAGGATCAGATCGATCTATGATATCGCAAATAGAGGAAAGTGCAAAGCACAATACAAGTAATTTTGTTTTTTTTGAATTGAACCAGAACAACCTCTCTGTCCTGCGGTCGACGAGTTGCTCACCATGCTGGATTCTTTGATCAGGAGGCAGGCGGGAGCGCTGTCGCCGTGCTGGCAAGAGGACATGTAACGACCGACATGGTGGGTGCTGTGCCCGACGGCATGTGCAACTGATGCCGCAGCCAGGCCTTTCATTGCTCCTTGCAAGCCGATCATGCACGAATTAAGGCCCTGCACGAAGCGCAGATCTATTTCCGGCAAGCGTTCGTGACGGCTGCATGCCATGGCTGACCTGCCGTCTTCAAGGACACGGGAATGCTCGGAGCTAGTCATGAAGTGGGGGAGTGGCATATTTGCCCGCCAGAAAGTCTTCACAGCACAAGAACTTCTCAGGTGCGAGCTGGTGGTCACTACGACTAGTGGTCTGACTGCATGCTCCCGCTCCCGCTCGCTCTCCTGCCCCTGCTCCTGCTCCTGCTCCTGCTCCTGCTCTTGCGACTCTCCTCTTCCTCGCCCCATGTCTCCTTCAGGTGGGATCTTGACGCGGCTGAGAACGTGCTTGCCCTGCGGATGGTCCGGATGCCTCCCAAGGAAGTGAGCCGATCCTGCGACTGCGAGGGTGAAGGTCTGACGAAGAAGGAGGTCAGGCGAGGCTCAAGACGTATCTGCTATCAAGGCCCAAGGGAGGAAACTTCGACAGCCTGCAGGAGATTCTCGCCATCTTCTCCGCTGGGGTCGTACAACTCGGGGCTCCGATGCGGGGGGTTGCGATCTATCGGGTGCTAGTGGTGATCAACCCTTACTCGGGGAGGAGGTGAGGAGCGAGCAGCTCCCGTCTTTGCCTTGCTGAGGGGGCTTGCTCGGCAGGCATGCGAACCAAGTGTGGCAGTCGGTTGCGGAGATGTTCAGCCTTGCTGGGATCGAGACTGACTGCCATCAGACGCAGCACGCGGGACATGCGCGAGACATACTGAGGTGAGAGAGGAGAGGGTGAGGAGAGGAGAGGAGGATGAGGAAGGGAGGGAGGATGAGGTAGGAGGAGAGATGGGGGATGTCGGTGAGGGGGCAGAGGGAGGATGGAGTGAGAAGGAACAGGGAGAAGAAGATGCGCGGGCAAGACTGATCAGCTGTTCAGGGAGTGCGAGCTATCTCTTTACAATGGGGTGATCGCTGTTGGAGGCGACGGAACAGCGAACGAGGTCAGTGAAACGGTTGGGGCAGACCGTGGGAGGAGAAGGGACAAGATGAAGGAACAAGCGAAGGAAACAATATGGGCGTGAGACGTGAAGAAGAGGAGAGCAGATAAATGAGGTTGAAAGGGGGAGGGGGGAAGAGAGGCGGGTGAAGGTGACATTGTGAGGGGGGGGGGGAGAGAGTTTGGGCAAGAAGAAGACAGAAGAGGAAAGGAAAAGACAGCACATGAGGGATTTGAGAATGAGAAGGGAGGAGGAACAAGAGGAATATGGGAGATGGAGGGTGAAGAGAGGAGGTAACTTTTGAATCTTGCCCCAGGTCCTAACAGGTCTGCTTGAGAACTCTCTTAACCTAGAGCGAGGAGAAGGAGCTCCTGTAAGATCTACGAAAGGAAGAGGAAGATGAAGTCGTAATGTTCTGAGCAGGCCTCTCCTCCCTTTGGCATCATCGCTGCTGGAACGGATTGCACGCTCGCCAAGTTCATCAGCTCTACGGATCCCTTGGCTGCAGCTAGGGTGAGGGAGGAGGAGAACCCGATGCGGCAGAAAATTGTAGGGATGGGAGAAGGAGGGAACGAGGGAACGGGAGTGCAAGGAAGGAGAGGACGAGGACGAGTAGAGGACGAGTAGAGGACGAGTAGAGGAGCAAGAGTCTGTGCAAGGGGCAGGGAGAAAGTCCAACGTCTTCCTGCAGGCCATCATTCGAGGGTGTGAAGTGCGTCCGATGGACCTACTCCAAGTCCAGCATGGCGACGAGCAGCGATACAGGTCTTGAACGTCCTCCCCACTACCTCCGAGTCTTGACTCACGGCTCCTCCTCCCATTCCACCCGCTACAACCAATACTACTTTTGCTATTCCTATTTCTACATTCCTCCCTCCCTCCCTCCCTCCCTCCCTGCCTCCCTGCTTCGTCATGACAAGGTCTGGCAGTGCGTGTGGAGTAGGATGGGGGATTCCTGGGCACATCGCAAGAGACTCAGAGTCTCTCAGGAAGACCTTTGGGGTTCATCGGTGAGAAGGAGGAGGGGGAGAAAACATGCAAGGAAGAAGAAAAGGGAACTGGTAACGAGGGAGACGTCGACGCAGACTGAGGGTGGGGAAGGGGAAGGGGAAGAGCGAGAGCGAGATCGAGAGGCAGAGGAGGAGGAGGAGGAAGGAGCACGAGGAGGGGTTGAAGGCGTTGCAGCTACACCATCAGTCTGTTGAAGAATCTGGTGCATCTCAACCCGGTAGCGGGGACAGTGAGGTAGTGAAGCCTTTGACTTAGACTCTCTTGTTTCCTATCTCGTTCCTCCTCCTCTCAGTGTTGACATGATTGGATTCCCAAGATTGTTCTCTGATTGGATATCTACCCATGTAGTTGTGCTAGTGACGTCTAGAGCTCTGTTGGGTGCTCCTCCGATGACCCCTGATTGTTGTCTTTACATGGTAGTCTCTTCCGTCTCAACATTTTGTCCTATCCTATCCTATCCTATCCTATCCTATCTTATCCTATCCTATCCTATCTTATCCTATCCTTTGTTTACCTCGTCCCAACCTCTCATCTTCCCCTTTGTCTGTCCAACAACCTCCTCTTACCTCACAGCCGTGTTTCCTTGCAGGATCCGGCCGGCGATCGTGGACGAGGAGATGAAGTTGAAGCCTTGCGGACCTTCCTGTGACATCTGCAGCCTGCCGATGGTGAGAGGAGACTTCGAGGCGTCAGATTTTGAAGTCACCTGCTCATCATCAGGGTGAGATGGCCGGGGACAGGGAGGAGGAGGAGACGGTCTCCGGCAAGTTTCTTTTCGTGGCCTGCCTCAAAGTAGGTTTGCCCTGTCGGTCGTGCTGCAGGCTGACGCTATCGAAGACAGAGAAGACTTCCTGCCCGTTCGTGCACCTGGCAGGTGGGAAGTGAGGAGGAGAGGAGGAGAGGAGAAAGGAGAAGGGAAAGGGAGCAAGAAAGGAGGTGGGCGGGGAGCACAGGAGCGCAGGAGAGGAGGAGGGACAGGAGACGCGATGCCTGGGGGACTGGGTAGGAGGAAGCAAGGCAGGTCCGAGAAAGAGAAGGGGAGGAAGCCTGTTGAGTGGAACAGCGAGATTGCGAATGAAATTCCACAGGAATCGATGAGAGGGGAGGGGAAGGTGGGAGGTAGAAGGGAAACAGGGGAGGAGGTGGAGGGAGGAGAGGAGAGGGGAGAGGCATTTAGCAACGACAAGGTCAGAGGACGTTGACGAGTAGGACAGATGGATGTTTGGACGCGTTTCTTGTTGAGGACTTGAACCTCCTGGACCTAGCACACCTCTACCTCTCGGTATGTGGAAATTCATTCTGTCTTCCCTAGTTCCTCTCGATCTCCTCCTCTTTCCTTGCCCTCCTTACCTCGTCCTTACCCTTCTCCTTCCCTCTCTCTTGCTTAGTATACTTCCTCATTCCCTTCCCTACTCCCTTCCAGACACCTGTCTCCTCCCTTTTCTCCCTTTTCTCCCCTTCCCTGCTTTTGGGCTCTCTCCTCCAAGTTCTTCGCTCCACTCTCCCTCCCTGCCATGCTCGACCGCTTCGTTCCTCCTGTCACCCCTGCTGCTCAGATGGGACCTGACGGCAAGCACATGGACAACGGCAACTTCAAGCACTGGAAGGCCAAGTCGGTAACCATCATCCCCGACGACAGGTGCTTCCCTCTGCCGGGCGACCTCATGTCTCCTGACCTGTCCTCCTCCCATCAGGTCCGATCATCTCAACTTCGACGGGGAGGTGAAGTTTGTACTTCCCGCTCACTGCGGTAGCTCATGTCGCAGAGCAGGCGGGTGAAGGGATCGGAACCACAGTCAGTGTCTTGCCGCGAGTCTGTCAAGTTTTCTTCGCGCAGTGAACATCAGAAGCTTTCTTAATTTCTCTCGTTGATCGTGCATGTCAATTCCGTAGAAGAGACTTTCTGTAAAGGTTCGGCAAAGGGGAGTTTGAACTCTTACGATCATTTCAAACCTCCGGCTATCTTTTACAATATAAACAAGAAAAAATCTCTGGGAAGAGCAAAATCTAAAATGTGAGTGGCGGGCGGCTAACGGCTCTTCACGATGAGATGCAAGAAAAATTGCCTGCTTGCACAAGAACAGCTGGCGAGGTCCAGTCAAACAAGGAAAATGACACTAGAGCAAACATATTTCTTACCCATCTCAATGAAGACCACGATGTAATTGAACACAAACGAAAACTTCTGGTTCATCAAAACAACTTCGAAGGAAAACGTCAGGTGAAAAACAGACAACGCAGAAGAGAAAACCACCTGAGCAGATGGAGAAGAGAAAGAGACAAACTGTCATTACGGTACGACCCTCTTCGTTAACATGAGACAAGCATCGAAAAATCTTCAAGGAGCCAAGTAAGGAAAGAATTCTCAACATGCAATATTACCTTAACAACAAGCGCACTGTTGAACCATGAGCTCAACGAGGACCCTGCCAATAAAATGAGCATGGAGGAGAGGAGCGCTGCCAACAAAATGTACACAGCCCCATGCTTATTTTCACAAGATGAAAAATGTAAGATGCAGGTGAAGGAGGCAAGAACAATGAAAAGAAACACAAGTTTCAAACCCACAAGTCGGTCAACACCAACAGACATTCTTTGGGGTCTTCTTACCAGTCTCGTCAGGCCATACGCTCAGCATCACACTTGCAGCAACCGAAAGTAAAACAAGGAAGAGCGATTCCGACAAGGAGCCGATGCTGAACCAACGTCAATGTCCAGCACATGGCGGTTGCACAAGACCTGAGGGCCTCGATGAGCCACTTCATCAGCACATACTGCCGGCAGTAGAAGACGGCTTCCAACAAACGAGCGCGAGGCTGCGCCAGCGATTAGACGGGAGGGCAGTGAGTCAGAGCACGAGGAGCACCGGGCGAGCTGCCGGTCGGTTCCTTGGCTCTTCAGCTTGGAAGGACGAGTCTTGAGAGGACTGACAGATCAGTCAGAAATAGGAAGGAGACATCTTGCTGACGCAGCAAGCACATCAAGAAGGAAGGATAGATCTTGCTGACGCAGTGATCACATCAAGTACAACCTCGTTGGCCGTCGTCTCGTTCGCCATCAACTCTGTAAGCAAGTCCAACTCACTCGACCATGTTCGCCTGCAGCGGCTCATCAGCATTAAGAGCGTCACATCTGACTCGACCTATGGCGCGATGAGCTTCGAATCCGTTCGGATGCAGCTTCCGACAACTCCTGCCATGACATCAGCATCGCACAAGATGTGGTGACCCGCCCACCTGCTGAGCTGCAGCGCCAGAGAGCTGCGTGCAGTGAGCAACAAACGAGATGAGATGATGATGAGGATAGTAAAGCAACAAAACAACCTGAAGCAGCGGGTTGTCGAGACGTGGCTGATAGTTGAAACCTGGCAGGCTTGTCAGGCACCACACGCTCGCTCCAACAACGGGGTCGCTGGTACCGAGAATGGCTCGTGAAGGCGCCATCCAACACACTCAGGTTCGCAGCTCACTGGATCAGCAACAGGAAGACATGCCGCCTGGAAACATCAGTCATGCCCGATCAAACCAACAGGATGGCAATGATTCTAAGTGACAGCGCGCTACCCATGCTCAAATCGGAATCAATCAGGGTAAGCAAAGTGGATTACTACAAGCACACGGAGACCTAAAATGTTGTGCAGGCCGTGAGCAGATACAATGTTTTCATGATGGGTGAACAGCATCAGCCATCGGTCCTTCAACGAGTGGAGCCTTCTCAAAACTATCGCATTTCATGTTATGATGCAGGGCTGCCGCACTTTGTTTAGAACACTTCATCTGTACTTGAGAAGTCTATTTCCGGTTGTTTGGAATCACTCACATATCATTCACTCAAGAATTGATTTGTGTACCCAGCTATGTTCACATCCGACATTGCTTGTCTGCTTTCAGGCTTGAGGTCCTGACAAACTGCCCCTGCTACTAAATCGCTACAAAAGCATTCCTCTCCTCAGAGGTCCATGTACATCCTCACTGTGAGATTTTGGTTCATACTTAGTTAGTTATACAAACATCTTCTGCATTCCTCTTTCCCTTCCTTCTCTTGCAAGCACACTCGCCACCCCATTCCCTTCCTGAAAAGTTCGCCACCATAACTCCACAACATCCACCCCCACCCCCCCATTTCCCTGCAGACTTGCTGGTCTGTACCTATATCACCGCACCCACCACCATCCCGCACGTCTACCTACCGTTACCGGGTGGTCACCACCCTACCCTGCGTCCTACTCGCCCTCAATCCCCTATGGAATACTACCCTACCCCTGAAGCTCGGTACCTCTCGCTGCAGCCGCCATTCCAATCAAAATCGCATCACCCTACCCCCTTTCTGAGCTTCTCATATCTCAGGAAAGTACCCCTCATTTTAATTCTGTTGAGTACCCCTAGTGTTGAAAACAAAAGCCTGTACTCCCCTCCCGCCTGTTCAATCTACCCGTATGTCACAGCTCATTTGAAGGGGTGGGGGAATGATTTCCTCGAGGTCTGAGGAAGGTCGTATGGAGGGTACCAGATAATACGTGTTGTAGATCATAAGCCCTAGAAACTCCTAGGTTCCTAAGAATTTTCTACGACCCCCAACGATTGTGCAAGATCGCCCCAACTACCCCATCAAATACCAGGCAAAGTACCCCTACTGTAACAGTCACTACCCCTGCAATTCCGCCTCACTCCAAGGGCCAAACCCTCATCCCCAGACTGACCAATAAGCCCGGGCCGGGCCCTGGGTCGGGCCCGGAGGCTCTGAAGATGTTGAGTGATCAGTCAAAAGGTGTGTCTGGGGATGTGGGTCCCGGAGGTGGAGCCCCGGAAATAGATTGGCCGAAAATCCATGTTGAGGCGAAAAGTGGGAGGCTGACGATGGAGGCAGCGAAGAAGATGCGATGATTGGAGGAAGAGGAAGATCATAGATGAAACATCACACTGTCAACAAGCCTGACATAAAACACGTCTCAAGGCTGTCATGATGGAAGGAACCTCGTGAGAACAAGGGATTGAACTGCTAAATCCACAAGATCCAAGTGCGCGGCGAGCGTATCCAGGACAGCGCCGGGAACATGGAACCTGAGAACAATCCTTCGATCCAGAGGAGGGAGAGTGAGGACGTGTTTCCTGAGAACATCGTCAGCCACAGAGTAGAGTCGGCAAGGCGGTCCGAGGCGTTTTCTCCCGCGTTCCTGTCGCCCAGGATGTGGAACGAGGAGGACATGTTGCTGCCTCCGTCCTCGGAGGTCCCGAAGAGGCCGGTTATCAGAGACAGAGACTCCCAAGACAAGGGTTGCTTCGGGCTGTACACTTTCATCATGGTCTTGTTCTTGATCCAAGGCATCGCGGCCATCCTTGGAGCAAACTACCAGCTTCCGCACGAGTTCGAGCTGTGCGAGGCGAGGCTCGCTCAGGAGAAGGTGGCTGTGGCACGGGACATACCGGAAGCAGAGGTCATTCAGCATGCGCTTGAAGGGCGCCATGAGAACTTTCAGACGGGAGGGAAAAGGCTTGCGAGGTTGAAGGTGGTGAAGAAGTCTCACGCCAACTGGGATCCATGGTCTCACAGGCTGCGCTCTGTCGCCGGGAAGCAGCTCGCTGAAGAGCCTGGCTCCTTCCAGGTGTCTCATGGACATGCGAGGAAGCTCTTGAGCAGCAACATGCTTCCACAGAGTTTAAAGCAGTTGCTCAAAGACATAAAACTGCAGGCTAGTACTGGACTTCCCTCTCACGCCCTGCGGAATGGAACAAGTCTTGCACAAAGCAATTCCACGAGTCATGGTGAATCAAATTCGACAAAGAAGGAGAAGGAGCAAAATTCAGAGGAAGGCGATTTCCAAGACGATCTGAGCCCCGAGCAAGTCTTGGAGAACGCTTACAAAAGAGTTCGGAACGCTTCCGGGATAGTTGCCTTGCTTGCTTTCTCTTCCATAGTCTTTGGTGCGATCTGGGTGCTCCTGTTGGGAAGATTCACAACCGCATTTGTCTATATAACATTGTCGGCGCTGCCGATTGCGTTGTTTTGTTCTGCGATATCTCTTTTCTTGCTCGGGGTTCATATGGTGTGGCCTATCACCCTACTTGTTGTGATGACTCTCTCGCTGGCAATCATTTACCTGGTGAAGGAGCGAATAGCTTTCACTGCTGCACTCCTGACGTGCGCTAGCAAGGTGAATGCATTGCACTCCCATTCGGCTCAAATTGACGCTTTAGCAGGCCCTCGTTGAGAACTACTCGGTGCTTGTCATATCTATATTTTTATCTTTGATTCAGGTGTAGTGTCTATCTCGTCTTCGAGTTGAAGTGAAACTGACATGCTGCAGGTGATGTGGTTGGGAGCTTGCTTCCTCTTCATCGCATTGTCGTTCATGTCGGGGGTTGCTGTGAGGGCCAAGCTTCCCAACGGTGAGCAGCGCTGTGAGTGGCAAACGGATGGCTGGGCGTACGTTGGGATGGGCTTCATCTCTGTGGTCCTGCTATGGACGAACTCGATTCTCGAGGAGGTCAAACGTTACACAGTCTGCGGGGCCATCGGTCTTTGGTAGTCATCCTCTTACCCAACTCAGCCGTGAAACTGAATCTGGTTGCTCAGGTACTTCGCTGAGATGCCCAAGAGGCGAGGGAATGAAAGCAGTAGAATGCGAGACTCCTCAAGGTCCGTCTACCACGCTCCCCGTCTCACCGTCTGAATGTCTCCTTAGGATCGCATCCCTGATGTCTCCCGGCATGTCCGCCCTTGGCTGGGCCCTCAGGCACTAGACATCTGCTGTGCTTTCTGGATCTGATGAAGTGGTTTGCAGCACTTCCTTCGGCTCCATCTGCTTCTCGGCCTTGGTGTCGTCCTTCTGCGAGACTCTCAAGCTTATCTTCCAACCCCGAGGCCTGACCGAGAGCAGCTTGCCGGGAAAGCGCAAGTCGAGGAGCAGCAGCAGCGTGCAGGAGTCGGTCTGGTTCTGCCTCGAGGACGTGATTGGCTTCGTCAACCGATTCGCCGTCCCTCTCATGGCAATCTCTGGCTATCCTTTCTGCCACTCTGCCAAGGTCACCAGTCTTCTCCTACACCGCAATCACCTCGCTGCCCTGGTAGCAGACGTGTCTCCGGCCGTTATCCTGAGGACCGGCGCTCTCGTGGTGGCGCTCTGCGCAGCTCTGACAGGGTGGCTGCTGTCCAACGCCTATGTCGAGTGGGCGGTGCTGCAGCGGGGGCAGCTGAGGATAGTGCATCTCATCGTTGCGAGGTTCGTGTTCGTTACCTCCTTCTGTATCTCGTCGCTGGTGCTCAACTTCTTCGCCTCGGTGCTGCTCGACGCCATGGACGCCATGTTCCTCCTGTACGCCATGGACCGCGACCACCGCACCATGATGCCTCGGGGAGAGGAGCTGCACAACCTGCTCTCGCAGCAGCAGATCGGCAGGCCGATCTCTGGGGTTCACTACACTCCGCGAGGATGGACGTTTCTTCCTTCCCAGCCCAACACAAGCAGGCAGGAGAACTTCTCTGTGATAAGGAGCAGCTCAAGCTCTAGGGGCTCTAGGAACAGCAGAGGAGAGGAAGAGGAGCCGTCTGCTCCAGCAGAGGGGCAGGAAGAGGGCACCCTTGTCTGAGAAACCTCAGGACACGTTTCAATGCGACGGTACGGGCCTGCGGAGGACAGAGCAGGAAGATGTTGCTACCCGCTATCAGCGGAGGGTGGGGCACATAGCATATTGTTTTCTCTAGTGATTATTTTTTCCGATGCGCAATACATTCTTTTGAACAGAGTCCAGTTGTCTACATGAAGGCAACGGATATTCGGTCTACAAGGCAGACTGTCCTTGACATAATCTTGTTGAAAGCAATGTTTCATTACTTGAGTGGAATTAACAGTCGAGGGACATTAGAGAGAAATGGAAGAACACCAGTTTTGACTGCATGAACAAGGGGCCAAACAGAATAGCAGAAACAACAATCAAGGTGTAAAAAGTTTTCAGACTCCCATCAATACTGACGTGGCCTCCCTTACTCGAGCTTGCATTCAGATCCTACTAGTCTATGACGTGAGCGATGCTGACCGAGGTTAGAAAGACTGTCATGTTTCTGTCATCGCATTCGGTAAGCCTTCATTCGATCCGAGCGGGAATGAATATTGGGGCTCTCTCCCACTCCGTTTTGCTATCATTCTTATGGCATTTTTCCCTTCGCTGAAACTGTTGTGTCAGTTTTTATGTTTCTGCATGATCAAGTAAAAACAAACCGCAAGAAACCTTCATTCCTGGATTTGAAACGATTCTCTAATGATCATCATTCTCCTTTGTGAACTTGATTATGTTTTGGTACTGAAGCTTTCTTGCAGCTCATACTGAAACGAGAACATGGCTCTCATTCTGCACATCTCCAAAACATGGTATAATAGCAGTCAAAGGATGAGCCAAGAACGTTTCTTGCTCCTTGACACTATCATATGTCATCGTGCAATGCAGAACATCCTCAAGCCGTGATGTTGCAACGTACGATCGTTTTGATGCGAGGACAAAAATAGACGTCGCCTCCTCTTCTCCAGCATGACTCTTGCTCCATCGAAAGTCAATCAAGCCTTTGCCGTCACGTGGCATACTCTTGCCCTCAATGCAGACTCCCACCAAACAAGCGCTTTGAAAAGACAACATTCGTTTATTATCGTACAGTTCGTATCTACATCAATATCGTACATCTCCCCGGTCCTTCATCATCGTACTCGGACCCCCCTCTCCCGTGCCTCCTTCAAGCTCTCAAGGCACTCCCGTCCCTCGCTGTACACCCAGCCCCTCCTGCTCTCCCCCTCGCCCCTCCTCGTCGCCTCCACGTACGCTTCCTGCACGGCAGTGAGGCGGAGGGCTGGCTTCGAGTTGCGGCGAGCCGGGGCACGGGTGAAGGTGACGTCGATCATCTCCACGAAGACCGCCGGGGCATGGCGCTTGGACGAGGATCTCAGGTCGGCTTGCTGACTCGTGCATGGCTGGTGGGATAGCGAAAGAATGTGATGGCTTGGCGGCGGAAGGGCTGGGGCTTTATATACCCGGGCGGGGAGGGAAGAAGTTGCTTGTCAGCGAGGATACGAGGAGATGCGGAAACGAGGCGAGTGGTTGACACCTCCCGAAGAAGGTAAGCCTGAGATTCGAAGCGAGTCGGAGATGCTCTCCGGCTCGTGATCATCGACCGGTCGAAGAAGGTCGAAGAAAGCTCTTCCTTCTTTCGGGTGGTCTCGGAGGCCGCATGTGCTGACGGCTGATGACAGCTTGTCACCGTCATAGTGGTAAGGATCACGCGGCATAGACCATCGTCCCTGTCATCTGGAAGATACGAAGGGCGACGTACCCAATCTGCAGATCGATCTTCATGACCGACACTGTCAGCAAGGAGGTTTTGAGCTAAAATACTATTTTACAGGACTCCTCGAGCTCTTCGATCTTGCTGGATGGTCTATGCCGCGTGATCCTTACCACAGGCAGAGGGGATAACTCCGTATTAACTGTCATCCTCGCCTCAGCGATGGTCTCCGGATCGCCCGTCGGAGTGGCCTCCGAGACTCTTTCGAGGGCTGCAGGGCTGTTCGACCTTCTTCGACCGGTCGATGATCACGAGCCGGAGAGCATCTCCGACTCGCTTCGAATCTCAGGCTTACCTTCTTCGGGAGGTGTCAACCACTCGCCTCGTTTCCGCATCTCCTCGTATCCTCGCTGACAAGCAACTTCTTCCCTCCCCGCCCGGGTATATAAAGCCCCAGCCCTCCCGCCGCCAAGCCATCACATTCTTTCGCTATCCCACCAGCCATGCACGAGTCAGCAAGCCGACCTGAGATCCTCGTCGACGCCCCAGCCAAGCGCCATGCCCCGGCGGTCTTCGTGGAGATGATCGACGTCACCTTCACCCGTGCCCCGGCTCGCCGCAACTCGAAGCCAGCCCTCCGCCTCACTGCCGCGCAGGAAGCGTACGTGGAGGCGACGAGGAGGGGCGAGGGGGAGAGCAGGAGGGGCTGGGTGTACAGCGAGGGACGGGAGTGCCTTGAGAGCTTGAAGGAGGCACGGGAGAGGGGGGTCCGAGTACGATGAGGAAGGACCGGGGAGATGTACGATATTGCTGTAGATACGAACTGTACGATAATAAACGAATGTTGTCTTTTCAAAGCGCTTGTTTGGTGGGAGTCTGCATTCAGGGCAAGGGGTGTGCATGTTTGTCACGGTACGACTAGCATTTGTTTTCTTGCGATGAAGTCAAGCTCGAGACGAAGTTGTCTTTCCAGGTTACTGTCAGCCTTCAGATTCGTTGCTAGCAGGCTTTTGCAGCTCGTCTTGCTCTTCTTTGCAGTTCATCGAGCTGTGTAACAAACAAACGTTTATGGAGACGAAGAGTAGGAGAGGTGGGGAGAGCAGGTGCGGCTGAATGTACAGCGAGATTGGAAGGGAGTGCCTGAGGAGCCGGAAGGAGCGGCACTGGGGAAGAGGGTCAGAGAACCGTATGAGGACGGACGAGGGTGGGGAAGAGGGGGAAAGGATTTACAATCTAGATCCATCACAAGCAAGGAGTTTATCGCTGCAGCACTGATATCAGCAAATCTGACAAGAACCTACAACGGGTGGCTGAGATAGTAGTGTGGAGGAGTATGTCAGTTCTTCAACTTGGAATCAACAGTGGCAGCAAAGTCGTTACATGTCGATGGATGGTCTTTAGAGCTTCTACTGTGGACGAGCACGTCTTTGAGCCCTAGAGCTCATCGGACTGGCAGTAACCAAGAGGTCAGCCATCAGTGTGACTGTGGCGGTAGAACCTGAGCTTGCAACAAGTTCTTTTAGTGATTTCTACTGACATCACAGTCGACTTCGGGCCGGTCACATCTAGCCTTCGACGGACTTAACGGCCATCGGATGCCGGAATGAGAGGGGAAAGAGACGACTTGTCCTACTCCTACTGAATCGTAATATGACTCGATCTTGGCACTCTAGGAACTGCTTCAAATCCTGAGTCAGGAAGTAACTTGTGTAACTGAGGTGATGATATCCCTTATGGCCCATGCGTCCAGAATGAATGATGAGACCTTTAAGTGATTTGACGTTACTTTTCCATTCGGATCGGTTGACTTGAAAGGGCTAGTGTGGGAGACCTGTAACAATACAAGTACAAGGAGACGTCAATTGAACTTTTTAATCACATACACTTAAAATTCAGGCTTGTCCCATCATTGCAGGATAAGTCATCTGAGGTTGCATCGCCATCATCTGAGGTTGGACAGCCATCGGCATCATCTGTTGTTGAGCCGGCATCATCATGACAGGAGTCTGACCGGGATACGGGACCGGATATTGACCAGGGAGGTACACGTTCTGAGCGCTGGAAGGCTCATCCTGGCTCTCCTCGGTGTGCATGCTGGACATGTCCTCGCCCTCGCGCCCGAGCTCCTCGAGTGTCTTGCCCTTGGTCTCAGGGATGGGGATCGTGGTGAGAAGTCCGAGAGCATTGACGATGGTAAGGACGATGAGGACTGTCTTGAGGCCGGCGTTGTGTTTAGGAGTATCCTTGAGAATACCAAACCCGTAAGACCCGACGATCGCGCCAGCCTTACCTGTGGCAGCGCAGATACCGTGGGCGGTGGCTCTGAACCAGGATGGGAAGACCTCAGCTGGCAAGACGTAGGTGGTAGAGTTGGGGCCCCAGTTGGAGAAGAAGAAGGTGAGAGCGTACAGCGCGATGAAGTTGGAAACCTCCCCCTTGAGCTGGTCGTACAACCCAGCCAGGATGCCCATGAAGAGGGTCATGAAGAAGAATCCCATGTACTGGATCTTGGTGCGTCCCATGATCTCGATGGTAGCTACAGTGAACCAGTAACCGGGGATGATGGAGGCAAGGGAGATGATCAGCTGAGCGCGAGCAATGCGGTAGGTCTCCTCAATGGCGTTCATGGTGTAAGCGGCAGGAAGCCAGCCGACGATGCTGAACACGTCACTCTGGAACAAACCCTGAGAGTAGAAGGCGATGTCAAGAAGGAACCACGAAAAAGCGCAACCCATGAGGGGAAGACCATACAGGTCGAGAAAAGATCTCCAGGTGTGACCCTTGGCCTTAAGACCAGTAGCCTTGATAATTGTTGGATCGTTGTCGATTCCGAGTTGCTTGGCTGCGGTTTGAATGTCTCCCTTCACGTTAACCTCATACCTCTCAGTTTCAGGGATGATCATTCGGTAGTACAAGGTAATGCATGGCGGAACGCTTGCGAGGGCAAACGCGGTCCTCCACAGGAAATCTCCAGCATCCGGGTATGGCATCCAGATGGCAGCGAGAATGATCACCACAGTTCCAGCCAGCAAGAAACCGAAGCCCTGGAACGCGAAGACAGCAGAAATGTAAGTGCCGCGGTACTTAGTGCTTGCAGTCTCACTCATAACAGTAGCGCTGAGAGGATAAATGCCACCAATGCCAAGTCCGAGCAGGAAACGCCACATGCACAAAGTTCCGACGACAGCGTCACCAGTGGTACCGAAAGACATGCCAGAGCAAAGAGCAGCGATAGAAATGATAACCATAGTGACAATATGAACAGGTTTGCGACCAAACAGATCTGCCAAGTGGCCAAAGGTGAGCTGTCCAACAAGAGTGCCAATCAAAGCTACGGAAGCAAGTGCATAGTTCGAGCGATTTGGCAGGTCGCTTGGCGCATATTGAAGTGCCTTCTTGTACTGATCCTCGACACTCATTTGATCCCAGCCCTGAATATTGTTGGGCAGCCATTCTGCCAGTGTATGCCAGTTAGAACCACATTTGTGAGGAATCGGAGCCCAATTGTTGCCAGGATCCGTCTGATAGTAGGTAGTGATGTTGCCAATCTGATTGCAGTAACCCAGGGGAAAGTAACGCACATCCGGATAGTAGATGCGACCGATGAGCTTTGTCAACAGACCGATAACGAACAAATCGTAGGCATCCACCATAAAGCCACCGCCAGCTGCAATGATGGTTTGGATGATCTTCCAGCTGAAGAACGTCTCATCTTCATCGATCTTACGGAGGATAGTCTGAGCCGCAACTTTGCTTGAGACGTGATCCTTCAGTGGCTTCTCGTCCCCTTGCGGAGGACCCGCAGCAGGGGGGGCGGCTACGTACTGGGTGGCCATGCTGCGCAGTCCGCTCACCAAGGTAGCGATGATGGTAAGGGACGTGGTTGGGGAATTATAAGGGGCAAGGGGGAAAGGAAGGGGCGTAGACTTCCAAAAGAGAGCTTTTCGTGACTTTGCTTTTTGTTTGTTACGACCCATCGAGACTCCCCAAGACGAATGTAGGACCACGTTGCGTAAGAGGGCCTAGCAACTTTGCGTAGGAGCTACAGAATTGGGGGACTCACTATTTTGCGTATGTCGAGTGGTGCATTATAACCCCTACCCACCTTATCTTGTGCGGCATATCTTGATCACCCCCACGATGATTAGTGAGGGCTCGGGCAAACACCCAAGTCGTCCAAGGGTGGGGGTAGCACGTAAAGGGTTCTAAGTATCAAGATAGGGTTTAAAGCAGTGAAGGTCACGCCCCCTCCCAAAAAAAAAGCGGGAAAGGATCGAGTTCGATTGCCGAAACACGCAGAATAACCCTCTACCCCTGCTTTAGATGAGATTTTGTTTACCAAAGATACGGTAGGGGTAGTTGAAGCCAAGCTAGTCCCCAACTCCACAACATTCCTCCAAGGACAAAAGGGAATGTGCGAATCGAAACGTTAAGTTAAGCATGCAGGCTCAGGCTTTGCAAGATTCGAATCTCAGGGTGATAAGACATGGAGATAACAAGCATATCCAAAGTGAACATCTTCCATGAATGTAGCTGTTCCATGTTCGAACCATGGTCTGTACCCTGTGGTATGTGATGCATTGAATGCACTCAGAGTTGCTGTTTACTTTTAGCAGCATGTGCCCCTTCTCAACGCCCCTCTTCCCCTGTCTCCCTTCCCTTTCATGTGATGAGGGCATATTTTCATAGTAACTCGTGCATGCATGTACTTGGTTCATTGGAATTCATCCGGGAATGAAAATTGCACAGTTTCATGCTTTTCAGATTTGATGTATTACCTTCAATGCAGATGCTTATGATGTTTTCAAATAAAATTGTACTCTGTTCAATAAATGAAAATGCTCATTAGAAAAAAAGGAAAGCTGGCTCAAAAAGCTGTCGTCTCTGATTGCAATCATTGTGCCCCTGGAATCTATCCAATCAACTCCACTGACCAATCAGTCCGAAAAAGCACTGTTCATGCTGTCGAATCTCAGCTTGGCTTCTCGACCTACTGACTCGCCTCAGTGACTGTTAAGCGGCTCATGATGATCACTGAAAAGTACTACAGTATCCTGGAATGACAGACTACCAGATACTGAGTACCTCCTAGATAAGTGCCCCTCAGCTGCCAGGGGAACGATTTGCAAAAGCTTTGGCTCAATACAACCGTGGAAATGCAAATTCATTCTTGGCCATGGTTATATTGTGACATTGGTATTCCATTTGTGTTGTTCTCACAACACAGAGATAGTCAATGACACGAGTATCAACGGTTCCGGGGTCACGTTTGACAGTGGGCCGCCCGAGCGGCCGCCGCGCCGGCGCCCGGCCGGGCCCACTAGTACTCGCTGTCACTGTGTCTCAGTTTCCCGGTCCGAAGATCTCCTCAGGGCCTGAGTCTCGCCGCCGTTTCAAGAGTCGTACAGTCACCGCCGGGTGCTGTTACACTCTGACTGACAGGCGGTGACGGCCGACAGGCTGCGGGCCGCCGGGCCCGGCCGCCGCGGGGCACTGGGGGCAGCCAGAGGCGCGACCGTACCTGACTGAGCCTATGCCGCGCCAACGGCCCGGGCCCGGCCCGGAGTTGATGATGGTGCCGCCCCCGGCCCGGGCCGGGCCCGGGGCCCCGCGCAGGGACGGTCACACTGCAGGGCCCGGCCGGGACCTCCGGCGAGGCTCAGCGCCCGGCGCGCCGGGCCGGGACCACTGTTCATTGAACGGCTACTACCGGCTAAAAACTCAGCAGTGAAATCCGACTTCCGCGCCGCCGGACCGTGCCGCGTAACGTACGGTCGGCCCAGTACGCCGAGTTTTTGACGGTCAGTAGTACCGTACCGTAGCGCGGCCCACTAGCAGTGGCAATGACTCAAGTTTCGGTACGTTCACTCGACCGTCGGGCTCCCGGAGTCCGGGCCGCCGTCCGGCGGCCCCCGGCCCGCCCGGCGGCCCGGGGGGGCACTCGGATCGGATGGCGCGAACGGCGTGCGACCGGGCGTGACCGTACAGTGAAACTTCCGAAAGGGCCCCCGAGCAGTCACAAGTTACTCAAAGTTAAGCCGTACCACTGTACTGTAACGGGTGGGTACCAATTAATTTTCACCCACCGGTCAAACGGTCACTGGGGTGAGGCGATCCCAGCCTGGGGTGGGGGGTACGAGGGTTAATAACGCATCCAGCCCCTCAACGGATGACCGGTGGTGGGTATGGAAACTTCACTCAACTTTCAAAACAGTACTGGGATGCTACACTATGAGGGTCCAGGACCTGGCTGACAGTGACCCGTATGGCGCCAGAGCATGGGCCAGCCCCTGGGACTGAGTGAGCGGCGGAGAGAGGACGTGTGAACACACAATGAGCCTGCTTGAGCAAGGGGCTTGAACCAAACAAGGGCTTCTTGGCTTGGCCGATACATCAAAGAGCGAACGAGCTCTCCTCTTGTCACCTGGAACCCCGTGGAGGGAGCATGATGAAAACCAAGGAAATCCTTTGAACAGAGTGGCACATCTAAACATTGGACGATATCAATAGCATTGAATCAGCAGGAGGACATTGCAAAAACTTTGACAGCTGGATTGATCGTCACCGTTAGTGTTGAGTATTGCCCCAAGACATGGCCATGCATGATTTCTCGGAAGATTCTGATAAATATACGACGTCCTATGGGGGGATGTTTTCTATCTCGAAGAGTCTGACCCCTGGAAAGCCGGAGTTGAAGGAGAAGGAGAAGGAGAAGGGGCAAACACACCGGAAGACTGTGCTCAAGAACACCATGTGAGTCCTGCTACTTGCCATGATTCCACGAGTGAAACATGTCTTCAGCGCGAGGGTACGTTTCTCCATCAGAACGCACAACGGTCTGCATGGAAGCGCAAACAGTTCATGTGCGTGTGTTGGTGGAGCTCCTGCTGTTGTTTGACTTGTGGGGGTTCAGCTGCTGGGAGTGCGGAGGGAGATTGCAATCGATGCAAAGCCAGCGATCAGTGCACCACGATCAAGTTGTCTTGCGGCAGAAAGGTACGGGGTCACACTGCCGCTCGTCCTGAACTTGTTCGTGCAAAGATTGTGCTGTGCATGCCCTGCGCTGAGCTGTTTCTGGAGTGGATGCAAGCGGAAACTCAAAGCCTGTCAGGTGAGTGAGGGGCCTGGAGGCTCGCAAGGGGGAGAGATGACTTGTTCTGCTGCAGAAGTGAGCTTCAAGCATTGTAACACAGTCTTCATGTGCCCATGGATACAGGAAAGCAAGACGAATGCCAGCGATGTAGATAGGAAGAGGCTGCCGAAGCTGAGGAGAGACTCGGAAGGGGACGAGAGGAGGTATGGCTCTTCTGAGCCGTCCTCGACTGAGGTCAGCCACTCATCTCCTCCCCATCTTCACGTGGGATCATCTCACCGCAGGCGGAGAACAAGATCGGCGTCGCGCTGAGGAAAACCGCGCTGGATGACGTCCAGATACCTCACGCAAGGGAGCAACGTTCCGGTGGCATGACTAGAGCAGCTGAAGCTCAGCTGACAGGCGTGCAGGGCTGCAGCCTGTCAAGATCTCGAACCTGCAAGAGAAAATTCCAACGCCAGGTCAGCGACATCCGTCCAGGTGGTGGGGCAGTAACGCGGTCATCAGCTCGACAACGAAGAGCCGCCAGCGTGGACCTGAGCACGCCGCCGCAGCTCTACAAGTTCCAAGAGGTTCGACGATCGGGTAGGGGGCAAGGAAGCTGACGGGGTGCTGCAGAATCTGCAGGGGAAGCTGCGCCCCTCGTCACAGATAGACTTTCGTACGTTCACCTCCCCAGCATCTGCCCAGCTACTGACAAACTCCCTCTGCAGATGAGATCTGTAAGGACCTGGAGTGCAGGTACCGACCGCCGCGTCCTCTCGAGGCCACTCACTGTCCTTGCTGTAGAAACTCTCCCGAGCCCGGGATGGCGAAAGAAGAGTGGAGCCATCATCGGGACGCGAGGAGCCGGGTGAGAGGAGCTGAGGGGGAGGAGGGTGGGGGAGAGGGAGGGAGAGGCTGACACGACCTGCAGAGGAGCCACCAACTTCATTCATCGCAGCCGCGGAGGCATTCAGAGTACGGGCTCATAGTCGAGAAGGGGAGGACGGAGGTCCTGATGGGAAGGTCGTCCCCCAAGTCAGACAGCAAGGTGCGACGATCGAAGATTATCAACGAGTCGTACTTGGAGGATTTTCACAACAGAAGGGAATCAGCAGCAAGGGCGGCAGCGCAGTCATCTGATACCACCTATCGGTCGAAGCTGATCTTCCATACCAAGGCACAGAGTCGCCTGCGAGAAGCCTTGTTCCAGTCCAACTAAAATGTTAAGTGAAGGAATCAACTTGAACCCGGTTCCTTCAGCCTCAACACTGCAGTCTGCATGACGTGATCCGAAGGAAACTTGTCGTTAGGGAGCGGATCAGCCCCGCTTCTAGCTCGACGCATGTCCTCCTCCTCCATCGCCTCGCAGATACCCAGGAGCTCCAGGCCCTGCTGCGTCCACGTCACTCGACGCGCGGGTGAGCTGCAAGGCGACGAACCTGGTTGAAGTAGATGTAGTCGTAGACGGCCTGCGGTGCTTGCACGTCAGCAGGATCAAACAGCAGACGGAGCAGGATGACCTGGAACGATTCTTTACCCCCTGCTCCTTCGACAGGGCATCCGAGCGCCTGCCGCAGGTCGTGGTCGACACCCCAGAACTTTCCTTCCCGGAGCTCCTTCATGTAGATGGAAGTGAAGTCCTCCAGGCTCAGGGTCCTCCGTCCCTTCTCCTCCATGCAGGCCATGGCGTTGCGAAACTCTGACCCTCTTCCCATCTGCCCGTTGATCGTCACTAGCCACCTCTCCACGTCCTGCGACATTATCATCCTCTCCCGCAGCATCTCTTCCATCCTCTACCTCTTCCTCCAGCTCCTCCTTCCCGCCTCCCAGCGCATCAAAGGCCTTCTTGAGCGCATCGAGCAGCGAGGGGGTAGGGACGAGCTTCGCAGAGGCGTCACCTCCTGCCTCCTCTGCTCCTTCCGCCATGATCATCGCCGAGTCGAGGTTGGGGCAGACTATCGTGGGCAGCCGGGGCTCATTGGCAGCGGCGTATGCGACACCATGGGCGTCGTGGAAGGGCCCGAGCACCTGCTTCTTGGCCTTGGACGTGACTTCCACCCCTCGGACCTTGTGACCCGCCGGAACTTCTCCGTCCTTGAGTAGAAGAGCAGCCGCAGACTCGCCGTCCTCATTGAAATCGCCACAGACGACGGTGGGAGGAGGAAGGTCGACGTCCTGCTTCTTCGCGTCCTTGCGGAGCTGGTCGAGCGCATCGTGCACCTTAGCCCAGGTCAGCGAATGTAGCAGGAGCCCTTCTCTATCTCCTCCTCTCCTCCTCTCCTCCTCTCTTCCCCCCTTTTTTCCCTTCTCCTCTCCTCTCCTCCTCTCCTCCTCTCCTCCTCTCCTCTTCTCCTCTCCTCCTCTACCTGCCGCAGCCTCTTGTCGGCGTTGGGCCCTCCAGTCAGGTGGCAGTTGACGACACAGAGGTCCGACGCCTTCAGCCCCTCGGTCGCCTGCTGGGCAAGTCGGAGCCGCGTGATCAGCACGCGGTCCTTGTGGGAGGCAGCGACGAGGCTGAACCTGTCCTTCTTCCAGAATGTGGCTGTCCTGAAACGGAACTTGTTGTGCAGCATCGAGTCATAGCCAGCCTCCGTCATGAACGCAAAGTCCTTGTCGAAGCTGCTGCCGCACGCCTCCTGGATGCACACAATGTCGGAGCCACCATGGTGCAGGAGCAGGTCCTTCATCCTCCCCTGTCTCGCTTCCCACTCCCTTAGCTCCCTCGGCACATGGCTCTGGTAGTACTTGTAGACCCACCAGCCGTCCTCGCTGTTGGGCATGAGGACATTGTACGTCGAGATGGAGAAGGTGGCTGTCAAGAGACATCAGCGGCATGCTACGAGAGGAGGGATGGGAGACAGAGGGGAGCAGAGCAGAGCAGAGCAGAGCAGAGCAGAGCAGAGGGAGAAGACTAGAGGAGAGGCGAGGAGGACTAGGGAGTGGGAAGATTACAGAAGCTCACCACTTGGGTTTGATGTCTCTGCCGTGTACCTCTCGTTGAACTTGAGGATCTTCGGTCCGGCGGCTGCCTGAAGGGAAATGGCATGGGATGAGGAGCGGGTGGAGAGCAGGAGCAGCGATCGAGCACACCATGTTGATGGAGAAAGAGGACGATGAAGCGACGAGGAGCAGGAGGCAGGTAGCGATCAGAACTTGACGCATCCCTGCCCTGCGGTAAGACCATGGATCCCCTCCCCTTCCTCTCCGTCCTGAATCACCACTGCAAAATCCTGCCTTTGCCATCCTCCCTCCCTCCCTCCTCTCCCTCCCCTCCCTCCCTCCCTCCCTCCCTCCCCTCCCCTCCCTCCCTCCCTCCCTCCCTCCCTCCTCGCGCTGCACCTTCATAGTGTTCCCGGCGGCCTCCTCACTCAGAACGACCAAAGAGGTGAAATGAAAATACGGGGGCAGGGCACAGGGAAACTGCAGGCGAGGGGAGCGGCGGGGGTGTGCGGGGGGAGGGGAGCGGCGGGGGTGTGCGGGGGAAGGGGATGGCGGGAGGAGACGAGGCGGCTATGCCTAGCAGACGAGGATGCAAGGAGGAGCCGCAAGGAGGAGCACGATGGGGTCAGGCAACTTTGGGGTGCAGTTGGACGAGAGAGCGGGAGGCGAGCGCGGAGGCGTGGTGGGGGAGGGGGCGAGTGCTCGGAGTTGGAAGCGTTTAGAAAACAGGAGCATCCTCGTATCATTCCTTCTCGCGCCTCTTGAGCTTTCGCAGTACTGTCAACCTCGTCACGCAAACAGGCTCCCCGCGCATGTCCTACCTCGCTTCCCTCTCTTGCTCAATCCGCTGTCCCTCTCCCGCCGCTCCAGGATCTGTCACAAGCTCACTGACCCCGCACGCTCCCAGCCTTGAGCTCCCACCTCCATCAGCAGCGGTCGGAGAGCCTTCCGCCGCGAGAGCCGCGTCTCCCACAGCCTGTGATGCTGCACCTGCGTAAGCTCAGTGTGACGACGAGCCTCCAAGTGCTCGGCAGACCTTCGCCTCCGACAGCAGCGGGCGGTTAGCCTTGAGAGTCGTCAGATGGCTGTCAGTCTCTTCCTGCGACCCCTCATCTCCTTTGCTTGCGCTTGCTGCTTCCCCCGCCTGCCCCCCTCCCTTGAGCCGCATCGAGTTAAGCTGGTTTCGCATTCCAAGTCCCCGCAGCGAGGAGGGCAGATCGCTCCCGTCTCCTGCAGAATCTGTCGAGCTTGCGGGGCAAGCATCTTCCAGCAAGTGAGGAGGGAGGTTGACAATCTGCTTGTCTTGGCCCTCCAGCAGAACCTCGACGGAAAGCGTCAGAGCTTCAGTGATTCGAACAAGAGCACGAGAGCAGAGCTGATTACCTTCAGCCAGGCTCCGCATCGATCGCTCACGATTGCTATCTTGCCACCTGGAAGCCACAGCGTAAACTGCATGCCCTCTAAGCTGACATCGACCACCTAGCTGCGGATGCTCGTTCTTGATCCGCACATACTGTCCTGCACGGAACGCCATGCTGAGAAGCTCGTCGGTCGCCTTATCCTCTGCGGCAAATAGAGGTGTAAAGAGTCCTCTCTCAGAGGCGTCACGCTCGTTACCGATCTTCAGATCCGGCTTTGGCTGATCACGAACTCGATGCAGCTGAGCAAGGAATGACATTCGTGGACAATCCTGTTCAAACCAACATGTCAGTTATACACTCATTTCAAGGAACTAAATGACCTTGGCCCCCATCTGATGCTTGTACTGCATGATCAGGCACGTGTCAATGAACGGATCATCCATGTGACGGCAATTACCTTCATTCCCATCCCAAGGTCCCAAAACTCAAATCCTCTCTGATGAAGCAGCAAGCCGAGAGCAACACACTGGACGCTCCCTAGGAAAAGACATCAGCAAGGCATCGATAGAAGCTGAATCGACTCACCAGCAGAGCTTGCACGCGTAAAACCAGATAGGCTGCAGTAGGACTTGCCTTTAACACACCAGCGAGTCAACGCCTTACAGGGCAGAGGGTTCGTGAAACAAAGACGCGTACCAACTGAGTAGCCCAACTCCCCCGCAACGAGCTCGCCATTGTGACTCACTTCGATGGAGTGTATGCGGACCTTTTGAATCTCTGCGTCATAAAACACATCCACGACTTGCTGCTGACAGCACCTGTCCTACCCCGCCGCATCGAAACAGCCCCTTGAAGCCTTGCACTGGTATCAACAAACAACCATCAGGTTTCCAACCACGTGCAGAAGAGGCGGAAGAAGACCTAGAGGAGGATGCAGCCAGCTCTCGCTGTGCTGTTCAAGGCACATGGCAACCTGCCAGACAGCAGGTATGAGAACTCGAGCGAGGACAGTAGCACAGACTCAGTTACCACTTCATCAAACCTCGAGTCGGTCGAGAGCTTGTATCCTCTGCAGCCCACCGTGAGAGGTCAAAGTTGAGATCGAGAAATCCCACCTAGACCGGCGCATCAACCCCTTGGGGACATGAAGGTCCTCGAAGTTGATGATGCATCTAATCCCGAGGTCAGCCCTGCGGCGTCATGGAAGTGAACAAGCTACCTCTGCTGGTGCAGCTTCGGGAGCAAGATGTACTCTTTAGGCTTTATGGATCCATGGGCTGTAGGCAGGTATCCCTGATATGCAGCCATGAGTCGGAGCTCCCTGGTCGTTGGAAAGGTGTCACCTCATACATGAGGGCAGCCAAGAAGTTCGGTTCGAAGCATGACGCCCAGCAGAAGTCTGAGTTCCATCCCTGCGTGTTTGAAGCTGTTGAGCTTCCAAGCCAGGCGTTCGATCGTCATACCTTTGCAATCTGAGATGTGACGAACGCAAGGCTTGGCTGTGCGTTGGGTTCGCACATCGCAACAGTCAGCAAGGGGATGTGGGATAGCCTGCAGGCATGCATGGTAAGAGTAAGCATCTGCCAGCATGCTTATCTAACCATGAGTTGCTGAACAGCAAGGCCGCGTCTGAGCTGGAAAGGTCTTTCAGAACCTCCTTTCTCCCTCGCTTCGAATCAGACGCCTCCTTCCTTGCAGAGGATGCAGCTTGTTGTGAGCTGTCTCTACTCCCCTTCTCCATCTCCGATCAATCGGTGCTTAGTCTTGCATGGAGGTAATCAAGTCGAAGAGCTGCAAGTAGAGATCAGATGGCATGAAAAAAGCAACCGGCGACATCATAGAATCAGGAAAGTTCTTTTGATTGCATCGATTTCGAGTTGAGTCATGGACAATAATAGGTAAAGGAAACGAACAAAATCATCTCACTTTCAAGATCTGCCTATGTTCGCATCGTACTCGTGGGAACACGAGACAGCATTTGACAGGAAGTCACACGGGACATGGCCTTTGCAACAGTACCAAACAAACAGTTCAAGTTGGGTTAAATGCGAGCTTGTCTTATTGGTGAGCCATGAGCACGTGTAAGTAACACTCCATTGAATGTCGTTGTCATGAGTTCATCGTCAGTTTGTTTCTCTGCCATGGCTGTCCAGCAGCGGCTCATCGTTGCGTTGCTGGCACGGAGAAGCATCGGCAGGGAATAATATCTCTGACTACGGGTGGTTTTAGCAGAAAATGATGGGGTGGGGTTATGGGTTGGTTCTTGAATGTTGAAGCTAGGGTGGATCACTCTGGGCAATGGGGGGGTAGGGTGAAGAAAAAGACTGAAATTGATGGGTGGGTATCTTCAAGGAGGGTGATGAAAAGGTTCTCTATAGAAATAGGGGTAGGTAGTCTGACTAGATGACCACACGACTATAAACTTCCTTAATTTGTACGGGTGGATATTGTCAGAGGAGGGGTACTTCGATTTGAATCATTAGGTAGAAGGGTAGTGGAAGAGAAAGCAGGGGTGCAAGTTCTATCCAAACAAAGTCATGGGGTGGATGGTAGAGACCAACATGTGGCAGTGGTAGGGGTGGGTGGAAGGTTGGAAATGTTGACTGAAATGCTGATTGTAGATGCAAGAACTGACCACAGGTTGAGTAAACTTTTGAGGAATGAAAACCATAATTCAAAATTTAAGAAGTGATTTTCAAATATTTCGGGGGTGCTTAAAACAAGCCCGCCTCAGTGTAGAGAGAGAGGTCAGTATAATCTCAATTAGGTTTCAGATATCGCATCTCGCGAGGCAGCAGTCGAGGGACGCTGTGTCCAACTTAAAAGGCCACTTATTAAATATTTTTAATAGTTTTTATAGAAAGGAATTTGTACCAGATTCCTCGAACAAAAAACATATATCGACAGGGAAGGAGATACATCGGAAACGACCGGATGTAAAAAAATCAAAAGTTCGTTGGTACAGTTTGATATCTATAATATTGTATAATTAAATCATCGTTTTATACCTGGCCTCAAGAATCTTGTTTGGCAGGCAGGCTGGGGACATGAAACCCTGAGGGGGGTGGTATAATTAGTCGGGGTGGTGGGAGGACTGGCGTACGGTGGGTACTTTTCATGTCCCCTTCAAACGTATACAATTCGTGGTGAATTATCAGGGAGGGTAGTGGATGTTGTTGGGTAGGGGTACAGAAAGCTAGATGGAACCCATATGAGGGTAGGGTAGAACGGGGTGTTGGAAAGGGATTGACAATGGTGGAAGGGATGCGGCATGCAAAATCACGTGCTGAGGAAGCGAGGATATGAAGATGATGATCGCAACTACGATGACGAGGACGATGATTATAATGATGGAAGACGAATGGAGCTCTACTGACTCGACGTCATCCCAGTGAAGCTACTGCAAGGTGTGAAGGAAAGCAGATCAAAACCACGAGCCCCAATAGGCAAGGACGTGAAGCTTGTGAAAGAGGGCAGGAGAAACTCCCGCAGCTCACTCAAGCTGGAGCTTGAACAGAAGCACGTATCGAAGATCAGGAGTGCTGACTAGCTCGGTTGAGCAGGGACTTGAAAGGATGAGTGGATTTCTCGACAACCCTGGGGGTTATCAGTTTCCACCCATGGGAGGCGAGGCAGGGACAGGCTCTGGAGCAGGCTCAGTACCAGGAACAATCCCAGACATTGGGTCTGGTTCTGGAACAGGGTCGCTTCCAGATTATGCCAACCCCTCTGCTCCCCTTCAGCAAGCCATCATAGACGCGACGAACCAAGAGATTGTTGCAGCGGTATATGCAGGTGAATTGTGAGACGTGCATGCCTTTTATGCCTGACTGATGTTGCCCATCAGCGCTCTTACCTGCCATGGACTTGGCGATCACGAGGGCAGCGGGAAATCTAACAAAGGTGTTCGACGACGTGCTTAAGGTGTACATCGCTTTCGTCTGCATTGGCAATGATGTGACAATGGCTTCTTGATCACGCTTTAGAAACTACCAGGCACTGCGGATTCAGCTGTTGAACCACTCATTCTCAAGTTGAAGGAAACGGTGAGCGCTTGCCAGCGAGCTACAGGGAGGAACGCGCTCAGGAACTCACGTCGCACGCAGGCCTTTGACATCTTGAAAGTTCTCTACACAGAAGGTGTCAAAGTTGCGATCTGGCTCTTGATAACAGCACAGGTCACATACCGACTTCATCATGCTGCATGATATTTACCTTGATTGTTCTAGGTTTGCAGCACACTGATTACCCTGCTTATTCTGTACGGGCTGTCATTCTCTGCTTGCAAAAAAAATGACCGAGTCTGATCGTTCCGCTCACAGCGAAATCTTGTCTTGCTGCTGCTCCATTCTCTCATGGCGCCGCAAGAGATTCAGGGAGAATCAAGAGGGCTGTGAATTGCAATCTGTTAAGTGATGTCCCTTCCTTATCGATTCTCTTGCTGACTGGTCGATCAGCAACTCATGCTCGGAAAAAGAATCAGGAGACTTCCCCATCATGATTCCAGCAGGGTCTCAAACTGAAGAAGATCAGGTTCCTAACGGGTAACGACAAATGTGTTTTCTCATACTTGAGGCTGAATCCATGGATGAAGGTTTGAGAGCAAAACAAGCGAAGAAGCTCCAAGACAATCGTTGCAGTTCTCGGCCATAATGCCGGTCGCAAGACTGTCTTCCAAAGATCCGAAGAGCCCGAGCGGGGATGGGATTTTGTCAGGGTTATGGAAGACGGCAGGTCTGAGGAGCTTCTCGGATCAACTGGATCTTTACCAGATGCTTGCAGAGGCTTCGGCCTTCTTTAGGAGCCCTCCCAGCTCACCGACACCAAAGAGGTACCTTGAGAACAAGAATTTTCAATGGCCCAACGGTAGCTCTCCTTGGCTATCCGCACTGCTGGTTCCATGACTTTGCTTTCAGTCATACAGGTCTCCTGCTCAACTCCGCACTGCCATGATATCCCTGCTATCCTAACTCTTCTATTCTCCAGCTCCCTACAAGAAGGGTGAACGCCGCTCACCGCAGATCTCAGTCATCTCCAGTTCAACACGTTCCTCAGTCGATGGTACGATGATATCAGATTTACTGTTGCACAATCCTGACTCGTAGAGAAAAGGACTCTGGGGCACTCGCGCCAGTTCATGAACGAGGAGATTCAATAAGTCTTCTCGAAAGGTAAAATGCATCAAAAATTTGAGGTACACCGCCTTCGACTCTACATGTTAGTTAGTGTTTTCCATTGTCCCTCTTATATGAAAATTTTTATTATGTTCGAAATCGAGATCTCTCTTGTTACTTTGCAACACATGAAAAATAATTCGATATCCACAATTTCAATTCCAATCAACACACATTACATGCTATCTCGTATTCCTTTGAAAGGATCTGGACATCGTCCGTGATAGCCCAGCCATCAGCAAACTTCACTCACATGTCCTTGCAGGGCTTCTCAGTGCAACAATCTCTGCCTTCAAGTCACGTATCTCGTCCAACAGCCTCTGGTTCGTCTCCTTGAGGGTCGAGGTCATGTCTTCCTGGTCTTGTTCCAGGAATGCAATCCTGCAACCCATGTCAAGGAGACAGACATACTCCACATCTGTTCTTGTACATACTTTTCAAGAGCATTGTCCAGTTTGGTCTGAAGAACCATGACCTCAGACTCCATCCTCCTATCCCGCGCTTGCAGCTCCTCATTGTCGATCTCCAGTCGTGCATTCTTCCCTTTGAGGGATTCCTCGTTACATTTAAGGGCATCAATCTGCTTTTGAAGGGAAGTTATCTGATCGAGCCTTTCTGCCTCTGCCTTGTTCCATTTCTCCTGCAGAAGCTTCTTTTCCTTACTCTCGCTCTCCAGCCTGGTTGCGAGCTTTCGCATCTCCGTGTCCTTGGACTTGAGCTCTTCCTCCATCGCCTGCTCCAGCTCTTTGCTGCTTTCAACGAATTCATCGAACTCTGATCTCAGCCTCCCCAGCTCCTCCTCCTTCTCCTTCAGTTTTCTCTCCGCCTCCTCCATCATGAAATTTCCACGGAACCCCTGCCCATCGCAAACACCACAGGATCGCAACGGTTCTGTAACGTTTTCACAACGCCTTGTGTAACGGTGTGTTGTGTGACAGCCAAACCTTTTAAAAGCTCAGCATTTTACTATAAGTTACCCTTGAATCTTTTTCAGGAGGACAATACCGGTGGTGTGACCAGGGGGGGGTAGCAAAAGCACTCCTAGTCTGAGTAGAAGGGGGGGTACAGGACTTAAGGGGTGGTTCTAAAACAGTTATTCAAGGCCGCCCACCCCGCATCTTTCGTGGGCCTTTTGGATATTCTGAAGATCTCGTGGGAAAAGTGAATTGTGATAGGTAATATTTGAGATAAATGCTTTTCAAATTTTGAAATTGTCACGCTATGGGTCACATGGCTGACTGGTTAGGAATGGACTGGCTGCTCTAATCGGTTGTATAACTTAAATCTACTTCGAAATCACTCTCTTTCGATATTATACCCCCCTGACCCTGCAACTTACGAACCCCATTGATCTCTACCCTACCACCTAATTCCGTTTGGACCCACCCCACCTTTATCAGGCAAGGCGGAGGATCTTGTTACACAGTTCGGTACCCCACCCTATGCTCGAACACGAAACTACATCAACCTTACCCTTCATTCTAGCACCCTACCTACTAGGATTCATCTTCCTGCTTGACCTATAAACCCCATCACGGGTACCATCATGATCTATACCACCCTACCCCTCCTCACGCCCAAAAAACAGGTATGAAGTACCCCACCCCTTGCCCCCTTTTAAAAGCTGATGACCCTAATAAAAGCCTAAAAAGCCCGACATCTTCCATTCTCGAATGGGTTATTCGCTTACCCCTACCCCCTTTTAACTCCTCATTCTTCACCCTACCCCTACCTGCAGCATTCCTCGCACTTCGCAATGCCGCAGCGCGGGTTGCCACAGTCGATGGATCGTCGGACGCAGGCGCTGCAGCAGCGAGTCAGAGATGCTATCCTACAGTGAGTATATCATGCTCTACATAGATCATCGCCTTGTTCTAGAGCATTCTGCTCCTTCCTGAAGTCGCTGTATGTGTTTCCTTTGCACACCCTTGTGTCAGGTAGAGGTTGTCTGACCGTGTCATCGCGTGTATGTCATAGAGACTTGTAGGTACAAAGAGATCGATGTTGTTATGGTTATATCTGCGATTGTGTTTGTTGTTTATTTCTCTATCCTCTTTCGATAATGTAGGCTGATACTCAATAACTTCCCACAACAGCAAGGCGTTCGACTTGAGGAATGAACAGATATCTGCGGGAAAAGATACATCCATTGGTAGAGCAAACGGCTTGATTAAGATGTTTTCTTCTGAAATGTCATTTGCAGGCTCCGATGCATACGACTATGTTCGTGATTCTGTGAATACTTTCCAACAAAATGTAAGTGAAGGTATGAGGGAATGGGTGAACTGATCGGTTTTTCACTTAGTTAAATGAAGAAGAGATAGGGTACTACCATCACAGAATCACGAATTGTGGGAAGGTCGGGGTTTGTAGTATTGTTCGATGTGCATGATGTCTGCCCCAGGTTCAGAAGTTCGGTGTTCTGTTGACCATAAAGGTACCTCCCAGTGTTGTTTTTGAGAGCATCATCTCATACTCATCACACAGCCGGAGACCGGGAAGATTGTTGCTTGCAGTCAGAATACGGAACAATTGCTTCACATACCTTTCAGTGAGGTGAGATTTGTGTTGGATTGCAGAAGTACACAGGTATTGACGACTTCCCTTAGGTTATTGGGCGTCATGTGAGCGAAATTTTTGAGGAAACAGAAAAGGTGGATAAAATTCTCAAGGGGCCACCTAGCCCCATGTCAAATCCTTTTCTCTTTTCCGTTCGCAATGGGCAAGAATCAAAAACTAAGGTATGAAAATTTATTTGGTGGTTGAAAGGGCATGTAACAACATCTATGATGTAGGTAAGTGTGATGGTCAATGAAGCTAAGATTGGGGATGAAGAAGATGGGGTGTTGTTCGATGTGGAGGCAGCAGATAAGAATTCTGTTGAAGGGATGTGGCAAGCGCACCAATTAGTACGGAACGCAGTGGAACTCATGCAAGAAAGCGATTCAGTTGAAGAGTTGCTATCAATCGCTGTGAAGGAGGTTCAAAGGATAACAGAGATTGATCGTGTGATGATCTACAAATTCCACGAGGACATGCATGGGGAAGTTGTTGAAGAGTGTAAGAAGGAAACTGTTGCTGACTCCCTACATGGGCTGCATTACCCTGCTACAGATATTCCCCAAATCAACCGAGAACTGTTCAAAGCCAACCGAACCAGGGTAGTGTTCGATGTAAATCACAGGGGCGATGACATATACTGCCTGGATGATGCTGTATGCGCGAAAGATATTTGCCTTGTCAAGAGCTGTTTGCGCCAGGCACACCCTTGCCATCTTGAATATCTTGCGAACATGGGCGTAAGATCTTCCTTCGTCGTGGCCATTATCGTCAACAAAGAACTTTGGGGCTTGTTTGCATGCCACCATTACTCTGACACTTGTTATATTCCCTTTCAAGTCAGGATTGCAGCGGAATTCCTGAGTCAAGCGCTGGCTGCCCGGCTTGGATCAATTTTCGAGATGAATGAGCGAACACAGTTAGAGATAACGACGAATCTACATTGGAGCTTGTGCGAGAAGATGAACAAGTACAGCTCCATCGAGAGGGTGAGAGGACTAGTGGAATCAGGCATCAACATGTGCTCCTTGATCGCTCATGCTGAAGGTGGAGCAATCATTTTGGAAAATCACATCTTCACGGTGGGGAAGGTGCCTAGCACCGAGATGATTCGAAGGATCTTGACGGCTGTGCTGCCCTTGAGAGATTCACTGGGGACCATCACGGTGGAAAACATCAGTATCGTGCTTCCGAACATTGAGGCGCTCGCTAATATTGTGTCTGGCGTCTTGTGCGTTCCTATCAACAATGGCTTCATGATCTGGTTCAGGCCTGAGTTTCGCAACACTGTGACGTATGCTGGAGCCCCTCCCGATGACGATGAGCTGAATTCCATGGGCCCGAGAGCCTCTTTCGCTGCCTTCGACAAGATCAACAAGCTTCAGTGCAGGCCATGGACTAAAGTCGACAAGCAGGCGGCACTTGCTATCGCTGACCTTGTGAATGATGTGTGCACGAGGATGGAAACGAGCTCCACTCTCATTCGCATCAACGCAGAGAGAGTGAAGAGCCGCAGCGATTGTGCAGCGATGGCAAGCGAGCTGGCGAAGTTGCTCGAGAATGCCAACGCCCCCATCTTCAGCATCGACCTGACAGGCAAAATCACCCAATGGAATAAGAGGTGTGAAAAACTATCGGGGATGTCCTCCGAAGCCGCAAAAGGTCACTCCATTGAGGAATTCTGTCCTCCCAGCTATCATTCCGTCATCAAGACAATCGTCTCGACAGTAATGAATTCGGAGGCGACTAACAAGTTTGAGCTCGGGATCTACTCGCAAGTGAGCGACCAGCTGGTGGAGCTTCTGCTGAACAGCACGGCAAGGAGAGACGTTGATGGCCAGATCGATGGCGTTGTCTTCATCGGTCAAGACATCACTGAGACGAAGGAGGCGATCAACAAGGTGCAGAAGATTGCGGAGGACTACTGCCGGTTGTTTGCCAACGCTGCTGCTCCCATCTTCGGCATCGACACGGTGGGAAAGATCAACAACTGGAATGCAGCCATGGTGGAGATCTCCGGCATCGAGGCGGAGGAGGCCATGGGCAAGCAGCTGGTCGGGGAGATCTTCGGAGGGAAGCTCCAGCACGTGGAGAACTCCGAGTCCATGCAAGTGAAACTGGAGATGGTCTCGTCCAGAGCCCTCAGCTCCTCCGAGACGATCCACCTTGAGCTTGCATGCAGGAATGCTAGAGGCACGCTGGTAGACCTTCTCGTCTCCGCTGCCTGCAGGAAGCAGCACACAGATGAGAAGCCGATCGGGGTGATCTTCATCGCGCAAGACATCACGGAGAGAAAGACCCTGGAGATGACCAACAGGGTCTGCCTGGCCGCAGAAGCTGCATCTGCCGCCAAGACACAGCAGATGAGCTTTCTCTGTCACGAGATCCGCAACCCTCTCAACGGCGTCATCGGCTACATCACCTTCCTGGAGGAGACCCAGCTGAACACTGAGCAGGCTGAGCTCCTGCAGACAACCCAGCAGTGCTGCCTACAGCTGAGGAGGATCGTTGATGACGTGCTGGACTTGTCCAACATCGAGGAGGGCAACCTTGAGATCCAGCACTCAACCTTCGATCCCCTGAGCATCATCTACACGGTCATGAGCCAGGTAAGTCATGCCTTGCATGTCAGAGGGGAAGCTGGCAGGTCGGCCTGAACCCCCTTGGCAGGTGCGAGTGGTGATGGAGGACAAGGGGCTCGAGATGAAGTTCGAGGCTAGCGGGATGGAGGGAACGATGGTGGTCGGCGACCCGGCGAGGATCGTACAGATCCTCTCCAACTTCGCATGGAACGCGGCGAAGTTCACCATGAGCGGGCACGTGATGTTCAAGATCGAGAAGCTGGCGCACACCAACACGCACATGACGACGGTGAAGCGAGGGGTCCGGCACATCGTCTTCTCGGTCATCGACACGGGCCCTGGCATCCCTCAGACAGTCCAGGAGAATCTCTTCCAGCCATTCGTGCAGGGCGACAAGTCGACGACTCGCCACCACGGAGGCACCGGCCTCGGACTGAGCATCTGCCGTCAGGTCTACTAATCCTCCTCCTTTCCCTTCCTCGTCTCACCTTGTTGTACTCGTCCCCCCATGCCTCACCTGTACTGCCCGGCCCGACTCCCCCCTGCCATCGCGGCTCCCTGACCTTTGTTTGGCTGCAGCTGGCCAAGCTGATGGGAGGAGACGTTTCTTGCCGGTCCACACTGGGCCATGGCTCCACGTTCCAACTCGAGCTGCCGATGGAGGTCCTGCAGAAGAGTGACGATGATCGGAACTCGGATAGCTCCCGGGAAGACTGGAAGGGGTCGACGACTCCAAGGTTAGAACCGATGCCGCAGCCCAAGGACGTCAGGACCCCGAGCTCCTCGATGCTGTCGACCTCTCAGGGTACTGGCTGTTACCTTGATGGAGTCAGATTGCCTTGCTCTTACCGTGCCTGGGCCTGACGGCTTTTCTGCCTGAACTCATTCACGACCGACTCTTTCTCTCCTTCTCGCCCTCTCTCCCTCTAGTCTCCGCATGCTCCCTGTGTCCTCCCTGTGTTGGTGTATGGGTAGAGGGGGATACTTGATCGCTGACTTTCCTTCCTTCAGAGCCGCCGCTCAACAGAAATGCGTTGGAGAGTCAAAGTCAGGCGAGAGCAGCGCCCCCAGCGAGGAAGGAGGCAACCAGCATCTCCAGCCAGCCGAGCAACGCAGGGGTGAAGACAAAGTGGGGAGAAGGGATGGGCAACTCCAGCGCCAGCGTCTCCTCTACGAGCTCCAAGGACACTGTCCCTCACCCACAGGGGGAGACTTTGAAGGCTAAGGCGAACAACTCGCTAGGGAGGAACTGGAACTTCGTGGTGGTACGGGAGATTTTCGATGATCGTATGGCTGCAGTTCTTGGAGAGATCGAGCAGGGAGGTATTAGGCGCCAGTGCTGGGGGACAGCCACGGTTGAAGAGCACGGCATCACTGCGCTCCAAGTAGCAACGAAGCAGGTGAGAGGAGGAGGCGGAATGGAGGGGAGGGAGAACAAGGGAAGATGAAGTGGAGGGGATGACTGAGGAGGAAGGGATGGAGTGGTCGTGAGTGAGAGCCGTGGCAGGCGATGAACGCATGTATGAGTCTCTTCGTGGAGCCGTTGGAAACCATCATCGAGCCTTCGGTTATCAGCTCGACCAGCTCAGTCCGAGCTGCAGGCTCGTCGAGCAGGAGCCCGTCACGATCCATCAGCAAGGAACCAGTCCCTCAGAGGACGCAGGTTGTCAAGGAGGAAGCGGACTACGGGCAGAAGACCAAGCACGTGCTGGTGGTGGACGACGACCCTGTGAACACGAAGCTGGCGAGCGTCTGCTTGAAGAAGTGTGGGCTTCAGATCACAACGGCGTCAGATGGGAAGGTGGCGGTGGAGCTGCGGGAGAAGTCTGCGACGCAGGAGGGAGCTGCGAGATTCGACCTGATCCTGATGGACTGCAAGATGAAGATGATGGACGGGGACGTGGCGGCGAAGCTGATCCGAGAGTTCGAGGGGGGCAGGAAGCTGCCCTCCATCCCTATCATCGCCTTCACCGGTGGGGGGGTCAACGATAAGGACGACGAGTTCTTCTTCAAGGCCGGCATGCAGGGAATGGTACAGAAGCCCCTCAATGTCCGTCAGTTTCCTGATGACATCACTAAGTGCCTGGCCTACCTCACCGACCCTGCGCGCCAGAGCACCGTCGACGTGCAGGCACGGGCCTCCGCCTCCTTCACAAAGAAGAGGATGGGGGACGTGATCCTCTTCGAGACTCACTAGAACTTTCCCAGCTGTACCTTAAAGGTTGATTTACCCTGACGCCCCCAGCTGAGGGTCGGGCTGCTATCTCCAGCTAGAGCCCTGCTAGGTCTGCTACCGCCCGCAGTACCTTGCTCCTGTCCTCGTCCCTCTCCACCCCCAACTCCCGGAGGCTCTTGTCGGTCAGCAACAGCAGCCGCTCCCCTGACACCCCCGAGGCCCAGCACGAGGCCTGCTGAGTGTGAGCACAAGGAGCAAGGGGGAGGCTCGTCCTCACCTGCAGCTTCTTCGCTGCTCCTCGCGAGAGATCTTGTTGCCCAACCCATGAGACCACCTGAGGGAGCCTCTTATCAGTCTTTCTGCTGCTGCTGCTGCTGCTGCTGCTGCTGCTGCTGCTGATTCTACTCCTACTCTCTCCCTCCCCTCTCCACCTTCGCTGCTGCCCTATTCTTTCCTCCCGTCCTCTCTGTTCCTGTCCCCTCTCGGCTCCTCCGAGTTTGCTGCTCCTCTGCATGTGCTCCCAGTGCTTCCTAGACTCCCTTACCTCCGAGGGCTTCCAACGGTAAACTTGCCTTAGCTTCGCCTTGACAGCTTCTCGTCTCTCTATATCCTCATAGTCCACGAATGGCTCTGTCTCGTTTTTTCCCTCCATCTCCCACTTTTCCTCCTCCTCTTCCTCCTCCTCCTCCTCTTCCTCCTCCTCCTCCTCCTCCTCCTCCTCCTCCTCCTCCTCCTCCTCCTCCTCCTCCGCTTTCTTCTTCTCCTTAGTATACCCTCCAGCGGCCACCGCTGTATCACCGTCAGATTCCATCAACTCACAAGCGGTCTCACCGCCGCCAGGAGCGGAGCTTAACTCTTCCTGCTCAGTGATGGGGGACAGCAGCAGGTCGTCCACCTCCAGCAGCAGCCGCGTCCTCCGGTCGCTCTCCTCCCACCTCCTCTTCTGCTCGTCTCCCCTTCCCTCCCCGCTCCTGCCGCCCTGCTCCCTAGGCACCAGCCCGTTCGGCTTCCTGCTACAGGCATGAGATGAAAGTCGAGGAGGGGGGGATGTGGGCACTTCTCAGCTCTGCTGGCCCTGCTGCATAGCTTCTCCAACTCGACGACGACAGCGTCGAGGCTCATAAGCTGCGACAGGGTGAGGAGAAGCCGCAGAGAGACAGCCGTCGACGTGTAAACTTTTGACGACCCTCCTGGTCTCCTCGTCGTCCTGCTGGGAACTCAGGAGGCTGGGTAGCACAGATCTGCTGGGGTACCAGCTGAGGGGAGCGCGAGAGCAGCTTGTGTAAGGCGACGAGCAGCCTGCAGACAATGAGGATCGAGGAAGAGGAGGGAAATGTAGCCCTGAAGATGAGGAGAGGAGAGGAGAGGAGAGGAGAGGAGAGGAGAGGAGAGGAGAGGAGAGGAGAGGAGAGGAGAGGAGAGGAGGGGAGGAATGAAGAAGGAAGAGAGGTGAAGGGGCAGGAGGCAGGAAGGCAAGGAGAGGTCTTGAGTGTCGTGACCTCTTCACAGTTTTCCAGCGGGGAGTAGAGAGTCTCGTCCAAGTCTGAGGGAAGGGATGAGACGCGGCCAAGACGGTCAAGAGGAACCTGAAGGGAAGAGAGGAGGAGACGACGAGACCGAGACTGTGCTAGAGCCCTGATCGTGACATCCTCCACCTGCACGCGCATGCCTGATTTCTCTCCTTCTCTTCCTCCTCCTCCTCCGTCGCCTCACCTTCCTGCATACGTGTAAAGTCCTTCTCATCGACTCCCTCATGGCTCGTTGACGATGCAGAAAACTCAACCAAACCTGCGCGCCCCTCAGACCTTGGCCCACTTGCAGCAGCAGCAGCTGCTGCTGCTTTGTTTTCCATGCCTCTCCTCTCTTCCCCGTCCCCTTTCTGCCCATCCTCTCCTCCCCCTTCCTCTCTCGACCTCCAGCGCTCTTGTCAGGACGTGGCTGGCATGGTTGAGTATGCAGATCTGCACGGGTCGGAAAAACAAGAATCTGCGGGGAAACAGACTAGCGGCTTCTAGCACATGCTGCAGATGCCGCATCCTCCTCGCGTTATCCTGCGTCTCAGCGTGAGCGGAAGAGGTTCGGCCACAGGAGGAGGAGGGTACGAGGAGAGCAGCGAAGCAAGTGTCCATCCTCTTCTCGTCCAGGGCACTGAGCATGAGATCAGCATCAGCATTGCCCTACGGTGACGAACGTTATCGAGTGACGGAAGGCCATGCCGCATGCTCGCTTCTTGATTCGCTCCTCCGCCCGGTCTGGTCATCGTCAAGTTCCCATGCTGCTGCATCTCCCCTCTCCCTGTCCCTCCCCTTTATCTTCCTTCTCCTCCTCCTCCCTTCCCTTCGCTATCCTACCTCTCCTTCCTTCTCCTCCTCTCTTTTTCTCTGTTGAGAAGGGCTTACCGAAAAGTACGAGAGACCACGAACCGCAGGCTGTCTTGAGTACCTTTGTCCTCCTCCTCCTCCCCACCGCCGCCGCTGTCCCCCTCCTCCTCCTCCGCGCTTGTGCGTACAAGGCGAGAGCGAGGAAGGAGCGAGAGGCTGAGGTGGAAAAGACGTCAGGGGGGTCGAGGGGTACGAAACAAGATGCTCGACATGCGTTCAGCAGCGTCCTGCTCACGATCGCCATCCCCTTCCTCCTATCTGCCATCATCTCCCTCCATCGCTGCAGGGAGGAGCCGAGCTGATGCTGCCTCCACATCCTTCCCAGCTGCTGCTCGACTACTTGCTCCCACCTGTGACTGAAGTCAGCAGCAGCAGCAGCAGCAGCAGCAGCAGCAGCAGCAGCAGCAGCAGCAGCAGCAGCAGCAGCAGCAGACCGAGGAAACAATGAGAGAACGCGCCATGCTTCGATCAGCTTCGAGGTTCTGTACTGCACCGTTCTCTTCCTGTGGGCCTCAGCTCGCCTCAAAGCATCTACATCATCATATGAGACAAAAGGAGGCGCTTGCAACGTCTCTACCTCGCTTCCTTCCCCGTTCCATCCTTGACGACTGGCATGCTTGCTCAAAGCTGTGCAGCACGGCCCTTGTCCTCCTCCTCCACAGTCCGTCCAACCTCACAGCCGAGCTCTTGATGACTTCATGAATGGTCTGGTAGCAAATCGATCACATCTATGAGAAGATAGCATAAGGAGCAAGCATCGTCACCATCCACGTCTGCAGGCAGCGTCTTTCCACGCTTTTCTTCCTCCAGGAGTCGCAGCATCTTGCCAGCAGGCTGTTCCGCTCCTCTTCCTCCTTCCTGCAGGAAACGGTGGAGGTCCATTGGAGGAGCATCCTACTAGCAAGCAAGGCACCCTGATGCTTCTTTTCCTCCTCCATCACTCGCCGCACGATCTTTCTGCGCTGCAAAACGCTCAACCACCGCACAAACCCGTGGAGATTGGAGGCGAACTGATCGCAAGACAACCTGTCGCTGACCCTCTCCTCGACCATCGTCATGGCTACTGCGTATCTGCTCCAAGACAAGAAGATTCTCTGCGTGACCCTCCTAGTCCGCATCCTCCTCCACGCCCTCAGGGTCTTGCCTCTGTCCGGTTCGGTGCCCTCCACCCTCCGGCTGGCTCCCTGAGCGAGGAGCAGAGTCTTCTCGATGTCCACTACCTTGTCTTGAAGAATCGACACGTGGGAGGAGGTGAGAGAGGAGTAGAACTTCTGCTCGATCGCCAGTAAGGAGGAGGAGGAGCACTTCTCTTGCAGGGCTCGCAGCTTCGCCTCGCTCTGAGACAGCTGAAAGGCAGTTGACTCCAACAACCTCACGCTCTCGTCGATGCTCTGCATGTTCATCTGCTCGTAGCACAACATCTCCTGCTCCTCCACCATCGACGACCTCAGCAACAGAATCTCCTCCTCCAACCTCCTGATATGCACTGCATGCTCGTGCTCGAGCCTGCCGGCCACCATCTCGACTAGCTGTGCCACATCGTCTCCTCGATCCACGTGCTCATCTTCCTCCCACTGCGTCTCTCTGTGCGTCTTCTTGTTTTCTCCTCCAACCTTGCGAGGAGAGCAAGTGGTCGAGTGGCCGCAGAGCAGGCACGCGGGCGATGAAGCTGCTGGATGCGAGGAAATCTCACCAACAGAACAGCGATGACAAGGCTGGTGGAGACTAGCTTGTGAAGAGAGGGTTGCATGGAGGTCGTTGAAGCTCTGGTTCATGTTGTGCCGCAAGGACCTCTCCTCCTCGAGCTTGTAGAGCAGCTCAAACTCTCTTTTCCTGTGCCATTCCTCCAGCTCTGTCAACTGCAGGTTGTGTTGCTGTCTGAGATCCTTGAACTCACTTTCTGTCAGTTTCCTAACGCTTGAAATCTCCTCAAGCTGCAGCGCTAGCAGGTGCTTGTCGTAATTCAATCTGATGTTGTCTTCCTTTAGATTACTTGCAGCAATTTGACAGTCCAATAGCTTTCCCCGCAGATGTGTGATTTCTTTCTCTGCAAGAGAAGATTCAGACTTGATGCGATTCATTTCCATCCTTATCTCTTCTGTTCCCTCTTCTATCGCGTTTAGGATCTCTTCTGTGAAGGAGCGTCCAAGATCTAGCTTTGCGGCTACCATGTCAGAGGCACGGTGGAGCAGGACTTCAAGAGTTGCAAGTTGAGCCTCGTAGCTCGAAGCAATCTTTGCCAAGAGCTCGATGTCTTCAGGAGCTGTCTGAAGCCTTGTCACACTCTTTCGCTGCTGATAGATTATCAACTCCTTCTCAGCGATCGTCTTGATGAAAACCTCCTGCTCCCTTTCGAACTGTTGTAACAGCTCTTTGGCCAGCTCGTGTCTCTTCCACTCAGAGCTCGCCAGCTTCTGCCGCGTCGCCGTCAGATCGTCCTCCAGTCTCAGAGCACGGCTCCTGAGCTCCTCCACTTCTCTCTCCAGCCTCTGGATCGTTGCCGCATCCTGGTGGTGCAACATAATCATCTTCTTGTGCTCTTGCAGCGCGATCTTGGTCTTGGCCAACAAGGTACTCTCTTCGTTGGACCTGACGCTCTCGTTCACGTCTGTGTTCATCGTGTTAGCACGCCTTTCCTCTGCTCACTGCCGCCCCTCGATGGGCCTCCTATCCTCCTTCTCTATCACAGCACCATGCTGAAATTTTGAAGCTATTCAAAATTTCGATTTTGACTTTTTTTATATACCGGCAGTGACTCTCAAGGCCGGGACGGGCCTCGTTGCCGGCCCGGCCGGGCTCAGCTGAAGGCAACCCGCCGCCGATCGGATCATGATCATGATAACGCTGCCGGCCCGGGCACTTAGTGCAGCGGCCCCGGCACCGTGACGGCACTCGGGAGTCCGGCAGTCGCGGGGGCCCTGACTCAGGCTGTCGGGGGCCGGCACGGCATCATAGCGGCTCTTCAAGGGCCGCATTATTGTCGGATCGTATTCAAGTTAGAGACTCAGACGTACCAGGCCCACGGGATGACAAGTGACACCGTCTCGAGTCCCGGGCGGGCCCGGGAGGGCGGCGCGAATCGGGGGCCCGGCCCCAGCCGGTAAGGGCATCGACTGGAACTACCGTGACATACTGCCGCGTGATTGCGGGCCGGTTGACTACTACCATGCCCTTCAAGGCTTGAAACTTGCTCCCAATTCATACGGTCAAACTGAGTTTCACCGGTGGTCCCCCGGTCAAGAACGCCGGTGATCGCCTGCTCTCAGGCTGAATTCGTTCAGTTTGGGACATTTCAGTCGCTCATTGTATAGAACAAGAAAGTCGAACACTCCTTCAGAGCTCACTGCTAGGCTAGTCGCGGCTGCTGGTGCTCGTGGACGCTCGTGTCCGTTGCTTACTTGCCAAAGGAATCTCATCGTCAGAAACATTCATCAGCTCCAGGTTTGTCGGCTTCTTCCAAGAAGTCTTGCCTGTAACCTGATGGATCGACGGAGGTCAAGAAGGCCAGGCCAGCTAACCAGCTCACCTTGTTCCAGTAGTAAAAGCGGTCAGCTGACACATACACGCGCCTCCACTCCGTCTTGCGCCTGCGATGCTCGTGTGTGCTCCCTTTCTTCTCGCTGTCCATCAAAGAATCTCATTAGCTTTCTATTTTTCCCCCTCCCCCCTCCCTCGCTCCCTCGCTCCCTCACCGCAGCCCTCTTTCGGTCTTGCAAGTCAACCCCTGAGCGTCCATAGCCGCCTGCAGGTCACCAGTCGCCAGTCCGTCCTTGAAAAGATCCTGCGAAATCTGAGCTGGTGCAAGTGGCGGATTCGACGCTCTTACAGTGAAACGTTTGATACGGTCGGCCGGGATAAGCGCAAGCATTGCAACTCTCACTTTCACTGGTTGTGTTGCTGGCATGTCCTGCTCTTCTTGATGCTCTTCTTGATGCTCATCATCACCACCTCCTCCTAGTTCATGTCTGCTTGCTCGCTCTCCATCGGGCTTGTACAGCTCTACCTTGCGTACCAAGAGGCTGTAGGCACAACGTCGGACCATGTACGAGAGAACGTGCCCAGAGCAAGAACAGACATACCAGTGGATGCTTTCGTTCAGAATACTGCAAATGGCTCTCCTCAACAAGAGCTGCTTGTCTGCTGTGAAGGTAATCTCACTTTCTCCCTGCTCCAGCCATCAGCAAGTCAGCGCACGACAGGGGAGAGGTCACTTCAAGGGTCAGTCTAATGACAACGCGAGCGACTTGTAAGCTCCTTCCCTCCCACAAGAGGCGCTTCCTGATCCGTGAAACTCGCAGCACTGCCAGCCACTGAGAGCAAGTCAAGAGAGAGATCAAACGTTTGAAGCTCCTTCGTCATCACTTGTCTGACTTTCTTCTGTACCACAAGAGCTGCATGCCTGTACTCTAAGAAATGACTCCTCGCCCTGTGAACCCTCCAGTTGTTCTGAATTCTGATCAGGAAATTGTGCAAGCTTGAAATCGACGAGATGAGCGCAAGTCAGCACCGTTGGCAATCATATTGGAGGATGAGAATTGGAGAATGAAGAGTGACTGCAACATCGATGATATACCTCTGAACGACCCGTGGTCTACTGATGGCTTCTCTCGTCGATGATTCAGCCATATCAAGGAGGGATCCTGAATCCTGACAATGCCTTGTTTATCTCAGCATCTTACGAGCGGCTCCAGACTCACCAGCACGGTGAATCTTGCTACTGCTACATCTGAGAATGCTCTACCCTGTGCTACAGCCATAGCCTGAGCGTATATCAAAGTAGCGCAGCGCATTTCCCTCTCCACACCTTCACGACAACTGATCCAGCGATCGCCATGGACGTACTGGAGGAGCAGTCGTCAGCTGAGAAGCAAGCCCTCGAAGGTCGCACTCGATCATGAAGGGGCCCTGGTACCTCCTGGGTTTCAGGTGATCCATGTTGAAATCCGAGCCATCCGCATTGTAGTAGATCGTAGCGTCGCTGGTCGGGCACCAGATAGTAACTAAGAGCTGCGTTATCAGACATCCTCGATCAGGGACGACCCTGGGAGCGCAGGTCTTGCGCAAGGGATTCAGCACTTTGGTCTGTGAGCAAGGTCAAGAAAAACATGCTGCTCTTGGAGGCTGTGGATCTACTCGCTCATTGAGCTTGACAGTGATGAGCTCGTCATCCGGGCTGAAGAAGCTCGACGGAGAAGCAGCACTGGTTCTGGCGGGCGTTGTGGGCCGACTGGAGGGCGTGTGATACTCCGTCGAGGACAAGGAGGACTCGGGAGTCAGAAATGCCGGAGATCTGCTGCCATTGAGGAAGGAAACGCAAGCCAGGGACGAAGCTCACCGCGGGTTGTCGTCGGAGCTCCCGCGCTCCTCACGATCATCGGCAGAGCTCATGCTCTCAGCTCTCTCCTCTTCTCTCCCTCATATCCGTCGGTCGCATCGACAGAGCTTGTGCCAGGCTCCACCTCAGCCTCCCCTTCTCGCGCTTGAACCGCCTGCTCAACGGGGGCCCATCAAAGTTTGATCGCCAAATCAAAATGTTCTTCCAACAAACCCGCCTCAACAGCGGCTGCGGAGGCTAACCGTTATCTGATTCCGTTACCACCAAAAGGTCGCGGCTTCGCTGCGGTCTGGTGGGAAAAGCGATGGGGACGAGGGAAGCGACGTCAGAGAGCGAGCATGACAGGCAGAGGACCCGACCTGATGCCCTCCCTCCTCTCCGTCAAGCTCACCCTGACTGGTTGCAAACTGGACCATGGTATGATCTACAAACAGACGCCGGTATCCTCGGAGTTGAAACCAACGCCTCTGGGCGATGTGTCCTCCAACAGTCTGAACTCCGCCGCTTCTTCGCACACGCGCTTCCGAACCCAAACGCTAAGAATGCTCAGATACTCTGGGAAAGCTCAGAACCAGTCAACGCAGATGATGTGAAGGAGATCGTGGAAGCCATGTTAAAACTCAAGCAAGCCATTCACATCAACACAGGTGTTCATGGCGACCCCAACGGCCAGCTACGGACAGATGGGAGAGACTCGATCGAGTTCTTGATGGAAGATTGTAAAACTGTTGAACAGCTCGGGAAGGACCACCCAATCTCCATCCACTGCGTGACCATGCAGTCAAGACCTTTCGCGCCACGTAAGGCGAACATGATAATCAACGCCTGGTGCTACAGCCATCAGTATGACTTTGCCGGAAAGATAGAGCCCGCAACAGGAGAGGTCAAACGAGAGAAGGACCGAGAGTACCTGTTCAATCGCCTGCCAAAGCATTTGCGCTCCATCATAGAGAAGGCAGACAGAACGATCAGTTTGGAGGGGGTCGAGGACTGCTTTATTGAGACAGGTTGCGCCGACAGAGATCCCGATCTTGTCAGCGTCACCACGAAGATCAACTCCGAGCAGCTTATTAGAGACTTTCTACAGAGCCAGAAAAAGAAAGTCCTTCTTCTGCTTGGCAAAGCTGGAGCTGGCAAATCAACGCTAGTGAAAAAGCACATCTTAAGGCAAGGTAGCAGCTGGGAGGAGAGCAAGTTGTATCCAGTGTATCTGCACCTTCCGAGTTGCAAAAGCGTCAGGGAGTTCTTGAAAGAAGAGGGAGAATATCTGAAAATACCAGAGCTTTTGGATGAAGATTTCAGGTACTTCGTCCGCAACAAATCCTTCTTGGTAGTGCTGGATGGGTATGATGAGATGGGCGAGAGAAGGAACGTCATCGAGGAAATCCATGGAGAACTATTAGGATGTAAAGACTTCAAGGCAATCGTCACCTGTCGGAGCGACTACCTCAAGAGCGATGGATCCTCGGAGCGACTGTTTTGGCTGCCTGGGGAAGGAGCAAGCGGGCGCTTGCAAGTTGCCTGGCTGTGCCCGTTGAGCTTGTCAGACCGCACTCCGGTGAGTCAATACATCAGATATCATGTTTCGAAGCCAGAGAATGCTGGCGGATGGAGTGAGCAGCAGTACACGGAGGCATTGACAGCCAGCTCAGACCTCCGGCACATCGTCACGACCCCGTTCTTGTTGAAGGTGACGCTGCTGGCGCTTCCTAAATTTGATGGACAAAATGGACAAGACCGAAAGGGCAGAATGACTCGGCATGACATCTACAACGAGTATGCAAAGGAGATGTACTGGAGAGAGTGGAAAAGGATCAAGAAGATGCCACAACTTGCAGACAAGATCCGCACAGCGGACATGGACGATGAGAACATCGTCGAGAAGTTCTTCGAAGCAGCGCAGTTTCTGAGCTTGAGGTTGCTCAAAGAGGACAAGCGCCATCTTCTACTCGAGGTAGGGCGGCACGGCTTCTTGTCCGATTATCCCTTCAGCATATCGGCTCGAACAAGCAAACTCGAAGACGAGCTGGGGTACTGGCTGCTGGTAGGATGCCTAGCCCAGGTGACGAGGCGAAAGCAGAACAAGAAAGAGGCACTGGAGATCAGCTTCGTACATGACTCATTTCGTAGCTTCTTCCTGGCCCAGAGAACGTTTGAGGAGCTTCAGGAGCAAAACCCAATGGCCGGCGAGGCTCCGGAGACCCTGAGGATTCGGAACTTGCGTGAGGACGCGGAGACCATTAGGGAGCACGCAGATGTTGTGAGGTTCGACAGCAGGTACAGGAAGAAGCTTCTGGATCTATTGCCGCAAGCTCGAGAGGACTTGGGATGGGCCTCGGCGAATGCAGCATCGATCCTAGTAGCTGCTGGGGTTAGTCTCTCTGGGCTGGACCTGAGGGGGGCGCGGATGCAGGGTGCTATGCTGCGGAACGGCATTTTTCACCACACAAACTTGCAGGACGCGAATCTATCTGAAGCCAACGCCAGCCATGCGTACTTGGAGAAGGCGATGCTGGAGGGAGCGTGTCATGAGGGAATCTACTTCGGGGAAAAGGACCACCCGAAAATATCATGTCCAAATAAATTGATGTGCGGAAGCTTCAGCAAAGACAGCAGATTGGTCGCCACTGGGTCAAAAAATGGGCTAGTACGATTGTGGTGTGTAGAGACAGGGAAGTGTTGGAAAGAGCTCCCAGGACACGAGACAATGATAAGAAGCATATCGTGGGGTCAGGATGGAAGGATGCTGGCTGCTGTGTCACAGAACGGCACAACAAGAGTATGGAAGGAGCCTTGGACTGAAGAAGCCTGCCAAGTGCTGGCTGGACATGGGGAAACCATCAATTCCGTTTCTCTGGGGCCTGACGGAAAGATGCTCGCTGCCGCGTCAAACGAGAAAAAAGTTTGGGTATGGAATGTGGAGACGGGGGAGGTCCGCTTGGAGCTGAAAGAGCAGGTCGAAGGCGGGGTGACGAGCGTAGCATGGAGACCGGACGGAAAGATGATCGCCTCCGGGTCCTTAGACAAGGCGATACAAGTGTGGGAAGTAGACAGTGGGAGGCTGTGCCGGTTGCTTGAAGGGAAGCATGGGCACGAGGAATACGTAACATGTGTGATATGGTCGTGGGATGGGAGATCGCTGGCTTCTGCATCAGAAGACAAGACCATACGAGTATGGAACGCCGAGACCTGGGAGCTACAACAAGTTCTCATGGGACATAGAGAGAGCATAGAGAGCATCGTGTGGGCACAGGACGGCAGGATTATAGCCTCTGGATCGCCACATGATAAGACAGTGCGGTTGTGGGAGATAGAGACCGGGGAGTGTCGCCAGGTGCTCCAGCACAAAGCATCCTGTATCACTTTCACACTGCAGGGCTCATGCTTGACGGCTCTGTTTAAAGATGGAGTGATGCGGGAGATGGACGTGGATACCGGCCAACGACTACAGCGGCTGGAGGGACACGAAGGGAGGGTGACGTGCCTTGTGTGGGGGACTCAAGGAAGGATGATCGCTTCGGGGTCGGAAGACAAGACCATAAGATTGTGGGACGTGGAGACAGGGGAGTGTCGACAGATTCTCGTTGGACACACAGGAGGAGTAAAGATGGTTGCATGGGGGCAAGACGGGAAGACGGTCGTCTCGGGATCAAGTGATTGGACCGCGCGAGTGTGGAATGTGGAGTCAGGGAGGTGCCAGCATGTGCTGAGTGGTCATACCGATGAGGTGACGTGCGTTGCCTTGGAGCAGGACGAACAAAGGCTGGCTTCTGGAGCATGGGATGACACAGCGAGGGTTTGGGATCTTGAGACGGGAAGATGCATTCATGTACTCAAAGGACATGGAAGGAGGCTAAGATGCATAGCGTGGGGGCCAGACAGAAGGAGGCTTGCTACAGGATCTGACGATAGCACAGTACGAGTGTGGGATACAGCGACAGGGGAATGCATCCTAACGCTCGAGGGTCATGAAGGGGCAGTAACCTGTTTGCTGTGGGATGGGAGGACTATCGCCTCCGGATCCAACGATCATATCGTCCGGTTGTGGGATGCGGATACGGGCAGGTGCCACAAGGGGCTTGAGGGGCATACAAATCATGTAACAAGCATAGCGTGGGGGCAGGACGGCCGGAGGCTTGCCTCGGCTTCAGTCGATAAGACAGTGCGAGTGTGGGATGTGGAGACGGAGAGCTGCTTGCAGGTGCTCAGTGGACACGACGGAGCTGTGGAGAGGGTGGCGTGGGCACAGGACGGGAGCACAATCGCAACGTCCGTGTCTGGTGACGGGGGCGTGAGACTGATCGACACAGAGACGTGGGAGGTACACCAAGTGCTGGCCGGGCAGGACTTAGCGTGGGGTCAGAACGGGAGTTGTATCGCCACAGGGTCGGAAGATGGGAGTGTCAAGGTCTGGTCGAGGCCAGCTTGGACGGGTCACGGGGTCGACTTTCTTCTGGCACATGATTTCAACCGGGAGGAGAGGAGCCTTATATGTGGAGGGGCCCAGCTGAGGGAGGATGCTCTGCCAACAGTTTACAAGAGTTTGCTTGTGGGCAGAGGAGCCGTCACTGGATGAGTGAGGTCGCCACCGCACTGCAGGGATACGAACGGTTGCACGTACGTTCCCTTACCGTAGGCTTAGCTTCAGCCATGATTGTAGTCTGATCCATCAAAAAACTAGATGCTGATAAACAGCCAGGCGTTTCATGTGTGTGCCGTCAGGTGTGCCGTCCTTGAGTTCCGTCCATGCCATCGTCAAGCCAAGCCAATTCATCTGGTAAAAATAAAGACCCAGGCGTTTCTCATTGCCGCGGATGGGGATCGAACCCATGACCTTTGGATTATGAGACCAACGCGACTACCAACTGCGCCACCACGGCACCGGAATCTATTAGATGTGGTCCCCCACTGTTTATAAACCGAGAATGTACGTTGTGGTGGTGGGTAGTGTCATCACCCGTCTTGTACAGACCTTGTTAGTATCAATTGAGGGGTAGGGTGAAGATGACACTGAGAATCTGGGGGTAGGGGTAGGATTTCAGGCTAACGATGCATTGAAGACCCCGGCGACAGGAAGTCAGGGAGGAAGCGGAAGAGGAGAAGGGAGGGAGAGGCAGAGAGGAGAAGGGAGAGGGCGGAGAGGCAGAGAGGAGTGAGGAAGGGAGGGAGAGGGAGAGAGGAAGGAGAAAGAAGGGCCTGAGCTGGCTGATCCTGTATGATTCCGAAGGCCGACACCGTCAAACCCGGTCATGCTCACAGAGGATCTCAGTCGTCGATCCCTGATGCGAGATTCACTTGCGGCTTCAAGCTAGTTGGCTGAGAATCGGCAGCTCGCAACACATCGCCACAGGCGCTATGGATGCAGAAAAAATCAAATTATGTGTGAGTTGGTCAGGTCAGCTAGAACCTCTCCGGTTCAACTCAGGTTGGCAATGTCGTTGTTCCTGCATCCCTCACTGTTGTTGCTGCATCCCTCACTGTTATCCCTCACTGTTGTTGCTGCATCCCTCACTGTTGTTGCTGCATCCCTCACTGTTGTTGCTGCATCCCTCACTGTTGTTGCTGCATCCCTCACTGTTGTTGCTGCATCCCTCACTGTTGTTGCTGCATCCCTCACTGTTGTTGCTGCATCCCTCACTGTTGTTGCTGCATCCCTCACTGTTGTTGCTGCATCCCTCACTGTTGTTGCTGCATCCCTCACTGTTGTTGCTGCATCCCTCACTGTTGTTGCTGCATCCCTCACTGTTGTTGCTGCATCCCTCACTGTTGTTGCTGCATCCCTCACTGTTGTTGCTGCATCCCTCACTGTTGTTGCTGCATCCCTCACTGTTGTTGCTGCATCCCTCACTGTTGTTGCTGCATCCCTCACTGTTGTTGCTGCATCCCTCACTGTTGTTGCTGCATCCCTCACTGTTGTTGCTGCATCCCTCACTGTTGTTGCTGCATCCCTCACTGTGCTGCTGGTGGCGTAGACTCCACGATCTCGGATGTCGCAGCCAGGTGTGCTTGCTCCCTAGGAGCCCCTCCCGAGCACAAGCACTTCATCTTCAAGGGGCAGCTCCTGGTGAGGGATACTGAAACCCACCACGACATGCCGATATAACACTGTGGTAGGATGGAGCAAGCAGCTTACGAGAGGCTGCCGTCAGAGTGATTCTTGCCTTTGATGTTGCAAACAGCGTGTGACAACTTCTGTTTCCGTAGGATTGCAGCGTGCTTCACCTCGTTCTCAACGAATCGATGCCATCGGGCAGGCCTCTTCATGTCAGGGATAGCAGGCACAACAACAAATGTTCTTGTGATGAAGACGATGCTGAGATCTGGCCGCAGCAGCAGGATCTTCTCGCTCAGGTGTGAGGCAGATGACTACGTCGAGGATGTCAAGGAGAAACTATCTACGTACCCTGGGGTTGGAGCTTACACCTTGCCGCGTCCATTGCATGTTACGATTGACAACCCCATCAGGTTGCAGCGCCTGAGGAGTTGCAGCTTGCGTTTGCTGGTAGAGTTCTTCAGGTCAGATCCGTGCGCACTCATCAGTGTTAGAACTCACGTGTCGTTTTGCAGAACCATCACACTCTCCGGGAGTACAACATACAGAAACCTTCTATGTTAATCCTTCTGGTGGGTTCTGCCATGGTCCGTTTGTCCAGACCTTTGGTCACACGCGCTCTACGCAGCCCCCGGCCCCTCCAAAGATCCTCGGAATTCTTGTGGAGGAAATGTTCCCAGGTATCCATCCATCCAATCTGGTTGAACCTGATGAAATCCGCCAACAGATAGCTCAGCTCAGAATGTCTCTCAGAACGTAGAGATCAAGGTTGTAGCTTGTAGCTCGTGAGGCAGCAACTGAAAGGAAGTCATAGATCAAGTTTAAGGATCCATCAAGCGACTTGGTCCAAAAGTTGGTCGGGAGCTCTGGATATCCTTTGCTCCGAAGCTTGCTGCAAAATGATTTCGAGGTCTGACTCGTACGCTTCGCTTTCTCCCTTCCCCTCCCTCCCTCCCTCCCTCCCTCTCTCCCTCCCCCTCCCTCTCTCCGTTGCTGTTGAAGGAAGAGGAGAATATGACCTCCTGCATGAGGTCTC